TAGAGCTACCTTCCATCTAATAATGTCTTCTGCCTCCTTTTGGTCCTGCCCTTTGCAAGGTTCGATCAAACTCAATATTGATGGGGCTGTAGAAGGAGATAAGCCAGCCTGTGGTGGTCTCATCAAAGACTCCAACGACACCTGTCTAGGTGGTTTTACTTTTTCCTGGGGTCTTGCTATCCTTTGCTAGCTGAACTTTGGGCTATCTTTCATGGTCTAACCTTTGCTTGGGACAAAGGATGGAGGAAGGTTGAAGTGGAGATTGACTCCTTACAAGCTTTAAGCTCTCTTACCATAACTGGTAATGATTCCCGTAAACTTCCTTTGGTAGCTAAGATCCGGGATTTTCTAAATAAAGACTGGTCCGCTTCTATTTCCCATGTTCCTAGATCATCCAATAAATGTGCTGATTGGATGCCTAAGGAAGCTCTCGACAAATGTTTTGGTCTCACTGTTTATGCTTCCCCTGACCAGAGATTTCTTCCTATGCTAGCAGCGAATATTTTGGATCCTGGAGAAGACAAGGGACTGATTTAGTGTTTACTTTTATTTTTCTTGTTTTTACTGATTTTTGTTGTTTTGTCTTAGTTTTCCTGTCTTTCTGTTTTGTTCTGGGGCTGTAGTCCCTTTGATGTACCAAAAAAGAAAAAGAAAAATTGTGACCAAAGGGATAGGTGTTTCCTATCAAAAAGAAGAAGCGCAGCTTTTCGAATAGGGATGTTTAGACTGTGCAAGATAACTTTCCTAGAACTTTTTTTTTAATTCTTATTTTCGGAAATAGAAATAGATAAAAGTACTATTTGACAAAATCAATTTATTTTCGGTGAATCGATTCAATTTGTGTGTTGCAGAACAAAACAAAGAATTAAAAAAATTTTACTTTTTTTTGTTTCCGGATACAAAATGAAAAACACTTATCTCTCTCAATCACTCTACATAATTACCATCATCATCACCACCACAACCATCCCGACACGACCACGACCACTACCACCATCATTGCTGCCGTCGTCGTACCATCGCCACCGTCATCACCACCACCCACTACCATCACCATCACCACCACCATCGTCGCAGCCACTACCATCACCAATCCACCACTACCACCACCGCTGTTACCACCATCGCCGCAGTCAGTAGCCGACACCACCATCATGCCATCACCACTACTATCATCATGGCACCACCACCGCCACCATTACCCCCACCACCACACGATGTGAACAGGAAAGTGATCAACATCAAGATCAACATCAACAACACCTTTTTCCCAAATTAATTGGGATCGGTGGTAGATGAACTCAAATAAAAGATACGAAAAGGTTGAAAAAAGATAAAATAAATAAATAAATAAATAAAATAGTAATAATATATATATAAATATATAAATATAAATATAAAAGTGATAAAAGAAGGGGAAAAGAAGAGAGAGGATAGATGAAGAGGAAAAATGACTAAAAAAGAATCATCTGAAATATAGGAATAACAACGGGTCTAACACTCCACCATGCACATAGATTTTCTCCATTTTCGTTCTAAGGCATACCGTCTGCTAATCTATATCCCAATCTATTAAGTCTTTCTTTACTACCTTCCCCCAAGTAAGTTTCGGTCTACCTCTACCTTTCTTTGTGTTGAGCTCTTGGTAACAAACTTTTGTTCTTACGGGAAGTATCCAGGGGTCTTCTGATTACGTGCCCAAACCACTTCAACCTTTGTTCTCTCATCTTTTCAGCCACCGGTAGTACTCCTATCTTTCGTCGAATATCTTCATTTCTCATCTTATCCATCATCGTATAACCACACATCCAACTTAACATCTTTATCTCTGCTACTCCCATTTTATGCTCATATTGCCTATGTGCTAGCCAACATTCAGCTCCATATAGAATTGCATGTCTTACTGCTGTCCTATAAAATTTTCCTTTTAACTTAAGGGGAATTTTGCGGTCACACAAAAACCCAGATGCACAATTCTATTATTTGTGCTTGATAATTCGAAAAAAAATTATGCTTGATAGGAATGATTTTTTATTCTATTATTTGTTGTGTTATCAAAAACAATTCTCATTCTCGGAATAAAAATAGAACATGTTATCAAACACATTTTTTTTCAAAAACTGTTCCAAGGCACAGAAATAGAAAAAAATTGATTCTTTTCAGAAACAGTGACGAAAAATAGAATGATTGTCATACACACGTCTGATTGTGCCTTAAGAAGAGAAGAATGTGTGTTTTTTCTTGACTATTTCAATGTCTCAAATGTTAGGTTAATATTATTTAGAGTAAAGTCTTTTTTGAATTCCTAACAAAAAATACAGTACCTACTTTTGTCCCTTATAAAAAAAGTCAACTTTCGGTCCCTTTACAATTCTGATTCTTTGAAAATATAGTCCCTCAGAAATTCAATGAAGATTCATTTTAGACTCCTAAAAAGGACTAATATAATTTTTTTTTTGTAAGGGACGAAAATAGAGACCGTATATTTTTGTTAGAGACCCAAAAATAACTTCACTCTATTATTTAGTGGCGAAATTTATCAATAATGTCAGGTGCAGATCTTGGAATAGTTTTTTAGAGAGTAATTTATCTAATCATTTTACCTAAATATTCAATTATAAAGAATAATATTAAAATAGTTTTCCCATAATAAATTACGAGATTAAAAAATAAATTAACGTCTTTATATTATGAATAAACTGAATTAATTACAATCCAATCTTTTTAAGAATTAAAGGCACTTTACGTCTTTTTTTTTCTGTGTATCTAACATTTTCCATATTGATATAATTAAAATTTAAACTTCAAAACAAAGAAAAGCATCACCGAGCAGCGGAGGTTTAAATACATGCGCGACGGCTAAAGGAAGTCAAAGTAAAATTTAGATAAAGGGGAAAGTGTGTGTCAATCTAAATGACACACACTGGGTCATTTTAAATTAAACGCTGCGTTTTGGTATGAAAATTTTCCACCAGCTCTTTGTGCGTCTCCGCTCTTCCCGCGTTCTCTATTCTTTCCCAGCCCACACGTAAGTTATTCATCACCTTTTTCCACCATTCTCATCTCTGTTTTTCTTCAAGTTCCTTCTCTCCAAAACACCTGATTCAGATTCATCAAGAAAAGACAGCAAGCATAGCAAAGGAAATACAAAAATGGAAGAAAAAAACTAGAGCCAACATAAAAAGGTGATTCCAAAATCCCATTTCATGAACACGCTACTGTTACATTTTTTTTTTTTGAACTTGATTCACATTATACCTACAGGTGTTGTGCTTCTCAAAGTTTCGCTTTTTCTGATTTTTTTATTTTTTATTTATTTTTTATTTATTTTTTATTTTAGACCTTTGAAACACTTAATGGAGGAAATGTCGACTGCTACAAATATTTAGGTGCTTGAATTCTTGCAGGTTTGTTTTTTATCCCTGTATTGAAGTTAAGTTTATGTAATACACTTTTTTATGTTGGATTTTTTCCCAGCTATACTAAGATATTTTGATGGGTTTAAAGTTTACAACTTTGGCAAGAGTTTGTTTTTTATTTTCAGCTTTTCATAGACCATTTGACAGCATGCTTAATTTGGTATGGGTGTGTTTGTTTCTCTCTTTTTTGTTAAAGGTTTAAGCTGAAATGACTGGACTTTGTTAAATATATACATCTGCTAAACCATAACATGGTAGCCACAAAAACAAGATAATGCACATGATTGCTTTTCACAGACCCTTTGACAACATGCTTATGAATTATTATTTTTTCGTATAATTGTTTTTGTCAATGAACATTTGACAACACGCTTACTTTTTTTTTCTTAAGATTATAAAAAAAAATTCCAGTGAGAAACTAATTTTATTTGAATGTCAACCTTGTTGTAACATAGAGTTCAAGGAAATTCTTTTCTATCTAAATGTCAAGTTAATTTCAATTGAAGGTGTTAAGTTTTTTTGGTTCTTGTCAATGTAGGTTGTGAACAGCTATTGAAGACTTTGACATGAGTTCGTTATAATGGATCACTCCCAAATAACAGCTATTGAGGACATTGACATGAGTGAGAGCTTAATTTTTTATGATGACATTGTTGATTTAGAGAAAGACAATGCTGAGTTTGTTGATTTGGAGAAAGACAATGATGAGTTTGTTGACAATGATCAATGTGAAATTATGGAAGACGAAGATAGGGATCATGTGCAAGATAATGCATTTGAAATTGTAGGAGATGATAACAATGAATTCAGTGAGACTAATTTTTAATGTAGGGTCTTTGGAACCTCGGGAGAAGCTTATGATTTTTATAATAATTATGCAAAAGGTAAGGGGTTCGGAATACGTAAGCAGTTCTCTAACAAGAGTGCAAAAACACAAGAAATATATAGGTGGAGATATGTGTGTTCAAAAGAAGGCGTCAAGAGAATAAATGATAAAGCAGTTAAAAGGCGAAGGGATACAAGGACCAATTGTTTAGCGATGTTACAGATAAAGTTGGTGGATGGAGTATGGAAAGTAGAGAAGTTCAATGATACACACAATCACCCATTAATTAACACTCCATCAAAGGTGAAGAAGTTTCCTTCTCAGAATGAATTACGACGCTCAAAAGTTGCTAAATCTCTTGTTTCTATGCTTTATGAGGAGGGTTTAACTTCTTCAAAGATCTCAAAGGTGGTGAACGCTATGGACAAAGAAGTTAACATTACTCCAGCTCAAGTCACTACTATTATATCAATTCAGCGAAGGAATAATGTGGGGTGAGAATGTCAAGGCATCATCAAGCACTTTCAAAGGAAGTCTACTCTTGATGGTAAAGTCAATGTAACCTGCATATATTCTCTATTTTTTTGTGTACTTGTCCATTGTGGTTTACCATATTCTATTTCAATTGAGAATCTCAAGTTAAATGTAGCCTGTCACGAAGAAACTTTTTGTCATCATGTTTTTTCTGCAACAGGAATACCATCCAAGCTATCAATTGCTCAAAAAATTGATCTATATACCTCAACATTAACAAAATATATTAATGTTATCAATCTTGGTTGAAGGATCATTCAATCCCAAATACAAAACTAACACTAATATAACTAACTTATACATATCACAATTCTATAAGAATATATACAGGTTCCTTCACAATTGTTGTTCATATAGTATTTCCCACCCCTTGAATGTGTTATAAGCAAGTTCACGTGTGCTGCAAGATTCCTTGAAGAAGATTTCTTTCCTCTGTACTCAGAATTCTCATCCCCATTAACCACATAGCTATTTCTTTCCTCTCACCCCTTCGCGTCCCATTATTTCTCTTATCAGCTTATTTCAGTTTTTGCTGCAATCGCTGCTTCCGGTTGGGTGAATTTAGCTCTTGCTGTTTTGATTGTGAAGGAGGCGCTTCGTGTGGCCCCAGATAAGCATTCCAGCGCTAATTATAGAACCTGAGTAATAAGAATGACCCTGCGATCATAGTGAGACATAAGTCAAACCCTGTCTCCGAAGATTAACAACATTCACTCCAAAACAAAATAATCTGTACAGTTAAAAAAAGGAATAAAAGAATACAATAAAAATGAGCAGATGGAGTTCAGCCCAAGGTCCATTCAACCATAGTTTATCAGCACCAACTAATAGAATTATTGCATTCTTCAGAACCAGGCCAAATTAATATATGGACATATCAATTGAATAGATAGCCTAACTGAGAACGAGTCTGTTATCGCTGGTGATAAACAGGTGCAAAAAGTTTCAAATTTTAGAATTACCAAAAGTCAATTAGGGGGTAATCAGAGGGAAAAAGTTAAACAATGATACAGGGGAAGGTTTGCTAAAAGTTTTATATGATACATCCCCAAAATTTAAAAATCTTTCATAGAATGCTGCTAACTTCCGAGCATAGCATAAGCAAAACATAAGACACAAGAAAATGAAAAGAATGTAATTGGGGGGTCTTAATAGTAAATAATCTCAATGAAAATCAACTTCCAATTTAACAGGCTTATTTCTAGTGGATTTGAATCACAGCCTCCAATTATCAGGGCCTGTCGTGTGTTTTTCACTACTTTTTCATCGTATCACAGACAAATACCCAGGATCAGTAGGACAATTTGAACTAAATATATGCAACTGATCACCAGCCTACGGAAAAAACACCTACACAGAAAGAAGATAGAGAAGGAAGAGGGGGGACCATAGTTCAAATTCAAATACTGTTGATGATGAGAAATAGGGTGAATCATACATTGCCAACGAAAACAGACCGAGAATCTGTCTCCTCCTTGTTTGCCTGAGAAGCAGCTGCACTAGAAGGATCTGCAAAAGAGATTCAGTCAATAAGTTGAAAAAAGAATAATAATGACGCAAAATCAGCAAAACAAGAACGACAAGTCTCTATTTAAATAGTAGTCAGATGATTTGGTAATTTGATAAACTTCACAAATAGCTAAGGTAGTTCCAAATCATTAAAGGCTGCAATACCTAAATTTCTTGGCTAGAAAATATTCTTTTATGGATGAATTCTGGTGCTCAAGGATTCTGGGTAGGGCCTATACATTATCCTTTTCTGGAAATATCTTGGTTTAATAGACAAATTCATGAAATCATATATATGATTAGACTGATTCATGATTCTTGCGTGTTTAGATTATCATTTGCTTTAAGTCAAGAGATTGACATAATAGATATGAATTGAGTAACACTTGCTATTAGAAAAGTGCTCTGCTTTGGTAAAGTGTTAGGCATGAAGATTTTAATCGACTGCTGAATCATACATAGCAACATATAGTGTTGAAGGAAAGGTTAAAATTAGGACATAGGAATTTTTTGGCTATATAGAAGTTCTTATAAAATAATTTAGTTACACTTGTCAAATTGAAGTCTATAGCTAATTAGTTGGAAAAAGGAAAAAGCAATATAAGATCATTCCTGACTGAACTCAGCCTAATGTTTTGAGTCATGTAAGTCCACAGCTTATTGAGTATTAGTTACATGACTTCCTTTATAATTCATGTTATTTAGTTTACTCATATATTATATTGATGCAGGTGGTACAAGCTAAAAAGTTCCAAATCCTGATAAGTGAAGAATTTCACGTTTTGTAGAAAAGTAAGTTAGCTCTCGATGCTGATAAGAGTGTTCTTTCTCGAGTGTGGTCAAAACGTCAAAGCTTGAACAAATTTGAAGTAACACAATATTACATAACTCGAGTGAGAGTGAATTGCAGACAAGAACGTAAAATTCCAGCTAACTCATAAGCTTTTAAATAGCGATTAATCAAAATATGCTAAGATCAATTTGAGTAATTAATTAATTACAGAATAATCAAAAGAGGCAATGAAAACCTTGAACAGAGCCAATCTCCTTCTCGACCTTGGCTTGCATCTCAAGAAGTGCGGCGGCTTCCTCTTCCATTTCCTTCAAGCGCCGCTTCATCTCGTCGAGCTCTTTCACGGCGACGTCATCGTCGACGGCGGACATGTCCACGTCTCCTTCCATCACTCCCACGTCTGGGATCTCTCCTCCGTACACGTCGTGCTCTTCCTCCTCCATCTTCGGATTTCGCATAACACAAGTTACACAACTCAACCAAACCTTTAGAATGGAGATGAGAATGATGGAGAAATGTGATTTTCAGTGAGAAAGGAGAATAAAGAACGCGGGAATAGCGGGGACACACAAAGAGCTGGTGAGAAATTTTCATACCAAAACGCGGCGTTTAATTTAAAATGACCCAGTGTGTGTCATTTAGATTGACACACACTTTCCCCTTAGATAAAATAAGATAGGATAGATTATATTTATAAATTTTTTATTTATATATTCTCGTAAGTATATTAGGTTATACTATGTATTTTTGAAATACATAATATAATTTACAAAAATTTATAATTTTTTTTTTTTTTTTTTTTGTAAATGTATACTTTCCCAGATAAATTTATCATGAATCATTATAAAGGATGATAATTTGATTTAAGAAAAAAAAATGAAATAGGCATCAAAGAAAGAGAAACAAAGTGAGTCTTCCCTACAGATTACCCAAAATAAAAAATAAAAAATGATAACATAATAACGTTTAACGGGAGAAACAATAATTAATTCCTTATAATATATTTGAAGATAAGATGAAGAAGATCTTTATAAGAAAAGTATATAAATTTATGGAAAATAGTCAAAATACTACTTATGCTTTCTCACATAAAAAAATTTATTATGATTTTTTGTTTGCACTCTAATGAGAAATTCAGTTGACTTCTTTCTATAATACGAAAGAATTATTCTTATGTTAAATAAAAATAGTATTCCCCTAAATTTGTTTATAATAATTAATTATAGTTACTTGTTTGATTAAAAGAAAAGAAAAGAAAAAATGAAGAGGCGGAGAAAATGGAAAGTAGACGTTTGATTTGAAGGGAAACAGAAAAGACTGACCAAAATATAGATGAAGGAAGCGAGTATGATAGTGCGGTAGCGTCCAAGATAAGAATCGGCAATGAAAGCTCCAAAGAGAGCAAGCATGTAAGAGGTTCCAGACCACACGTTCACATTCTTGGCAGCGGTGGCCGTATTCTGTTGGAGTGGCCCTGTCAAATACGATATCAGGTTCGTCTTTATCCCATAAAATGCAACCCTCTCTGCCACTTCCACACCTGATCATTATTTCCATTCAATTAATAATAATAATAAATAAATAATTTTGAAAAATAATAAATAATAATAAGAGTTGGAGTGCGGAGTAGTGGAGTAGTGCAAAATTAATACAATACCTATGATAAAGCGAGCGGATGTCCAGGAGCCAGATTTGGATCTGATAACGGGTCGACCTTTGTAGTCAACAGCACCATCAACAACATGAACATGAACATGAACATGAACATGAACTTGAACATGAACCAGAGGAACTTGTATCGCAACGTCGTCGCTTTGGGTGGACACCGCCATTCTCTTTAGCTACCCCTCACCTCAACCACAATAATTGATTGAAAGAAGGAACACAACTTCAACATTCATGTCTAAATCTGACAACCACAAAAGCCATAAATAGCAAAGTCAAGTGTTGCTTTCTACTGTCTGAAATCAACAAGTGTTACAAATAGGGAACGGGACATTTGCAACTTTAACAATTTGTTTTCTTGCGGAGTCTGCGAGCAATCAATTCGGCAAAACGGTCTTTTTACTCTCTTTCTTTTTTTTAGGTGTATAGTACAAGTAGATTCTTCTTACCTTCGCTGCATCAAGGATTTTATAAGAGTTATGTTGTAGGAAAAGTGATTGTGTAATATTATAGAGATTCGTACAAAATATTGTGAGTGTAGGAAAGTTTGTTGTGTTATTTTAAAGGATAAAACGAAAACCCTTTAACCAATTATTATAAATGAATCATAATTGGATTTTATTATTCTTCTTTTACATAATATAGTTATTTTATGTTATAGAGAAAAATAGATGTGTGCCACCATTACAAAAAAAAAAAAATTGGGTGAGAAAAAAAAAAATTCTATAAAAATAGTTGAAGGAGATAACAAAAAAAATAAAATTATCTCTTATATATATAAAATATGTGGAGTTTATATGAAAAAAAATAAAAAAAATAAAAAAATAAAAAATATAAATTTCACATACTTGAAGGAGATAATTTAATTTCCCAGAGCTATTAGACCAAATTATAAAATAAGATTGCAAAACTCCTACAAGATCCATTTTGAATCGTATTTAAAGGATTCCTTGGTTCGAGCCGAAGAAGCAATGTCACTCGATCATTAGCAAATTGACTGCAATCTTTTTCTGTCCATAAGAATCCCACCAGGGCGCCCTCTACTTCTAATAGGCCATGAACTAGATCAAAATCATTCTCAATGAGCCCATAAGAAATGATCCCATTTTTTTCATCAGGTCGGGGTAGAGACCAAAGGTCTTGAGCGACCGACCCGGTAAACTTATAGTATAAACAAATGATTTGGTGTTTGTTATTTTAAATGACATAAGTTATGTCATCTTAAGAAAGAGATAAACACAAATAATAAAAGTTATGGGAGAGAAAGTGGATGGTTTTTTTAATTTAAATTTTTTTAAAAAAATATTTTTTGTGTCTATTTCTTTTTTAAAATGACATAACTTTATGTCATTTAGAATGAGAAACACTTTTTCCATAAACAAATTACACTTTAATAGGAGAAAAGAAACAATGTTTGATTCCTTATGACTTTTAGAGAGACTTTTTTTATTACTATTTAAGATTTGTTTGAAGATCAACTTATAAGAATAATTTTTCATGTAAAAAGGAGAGATAAATACAAATATCTAAAATAGAGTTCTACCAATTTTGATAAAATCTCATTTATTTAACAATTTTATGTTTATTTCTCTATACATTCATCCTGTTAAACAAAAAATTCACATAAAAATATTCATTTATAATCAATTCTAGTAACTTGTTTCACAAAAATTGGAACTTTTGGTATTGCAATCAATAACCTTAACAAACTCTTTTGTTTTTAGTTCATATAATTGAGTGACGCCTTTATGTGGATTAAAGTATGCAAAAAAAATTCACCAAAAAAAAATGGAAATATATATATATATATATATATATATATATATATATATATATATAGTGTATTTAAGTCTCTTAAATTGAGCTACTGACAGATGGAATTGATTGGGATTGTTTAGGGAGTATTTGGTAGTTGAATTTTTTTTTTTTTTTTTTGAGAATGTTACGAAAATAGTGATAGATGAGATTCACAAATAATTATATTTGGTATGGAGTAAGAAAAATTTGGTTAAAAAAAAAAAATTGATGGGAAAATTTTTAGAAGGAAAATTTTCTACTACTAACTTATTACTTATTTAATCATCATTGAATCAAAAAGAGAGAATGCTAAAAAAAAAATTTTAAAAAAAATGTTAATGCAAAGATGATTAGACAAGTAGTGAGTTGGTAGTAAAAAAATTTAGTAGTAACTAGTAAAAATATCCTTTCTCAAATTTTTATAGCGTAGAAATGAAGAAAAATGTCTACTTGAGAATAGCATCTTGATGGTGATATTTTGATTTCTCCAACAAATTCAAACTTATAATAATTTCACACCAAAAATTTTTCAGTGATATTTTGACCGGCCAAATGAATTTTTTTTTTTCCATAAAAATTTGTTCTCCCACATTTTATCAATAATTATATTTTCTTGATAAATTTCTTTTTTCTCCTCTAAATTCAAACTATTTGACCCCACACCACACCATGAGCATCCAACATGCCCCGCCACCCTCATAGGCAGCACTGTCACATTATTGCGCCTTCAATCAAATCCCACCGCTGCAAGCGATTTCCCTTCATGACTCATGCCGCCTGCCAAGTAATTTTTTTTTTATTAATATTATTTTTTTAATTTTGGGAAGTTTTTAAAATTAGGTCAGTTTATTTTTAATATTTTAACAAAAATTGTATGAAAATAATAATCAAAGTTTTAAAATTTGTAATCTCTATTCACTAGCGATCCAAAAAATAGAAAAGATTGAATGCGGTTATCGTTTAAAATATTGCAAAGGGTTAACTGTTTATAATTTTAAATGACATAATTTTGTATTATTTTAATTAAATTGTTATTTTAATATATTTTTATAAAATTAAAAAAAATGAAGAGAGAGAATACAATAACATAATAAAATTATGTAATTTTATTAAAATAACATAAAATTATATTATTTAAAATAATAAATACTTTTTCCTATTGCGCAAAATACGGTTGTTGAGGTTATTAATTTAATTTATGATGGAGGTTATCAGATAAGAAATAAAGCAGAAGAGCAAATGATGTGACTGACAAAAATACAGATGCAGAAAGCGATAATTATTGTGGGGAAGTGGGAAATTTCTAAGGTAGTGTTTGGTTGGGGAGAAATTTTTTGAATACTAGGAAAATGTAATTGATAGGAAAATGGTTAGAAAGTGAGTTTGGTAGGAAAATGTAAAAAAAACTGTTTGGTTCGGCAAAAGTTTACCAGGGAAATTGGGTTAAATTTTCTGAGTGTATGTTTGGTTGGAGACAGAATTTTGATGGGAAAATTGTTTGAAATTACAAAACTATCCTTATTTAAAAAACCTATTGTTTTATTACAAAATACGAACCACAATAAAATGGAGGAGGGGTATATTTGTCACCCCATTATCCACCTTTTTCAGATATCAGATTTCCTCACACAATTCCACCCGTTGAAAGGTAATCTCCAACAGTGCTAAAATCTGAATTTTACACTTCCTCTTGCATTGCAGGGCAAGTGGGATTGATGGCACACTTTAACAAAAATCTCCAACCAAACGTTGATAACTCACATTCCCACCATCACTTGGCCAGGAAAATTTTTCCTTCTCCCCAACCAAACACACAGTAAGGGGTGTTTGGTTGAGGTTATATTTTTATTATCTTATGCATCTGGTGTTGGAATTTTTGGACATTCAAGTTTGGTGAAGGTTTTTCAAAAATTTCCCCATTTAACATATTTTCCTAGCATTTGAAGAGTGTGAGTAAAATGAGGAATATTTCACTGTTTAGAATAACAACTTCAATGGTGACTTTTGTAATTGCATGGATAAATGGCAAGGGGACATTATGACGGAGACCAAAATTCTCCAACTAAAGAACATGAACATTGGAGGAGAGATATATTGACATTCAAAAATTATAAACGGGTTAATTTGATAATTTTAACCCATTTCTTCATAAATATTTTATCTTCAACCAAACATAGATTTATAAAATTGGGTTTTATTAGTGTTATGTAACATAATGTAAGTGTTGTTTCCAACTCTCACATCAAAAGGGAGAGAGAAAGTGGAATCATGAAAGAGAAAGAAAAACATGTGGACCCCACCTCTTTAATGTGTGTGTAGGAAAGTGAAGTTATATTATGTTAAATGATAAACATAAAACCCTATAAAATTCTACCCAATTTTTTGGGTAAAATTTTGGCCAACCAAACAATTTTTTTTTTAATTTTCCTACCAAACTTTCTTTCCCACCATATTCCTGTTAATTATATTTTCCTGGTAAATTTTTTTTTATCCTCTACCAAACGCCCCCTAAAATACTCCCATGTGATGAGATTATTACACATCGACTGACATATATTTATATATATTGGAGAGAAAAAAAATTATTTTAATATTACAATTATGTATTTTTCAAAATATTATTGTCAAAAACTAATATAAAATATATATTTTTACGTTTTTACTGAAATGATATGAAATCATATAAACGAAAGGATACTAGAAATGTAAATTCTACCATAACTACGTACTTCGAAGCAATATTGTCAAAATCAAGTTTCTACATAAAATCGAAAGGAGATGGTAGAAAAGTAAATCATAAAAATAACATAAAACATAAAAAAATTACTATATATATATATATGGGCTTATCATTTCTCAAACTGTCGGAGATAAAGTTATCTCCGACTACTAAATCATAACCGTACAAAGATGGATCAATGGTGATAAAGGAAAAGAGAAAAAAAGGGAATCATAACCATTCAAAGGTGAATCAATACATATAAGGAAATAAATAATCAAAACGACGTAGTTTTGGAGTGGCCGGAGATAAATTTATCTCAAGCAGTTTGAGAAATGTTTTTCCCTATATATATATATATATATATATATATATATATATATATATATATATATATATATATATATATATATAAGGCAAGATATTGTTACACTCGTGTAAGAGTTAGAAGTCTTACACTCAGTCTTGACCATTGATCCACTTGTATCCAATGGCTCACATTACTAAAAAATTAGAACCCTTAGATATAAGTTAGATCAATTGACAAGATTGAAAGTGTAACTTACACTGGTGTAAAATGATCCTGACCCTATATATATATATATATATATATATATATATATATATATATATATATATATATATATATAGAGAGAGAGAGAGAGAGAAAAAAAGATAGGATCCTTTGACACGAGGTGTCAAATTTCACACACATATATATATATAGGGGATGGATATTTTAACTCTAGAGTAAGACTTACAACTCTTACTCCTCATCTCAACCGTTGATTTCCGTCCATCTAACAGTTATTATTTATTTGAAATAAATAAATAATTAATTGTTATAGATAACCGTTGGATGGACGAAAATCAACAGTTGAGATGAGGAGTAAAAATTGTAAGTCTTACTCTAGAGTCAAAAGATCCCTCCCTATATATATATATAGGGGAGGGATCATTTGACTCCAGAGTAAGATTTAAAAGTCTTACTCCTCATCTCAGCCCTTAATCTTCGTTCATCCAACGGTTATCATTTATTTGAAATTAATAATTAATTAATTGTTGTAACTTATTAAATAATAACCGTTGAATGAATAGAAATCAAGGGTTGGGATGAGGAGTAAGACTTTTAAATCTTACTCTGGAGTCAAAAGATCCCTCCCCACACACATATATATATATATATATATATATATATATATATATATATATATATATATAATATCACATAAGTCACTACTCAAAATTAAATGAAAAACTTTATATTTAAACGATATAAGTCACGTAACTACATAAGATACAAGTTCAGAAACACAAAAAGAGTTTAACAATTGCTACAACCAAGTTCCAAAATATCAAAAGAATAAAGTTTAGCATCTCCTAAATTATTTCAATTAATTCAAATCAAACACGTCATCTTGCATAAGTTGTATATCTTCAATGTCCTATTCTTTGGTTCGTGTAACAAGTTCATTTGCAATAACACGTAATAGATTGATTCAAAATTCACCTCAACTTAATATTCTAATTTTTCACCAGTGGCTTCTTCCTTCTTCTTTTTTGTTACATAGCTTCACCCTTTCTTTCTATGCAAAAGCAACCCCGCTTGAGAATTTTTTTTTTCATTGTGCATTTTGATTTAGGAGAATGGAAATAGATTTAAAAAAAAAAGATCTTTTTTTTTTTTGTTGCTATAAGACCCGATTTAGTTTATTTTTTAAGTAAAACGTAGAAACTTGTGTTTCTATCATTTTTACACAGAGTTTTATCAGTTTTTAACGATGAGAGTTTTTTTTGCATTTTAACACGTATGACTTCAGTAAAACATAAAAATATAAGTTGTTATATTTTTACACTAATTTTTCACAACAATAATTTAAGCTCAACTCCGCTATTTAAATGACCTCATGATATAAACTATCAATACGATGCACATACATATTTTTAAAATAAATTACTAAGAATTTATAATTTTAAAACTCTTTTACTCTATTTTTTATATCTTTTTTTCATTTTTAACAGTTTTGTTATATTGAAAAATAAATAAGGAAAAAAATTTAATTAATATAAGATTATTTTATTGATAATAAAGATTAAATTGATATGGGAAAAGTATAGATGTTTAAAATTTTTAATTTAAAAAAAATCCCAGAAATTAAAGATTACATCCCAAATACTTGTACACAAATGACAGAAGAGCACCACTAACTATCCTCGGGTGGTTCCTTTGTGATTATAAGTGTAAGATTTTGCAGAGAAAATGAACAAAGTTAATCCCATGACACTGAGTGCAGCAATCAGCCAGTAAAAGTAATCAAGATGAGCCTTATTGAGATTATTAGCAAACCAACTGTCTTGTCCATCTTTCTCAGTCAATTTTTCTATTACAGAAATGAGAAAGCCGCTTAGAAAGCTCCCGACACCGAAGATACTCAAGTAGAGAGCAAGGCCCATGCTTCTTAGTTCATTTGGGACCTGATCATAGAAAAATTCCTGCAGACCAACCATGGTAAAAACCTCAGAAACTCCGAACAAGAAATATTGGGGAATCAACCACCATATACTCATTGGAACAGTTGCCTCAGGTTCATCAATAAGACCGGACTCTCGTGCTGTTTTTAATCTTTTCATCTCAACAAGGGCTGCAAGTACTATTGTAAATATGGATATTAAAATTCCAGTACCAATTCTTTGCAACATTGTGATGCCTGAGGGTTTCCCAGTGATAGCTCTTGTTATAGGCACAAAAAGACGGTCATAGATAGGAGTGAAGAGAACAATGCCCAGGGTGGTAAGGGTTTGAAGAGAAGCAGCTGGTATATCAAAGCCCGGAAATAATTTTCTGTCCATAGTAACCCCTTGCTTGGTAAAGAAAGTAAAAACTTGAGCAAACACAATAGCATAAACCAGACATGAAGCCCAAATAGGAACAAGCCTTAGTACTGCCTTTGCTTCTTCCACCTCACCAAGGCTACAAGTCTCCTCTTCTTTAGAACCCTTCGGTGCTAACAATGCTTTGTTGAGACATCTGTCAATGAAGAAAATACTAACTACTTTTTGGCAAAATAGTCATAACCTTTCAAATCCAAAGAAGCTACTTTTAGGAACAGATTAAAAATTAAGATATTTATTCATCATTTTTTTTACAGCATTCTTATATTTAGAACAAGAAAAATACTCGTTCCAATACATTCTATCTTTCCCTTCCGAATATGGCTTAATGTAGAAAATGTGTAAATCTTTTGGTGTTTAATTATCATTGTTCAGAAACACAATTACAGATTCAGGCATCTCCAAATGGCATAGTCAAACTAATGGAAAACAGAATCAACAACTGCAAAGCAATGAGAATTCAGTTAAATGCTGCAATTTATTTACAATCTACCGCATAAGACTATAAAGGAACTTGCGTAACAAAACGTAAAAGCAAAGCACAAGTTGAACTATAATGTATTTCATCTTCTTAGTTGCTTTAAGAATGCTACAAATAAAATTGAAAAAATGACTTGCAAGACTTTGAAACAAGCAGAAATCAGCATTGTAATTCTTACTTGAATTGCTCACAACTTTGATGAGCAAATATTCGACCAGGTTCCTCTTCTATAGCCGTGCTTGATAGGGTAGCTCGCCTATTCCTTATAGCTGCAACAAATACACGGCCAATTCTGAGAAAGGGGCTCTTGTCATGCTCCTTAATGTTAAACCTGTAGGTCATTGTTCCAAGCAAGAAAACAAGCAATGCAATAATCATTGCAACGCAAGGGATTCCAAATCCAAGAGCCCAACTAAGGTTGTCCTGTATATAGTTCAAGATCAAAAGAGTTGCCATGCAACCTGCACACATAGTAAAATACCACCAATTAAAGAATGAGCTTCTAGCTTTGTGCTCCTCTGGGTGCTGCTCATCGAATTGATCTGCCCCAAAAGCCTGAACACAGGGCTTATGTCCACCTTGTCCAATGGCAACCAGATAAAGTGAAATAAAGAACAAGATTACTTGCAATCGAGGAGAGCATGGCGTGAATTCGTTGCTAACTTGGCATTCAGAATTGACGAGAGAAGGAAGCATAGTTGATAGTGTTAACAAGCCTAGTCCCTGTGATTCATATTAAGCCAAGGACTAGCATCAAAACAATGTACAAACACATTATTCCGAAAGGAATCAGTTTTTTCATTGATAATATATCTAATTGGGTGTAGTTAAACTATTGTTGGTTTGGTGTAATATTTGTTTATGTAAAACTTGGAAGATACTGCTTTTACTCAATTTTTCATTCACCAGCCACTCAAGCTCAGCAAAGCTGAAGTAAATGATATAGCTTATTATTATTTATTTATTTTTGTACGAGGAAGGTTATACTTACAGCTTATTTTCGTTTACAACCTCTTATAATCCGTATCTTAACCGTTAATTTTCGTCAATCAACGGTTAAGAATTTTGCAAATAAAATTTATTAGTTAATTATTAATTCGCAATAAATAATAATTGTTGATTGGCGGGAATCAACGATTAAGATATGATTATAAGAGGTTGTAAATGAAAATAGGTTATAAGTATAACCTTCCATATAGCTTTTTTTTGTTACTCAATATGATGTAATTTTTTTAACTTGTGAAATAAATTATAGTTTTTTTTTTTTTACGATCAAATGAATAAGATGAATGCAAAAAGCATTGCTTTGTACGACGAGTGCTTCAATTAATTGAAATTGTTGTTTACAAAATAATATTGCATATTTCATTTAAGAGCAATGTAATAATTGAAAAGGAACATAAAGAAACAAAAAAAATGACCAAGTAAATGTAAAAAGGAAGAGAATTTTTTTAAGATAGACATATAAATTAGAGAGAAAAACTTATAAGTCGTTTACAGGGGAGACAGAGTGAAAAAATCAATGTAATATAATAATAACACGTTAAGTCCTCATAATATGTCTTGAGATAAGACTCAGAACAGTTATAAGAAAAGTACATCATTTATCTATTAATTAATTCGGGTTACTTGTTTGGTTAAGAAAATAAAAAATAAAATTGCAAGACATACCTTGACAATTGAAATTAGACTTTTGATTTGAAGTAAGTTATAATAATTGGTTACTGGGGAAGGGGGAACAAAATAATAAAAAAAAAAAAAAGAAAGAATGAAATGAAGGTGGGATTGACTGACCAAAATGTACAAGATGGAAGCGAGTATTATGGTGCGGTAGCGTCCAAGATAAGAATCGGCAACGAAAGCTCCAAAAAGAGGAAGTAAGCTAGCAGTTCCTGACCATAGATTCACATTCTCGGCAGCGGTGGCCGTATTCTGATGGAGTGGCCCTGTCAGATACGATATCAGGTTCGACTGAATCCCATAGTATGCAACCCTCTCTGCCACTTCCACGCCTGATTATTATTATTTCCATTAACCATTAATTTAATAAATAATTTTGAAAAATAAATAATAATAGAGTTGGAGTGCGGAGGAGTGCAAAAGTAATAATATTAATACCTATGATAAAGCGAGCGGATCTCCAGTAGCCAGATTTGGATCTGATAACGGGTCGACCTTTGTAGTCAACAGCACTATCAACAACATGAACATTCCTATCCACAACCAGAGGAACTTGTATCGCAACGTCGTCGCTTTGGGTGGACACCGCCATTAATTAACGCACGGATTCTCTTCTCTTTATTAGCTTAGGCACCGCCCTCAACCAGAACCAGAATCAGAATGATTGAAAGAAGAAACAAACAGCATCTGAACATTCATTTCTTGAGGATAAGTAGCATTCTAACTCTGGAAACCAAAGTCAAGTATTGCTTTCTATGATAATCGGGCTACTTCTGCTTCAAGTGTTGAGAACTCTTCTTTTATAGAAATTGCGAACGGGACATCCGGAAAAATAACACTTACTTTTCTTGCTGAACCTGCCAACTAACCCAAGTGGCAAAATCTGTCTTTTCCCCTTATATATATATATATATATATATATATATATGTCAATGATTTTCTCATGCTATTGGAGAGGAGGAAATCTCCTACACACTCAAATTTATGGTGGGGCCCACACATAAAAAATAAAAATAAAAATAAAAAATTATTACACGTAAAACGAACTTTCACTAACATGAGAAAAGAGCTCCTTACAACATAAGAATTCTTTTTCCCATATATATATATATATATATATATATATATATATATATAGAGTTTTATAAGAGTTATGTTGTAGGAACAGAGATTTAGTTATGTTATAGAGATTCTTATTGCGTGCCGAATTTTTATTTTTTTTTTGCTGCGGGCCCCACAAAATATTGTGTGGGTAGAAAACTTTTTGTGGTCATGTTAAATGATAAATGATAAACTCATATATATATATATATATATATATATATATATATATATATATATGATATATCATCTTCCTTTTTTTGACTGTGGAGTACAACCATAGATTCTTAACAATACTGAATATAAAACATGCAATTTTATTATTTTTATGTTAAATATCATAATAAACTAGCATTATCAAATTTAAGACCATGCAACCCGGTATAAATAATCATCACTAATACCATATCTCGAATCGTGTAAACTATATTTATTAAGTGGAAGTAAAAAAATAATTATTAAATCAAACAATGATTTACAAAATATTGTCATTCTGTTGCTTATCACTAAATACTACTATTGCTAGTCGTGACTTAAGGTAATTTTATATATCAGTTTTTAAAAAATGTCCCGTAAGAGATAAGACCTTATATTTTTAAAGAATAAACGTGCGCCATGCGTAGTTCAAACTTTACTTTTTGTTAACAAATTGAAGGAATTGAATTTTAAACTATTTGGTTTGTAAAAGCTAACGGAGCCCATTTTCTTTCTAGTTAAACTTTTATAGTTTGTGGGCCCATACTCTGTCATATCGTTCAACGTCGAGTCCTCTAGATTAATAGATTGTATTGACCGAATATTAATTTGATCAAGGGCAACACATAAAGCCCCTATTTCAAGACAGGTCTCACTGGAACGGTATCGTATTACACGTTATGTTGGGTAATATGGGGACCCACGGACCACGGTTACCTATCAATAGAAGAAAAAAAGTAATGCGGAAAATAAAATCATATAAACTTAAGAAAATTCAAATTCTATAGGTTATATATCAACCCTGCCAGTTTTGGAAGCAATCGTGTTCCCAAAACATGAAAACAAAACAGCTCAACAATTACTTGCAGGTATTTTTTTTTTTTTTTTTTTTGCTCTTGCGTGTAAAGAAATTGAGGTTAGATTTTCAACTTCAAATCAAAGAAAAGCAGCCCAAGATGTAAATGTATAATGAGGCAAACCGGGAACAAAATTAAACTATAATAAGCTTGAAAATTTAAAAAATTGGATGGAATATTTTATACTTTTTATTGCGATTTAAAAATATCAAAATATATTCAAGATCGATTTAAAAATAATATGTAGATTTAAAAATAATATGTAGATAGTGTATTTAAAATTTGGCTACCCAATAGGTTTGTGATAAAAATAATGTCGATGTCAACGTTGATATTGACGTATAATATAAAATTAAATTATATAATTCTTATTTTGATTATGAGTCTTCTAAAAAATTTAAACATTTAGATTATAATTTACTTTTACAAATATCAATTGAAATACATATTAAATTTTTATTGATTATTAAAAAACTTATAAAATACTGGGATAATTTAACTATTTTTTCCCCTAACCTAACCTTAATTACTTATTTGAGGTTACTTTGTTCTCTTTGATATTCTTACAAGCTTCGACATTTTGAGCCAATTACGAGATTAATTCGAAGTGTAGGGCAGGTTAATAATAAAAATATTTAAATCTCTTCCAACAATAACATATTAAGATTGAACCAAAGTTATTTTCTTTTCACTTACTCAACTATCTTACTATCATACAAGCTACCACCATCTCATAACCTAACTAATTTTATTCTATTGCTTTTCGTGCAGTTGTTTTTTTTTTTTGAGTTTTAGAAGTATTATGTCACATGACCCTAGCTAATTTCTTACAGAAACAAAAGTGAAGAGAGAGAAAATGATAGAAAAAAAGATAAAAGAAAAATGATGGACCTCACATTTGCATTGTTTGTGCAGGAAAATAGTTTTGGGTTCTTGTTACATGATATTTATATTACCCTTTTTTTTTGTATAAACTTTGGGATTGCAGTTTGTCCTTTAACACCATCAAATTTTCTACACACATAATATTTTGTGGGACCCACACTTTTAAAACAAAAAAAATTAAAAAAATTAAGGCACGCAAAATGAATCTCTATAACATTACACAATCATTTTTCCTACAACATAACTCTTATAAAATTCATAAACTTTTCGTGCAGTTGTTGAACCCGAATAGCTTTTGCTTATTCATTCAAGGTTAGATTACAATTTATAAATAAATAAGAAAATATTATGCATGCATAGCATGGATGATATAATTAATATATTTCATAGCTAGTTGCTCTTTTTTCTTTTTCTTTTTCTTAAAGAAAACGTGAATTGGGCACTTTTGCATCAATACTTTGCTTCGTTTTTTTTTTTTTTTTTAATTATAAGTTAACAAAGCACCGAAGAGACTGTCATAAAAACAGCCGCTAGCTGGGCTATCGAAAACATGCATCCCCAACCCAATGGAGTTCATGTACAATCAAATGGGCCCCTCTTTGTAAGGCCTTTTTATGGCCTGTGTTGGATTGGAAGACATCCATGGTTCAGAGTGCGATTGGATAGAGTTTTTTTTTCTCAAAATAAAGTATTTTTTTATTTATTGTGTGTATTTGAGAAAAATAAATGTCAAAAGTTAAATACCTGTTTCAAAATCCCATTTTGCCTCGAGCACTCTCATTCCACCATCATCCTATCATTATATATCTTTTAGTAATTTTATAAATAAAAAATATTTATTGATTTAAATATCAAAAAAAAATTACTCAACTTTTTTTTATATATTCAAATGAAAAATAATTTTTATTTTCTTAAAAAAAATCCATATAAACGGGTGTTAATCGTGAAATTAATGAAAGAATGTTGCATTTACTATCTGAGCCATCTTATTGAAATTAATGAAAGACTGCCCCATGACCAGTGACCATAACTATCTGAGCCATCTCCATTGTATTTACTTTTTTAATTAACATTTATTTTACAGGAAGTTGCAAAATGCTTCCCTTAATTATTTCCAATCCCATGTTAGTTATTGGCCAATAACCATAGGCTTGTACTTGTCACCGCCACTTTCCTTATAATTGAGGATAAGGAACACTTATCAAAATATCACTATTCTTTAATTTTTTCTAAATGTCATGTCAATAGTGTTAATTTTTAATATGTCACATAGGCAAATTCGTTATTAACAAAGTTCGTTACTTGTCCTAGCGAACTTCGTTGCATGTGTGTCATGTGTTATCGTGGCAGGTGGAAACGTGAAAGTGCATTAATTACAACCAAGTTCGTTACCTGAAGTAGCGAATTTGATGTCCACCAGAAACGTGACACATCAGCAAACTGAATTTGTTACAATGCCCAATAAACTTGTTCACGTAATATATTTGAAATTAATACTATTGGCATGTTGTTTAGAGAAAAAAATTAGGGAACATTGCCATTTTGGTAACTGTTCCCGAAGACAACACATACTAACTGTTTTAGGAGCTTTTGTAACAAGAGGAAGACATAATTGGCCCCAAAATCAGGGAAAATAATTGGATCTCTCTTCTTTCTTCTTTTCTCTCTCCTTTTCCCTGTCTCTTTACCTTTCTTTCTACCCGGCTCACCTGAGCCGAGATCGCTGAATAATTGCTCCAAAATCAGAATGATGCATTGTTGAACAGTTTAAGGGGTCGTTTGGTACACGGATTTTTCTTGAATTTCCAGAAAACTAAATTTTTTTAAATTTTAAATTTTTAGATATTATCGTAAACTGAATGTAAAAAGTATATTTTTAAAAATCGAGATTCCTAGACAAATAAAAATTTCTCCTGTATCAAACGCCCCCTAAGTGTTACTTATTTACCAACAACTCCGGATTATTGAGTTCGAATTTTTTTTAACAGATCCAACAAACGTAAACTGAATTAGTCGATAGTCAATCAACCTCTGAAAATATCCAAAAAAATAAATAAAAATTAGTACTTTAATATTAAAAAAACCATGACGCATATTATTACAATAGCTCAAAGATTTGAACATTAATAAAATGGAATGGCACCTGACATTGCTCGGAGTCTATTATTGCAATTCTTAAACAAGAGAGGACTGTTGTGGCAGGAGGATTACATTTTTAGGTTGCTATTAGTAAATTTAATGGAGTTAACATGAAACGATAGAATAGGAGCAATTTGTTAATCTCTCTCTCTCTCTCTTAAACCAATTTTGCAACGGCTCTAGTAAAAAAAAATAAGAATGTTAAACGTTAGATTAAAAATAAAAAACTTGAGGTATTAAAAAATGAAAAAAATACTTTTTGTTCTTTGAAGTAAATAAAAAAAAAATGAGATGAAATATTATATGATTGTTAACTAGCGTGAGTAAGGCATTGTTCCTAAAAGATGTAACTGTAAGTAAACAGCAAACAAAAAAAAAAATGTAGTAAAAAAAGAGTGCGCGTGAGAGCAGGGGATGTTTGGCGCGTGGAGGTGAGTATCCCCGTCGTTCTCGTTCCCAATACACAACTTTGCGGCTAGTAATGGAGCACCGTTGATGAGAGAGTCCAATCCAAATTGAAGAAGAAGAAGAAGAAGACGGCAGTAACAACATCAACATCAACATCAGTACATCACCCAGAAAAGAATGGTTGTGGTTATCCAAAATCACAACAAGAGAACACCGATGATTAGAAAAGAAAAGAAAACCTTTTCCTTTTCCTTTTGCTACACCTGAGGAAACATAAAATAAAACACTAGTTATTATTATTACTTCCCCTATAAAATAAATAAATTAAATAAATAAAAAAACAAAATTAAACTTAAAACAGAGAAACTAACAAACTCACTCGTGAGGCTGTGGCGATGCAACCCACATCTGGTGGCCTGGCACGGTTCCGCTCAACTCCGGCGAGCTGGTTAGAATCACTTCTTCTTAAGGAGGAAAGCGAAGGCGAAGACCCATTGAGTTTCACTCAGCTTCTTTCCAGTAACGCTGCTGGAACTTCAACAGGGAACTCTCTCTCTGCCTCTCAACAATATGAGGACGATTACCACTACGATATTCATGGCCATGCTAATCCAATCTCACACATGCAGGTTCAATTCCAACTATTCTTCACTTATCTTCTTCTTCTTCTGCTTCCTTTTGGGTTAATTAGTTGCTTCTTTTCATGTTATTAATCCATCTTCTTCTTTTCATTAAATTTTCATTGGATTAATCTATGCTGTGTTTGTTTATCTTTCTAGTGTCACCCCTTCCCCTTTTTAAATATATCTTAAATGCTTTTTTTTTTTAGGAAGTTGAGGACAGTGGTAAAGCACCCGACATGAACATGGACAAGATTTTAGAGGATTCGGTACCTTGTAGGGTTCGGGCAAAGCGTGGCTGTGCTACGCATCCAAGGAGTATTGCAGAAAGGGTTAGTCTTTTTACAAATGCAGTATTATCTATTTTCTTTCTAAATTGGGGTTTACTTCCTCATTTGCCTAATCCAAGTTGACTACAACTTTTCTTTTTTGGGATTCTCATCATTTAGGTTCGTAGGACTCGTATCAGTGACCGCATAAGAAAGCTTCAAGAACTTGTGCCAAACATGGATAAGGTTATATTTTTTCATCTCAAACCACTATACCATGTTCTAATGTTTTCTATCTTGAACAAATAATTTATTCAACAGTTATTAACCGTAGCATTTATGTATGCCCTGCATCACAAACAATGATGGAATGTCGAAAAAATGAAGAATCCATTTCATTTCCAAATGGATTCTTGTATGAAAATATATTATTACTTTAACAAGTCAACTCATTTAGAAATCATTTTGTGCTATATTTCGCGATTTGTAAATCTTATCACTTTTGATAGGATTTGCTAATCATTTCCTTTCTAATGAACTCTTTTTGACTCTGTAATTGAAGCGTTCCAAACCTGGGGTGAAATTCTTTCTATCGTTTATTAAGATATTCTTTTTTGTTCATGTGGGAGGATTTTACTAACTCTAGCCCTACAGTTCCAAACCCGCTGACATTTTGTGGTAAAGGCCAAGCTGATGCTTGAGCAAAGACACCTCGTGATCTTACCAATAAAAGACATCATTTGTGAATCCTATTAAGTACCACTGTCCAAACAAAAGAATTGACCTTAGGAGGAGCTTTGGATTTCCCAATTAGTTTGTCAAGGATACTGTAAAGAACCACTTCAATCCAAAAGCTTAAGCTGTTGGTTGAGACTACATTAATGATTTTATATATCTCAACACGTCCCCTCACACGAGAGCCCATTGGACTTGAAGGATGGACAATGCACAGGCCCACCTACCTGTACGAAGAAAGAAATTCCACTAGAAAGAAAGTGGGGGGCGAGGATTGAATCCGGTATACCGAGGCTCTGATACCATGTAAAGAACTACTTCAACCCAAAAGCTTAAGCTGTTGGGTGATGCTACATTAATGATTTTATATATCTCAACATACACGTCATTCAATATGTGAATAAACCAACAATTGGAGGAATGCCAGAATCATGTTGGTCGTTGGAGAATGTGTATATGCCGGAGTTAAATCCAACTTGACCACAAATTCTCAGGTTTAAGCCCCTACTATACAATTTTTATCAGTTTTTTATCTAATTCTTCTACACACTCAGGAGTCAGAGACATTGAGAGACAACTGTACACTAAAGTTTGTTCTTACACACGGCTCTCAAAAACAGGTAGGGTGGCTCTTGTTTTCTTTTATAGGAGGATCTGTGGTTGGATTTTGGAAGAGTCTTTTCTACTGTATCTCTTCCCTTGACTTTGCAGTCTTTTTACCCTTCATCATACTCCGTATCTTTCTTTCATTCCACGGTTTAGTAGAAAACTTTCACTTTTGCTGGAAACTAAATGATAGAGATTTTAGAGATCATAAATTACATGACCTTATTTGATTTGTTTCATTTTCCCCAAAAACCCAATAGAATAACTTGGCTATTAGAATCTTCTGGTTCATTTACCTCCAAATATGTTTTTCAAGATCTGATTCATAACCCTTCAAGCCTGGACTTGGTTTTCTCCAACACCTTTTGGAAGGTGAAGTATTCCTCCAATGTTAACGTCCATGTTTGGATATAATACTTAAAGGCAGCGTAAAGCTTTGTCCTCTGATGTAATGTGTTTTGCATTATGAAGTGGCTTGGCAAATTTGGAATAAGCTTTGCATTGTTTATGTGGGGAGCTTTGGGTTTGGCCTGCTACCTCAGGACACATTCTTTCTACCCTATATAGAGGTTATGGGTAAGGCAAGAACAAGCAGCTCTATGGAACTGTGCAGATTTTGCTGGTGTTTGGTGCCTTTGGCTGGAGCATGATGCTAGAGTTTTTTCCATCATTTCCAGCTGTTAGATCTCCTGCTTCTTGGCCTCGTTATTGTTCAAAGCTAGTGGTTTCTTGGATATTTATTTATTTGTTCTACAAAGCGATTGGGCTGCTCTCTCAAGATGATGGGTTTCTTTTCTTGTTTCTCTTTGCTCTCTTTTCCTTTGGTGTTTCTGGTGGATACTCATTCTACCCTCGTTCTCTCTTTCTTTCTAGTATGATCTTTTTGTTTTCCGTAAAAGAAAATATTTTTGTAAGCTTGGTTTTGTTTTTGTTTTTTATTATTTTATATTAAATTTTTCCAAAACAGCCCTTCCGTTATCCATACAAAAATAGGCTTAACAATCCTACATATGCATACATACATGTTCCGAAAGATCAATTTATATACTGTAAATATTTTAGTTAGAGACAGTTATGCAATGCTTGAAGAGTTTAATTTGTCATTATTTGTTTTTTTGATAAGTTAATTTGCAGTTGTTTAATGTGGTTGTTGCTTTTGTTCTTGTAGCAAACAAATACTGCAGACATGTTAGATGAGGCGGTAGCTTATGTCAAGTTTCTACAAAAGCAAATTGAGGTACTCTTTTGTGTGTGACTAATTAAATGCTAGTGACTTTATTGTTCTCTCTGCCGTTTGGCACTCAATATATTGATAATAATCTTGGCCCTGGGATTGGGGACTAATCTTTCATTAGTTGAGTAACTTAAAAACATTGCAGGAACTCTCAGAGCACCAGCAGAGATGTAAATGCATGGTTGAAGACTAAATTGCTGATTGTTCGCATATAGTGGCTGACTGCTTGTGCATTATTTTATGAATTATCAGACTTTTGGCTTTCTGATGAAGATCAATACTACACTGGTTGCTGATTATAAATCTTCAATGTCTCGAGATACCTTTGTTGATGCAGTTTCTGTTACATTCTTCTGCAATATATACATGTTAAGGGTGCCACTATCAAGTTCATGAAGAATCAACTTCGAAGAGAATTCCCCTTAGTGTGGTATTGCGGTAAAGTTGTATAGTTGTAGTGTTGTATAACTTTTAAGAGAGACAAATTTGCAAACCTAATAGCTACTTGAAATTATCTTTTATTAAGATATACATAACCAACCATATGTGAAATCTTTTGCATCGACAGAGTCAGATTGTGCCGAATTACTCCAGCTATATAGCTGACAGGTTTTTGCATTGGTGTTTTACGTATTTATCGGTTGATCCTTCCATAAGCTTTTTAATTTGTTATTTTATTCTATTATATTCTTTCTTTTCCCGCACTAGTACTATATTAACATTGTGCTGTACTCGAGTATTGACACGTACTGACAAGTCTGTCAGTCCTTCTTTTGTGTGTGTGTATTTTACAAAGAAAATGATCTGTATAATGTTTAACTCTTGAAATTATTTGTTCAATTATCTAAATAGCATCTTTAATTATTTAAAGAGTTAATAATTTGAAAATAGTAATCATATGGTTATTTAATATTTTGTTTTCTATTTTTTTGAATTGTTTATATCAACATTTTAAAATATCAAAGTGTGACTAAATTGAGATAATCCTTTTTATAATAGTTATGTGTAATGGTATACAGTAACCGTGTTTCCAATTCTTGTTTGAAAGCAGCATGAGCAGCTGAAATATATACATACGTATTTAACCATTAGTTGACCCTAATTTGTGAATTATTTTCTATACATGAAGCTTAGTTGAGATATATAAAAATTATTAATGTAACCTCACCTAACAGTTTAAACTTTTATTAGGTTGAATTGGTTCTTTACATGATATCAAAGTCCTGTGTCCTGGATTTGATCATCGCCGCCCTCACTTTCTTTCAAGTGGAATTTCTTTCCAACAGCTTAAATTTTTGAGTTTGGATTGAATTGATTCTTTATAAAGCTGAATATATTTTGTTAGAATATTTTTCGTCTATCATTCGTTTGGGTATTTCATTTTTCTAAATAGTTATTAATTATTGATTACTACTTTTTATAGATCCCTTGCCGTCTTGCGTATTTATAAAAGGCAAATCTATTGACAATTTGAAATTATTATTATAGTTTAAAAAAAAAAAACCTTTTACGTAGATTGTTCATAATTCCATTTTTTTCAATGGTATCCAATCTCTCGAAATAAAAAGCGAAGGTTTTTTGTTAACCCCAGATGCTTCACCAAAGAATAGAATTAGAGACCCGGTTGGGCACAGCTCATTTCGGGATTTCTATTACATTTTATTTACAAATATATTATTTATTATTGTTTATTAGTTGTTACTTGGGGTGCGCATCGTTTGATTGCGTTTAACTGACATTTTACAGAACAATTTTTATGCTTGGGACGATGGCTCGACTAATAATGAAGTAAAACCGAGTTAAAGTATACAAAAAAAAATTGAGTTAAACCTAGATAAAATGTATAAGGTTTAATATTAAAATTAGAGGTGTTTTGTAATATGAAAGTAAATTATATATAAAATATTATGATATGACATAAAAAGACCCATTGGAGGTCTCCTCTGCTTAAATTAAACATCAATGTTAAATTATTGGTACAAAAATTTCTTCCCAGTTAATCTGAACACAAGAAATTGAACATGGGTCAGGATCGAAATGTCAGGTTGAATTTTTAAACTAGGCCCAATCCGTCCAATTAATCAAACGAGAGCTTTAATGGCCAGAGAAAATTTCTCTTGTGTACTGTAGAATTACCTTGTGGTTAGAGTTTCAGACTAGCAGCTTAACACAAATTAAATATGCTTTACTGCAAGGACTGACAGACACTGCATGTATTCATAAACCCGAAAGATACAAATCTAGAGACTAAAGTCTTTGCAAATATCAACACATCATTACAAACACCAACACAGAAAACAACAATTACTAATAGTATTTGGTTTAGCAACTGCGTTGAACTCGTTGGGTCAAATAAACCAGATGCCAAGTAAGAGACATGAGATTCATGATATTTAGCAGTGACGAATATGAATTCATTCTCTTCAGCTTGTCATTCAGCTTCATTATCCTCGATCTCACTGCATTCTGCTCTTTCCCTTTTGTGGGTGATGCTGCTGCTGTTGCGGTGTCTTTAGGATCAACCGTGTGCTGATGCTCTTCTGTTCTGTTTCGTTCAGGAGTCATATCCTCTCTGCCCCTTCCTTCTTCTTTTTCTATTTTCATCCTTTCGAACACCAACTGATATTTAAAAAGAAACTGAGTCAAGCTGGTATGTATTTTTTTAAAAAACTCTCTGTATAAATAATAACAAAAGCTGAAACAAATAGAAAAGGTACCTTAGTGGCCCGAGGCTCCAGGTAAACATAATTGACGAAAACTGCTATAAGCGAGGCGAGAAGGTTATATGCTTGCAATGTTTCTGCCTTGCTGAAGAAGAGCCTATTTCTATGGCTCAAGACATGCCCCAACAAAGCAATCCCAATACTATAAGCCATGGCCCTGAAATAAACAGGGTATATCTTACTCTGCACCACAGCAAATTGTTGCCTTGGCATAGCCCTCGACAGCACATAGCTGGAGATGAACGTGACCCACACACACATTCCATAAGCCGTGGCAAACCCCAGCAAGTTAGCCACTCCCATCAAAGGATTGAGGGTCTCCGTAGATAAATTGCTTGCCACACGCTTCACTGCATCTTTCACACTATCACTCGCCTCCGACACGTTTCTAACTACGTGATCCTTAACGGTTTGGCCCGTGTCCTTAGCTTTATCAACAGACTCTCTTGCATATTCGTGGACATCATGGGCTTTATCATAGACGGTTTCTTTAGCCTTGCCAACAGCATCGGAAAGAGTATTACCAACATCACGTGCTGCTTCCTTCTGGTTATGGAGGGTCTCTTGAGACTTATCCTTGGCCTTGCCCATAGCAGTGGCAATTTTATGCTTGCATTTTCCAAAGGCATCGCAAATGAGTTCGGTCGGAGCATGAAGAAAGGCCGCCGCATCTTGAGGATGAGGAGGGAGGTCGTGTGAAATGCCTTGACCCATACCCATGTTAGGGAGAACGGAAGCAGCCTCTTTGATCTTATCTTTGGCATTGTCTAAGACGTTATCGTGATGGTGTTGTTCGGGGGAGATTGAGATTTTGGTGTTCTGCTTACCATCTTTGTCGTATTCAACAACCACAACTCTGTGCCCTTCTTTCACAATCTGTTGTGTGTCTGCGATCGGACTCGGAGACAAGATACCCGCTGCTGCAAGTGAAGTCACCAACAGGCTCAACCCTATAACATTCATCATCATTCTTCTTCTTCTTCTTCAAATTGCACCTTGTTTTTAAGTGTGTTTTATTTTGAGGATTCTTTATGTTATAGATTGGTTCGGTTATAAGTCTCTGACTCGGTGGTGGTTAACTGCCACGTTGCATGGTGAAATGGAATCAGACGTCGCCACGTGTGGTCTGGCTTCGGCAGTTGCCCACGTATCATTCTTCGTGTCGACATCAAACGGCAATGTTTAGTTTGATCAAGTGCTAGATGAGTCTAGACTCTAGGACAATCCGTTTCGCTTTTCTTATTATTTAAGAAATAATTAAAAGTATTCAAGAGTGTAGTTCGCGTTGCAAAAATAAATTCAAAATGTTCGCTAAAAAAAAAGAATTGAATGAATGTGCAAAATAGGCTTATGCTAGCATTTTTTTTTAAGAAAACATCAACTTATCAACACGAGTTTATTCTCAAAATACGTAAGTAAAACTGTATTTACTTTTAATTTAATTTAATTTAAATTTCGTAATAAACTTAGGGTTTGATGTTTGTATTTTTAAGTAAGAAAAAGAAATACACAATAAAAAATCATGAAGGAAAAAATGAATAATTTTGTTTTTAATTTAAATTTTAAATAAAAAGCACTAATTTTAACTAAAAAGACTATACTTTAAAAAGACAAACATTTTTCACGTAAACTTAGAGCCTGTTTGGATCCTCTTAATTTTAAGCTAGAAGTTACTTATAAGCTAAAACTAAAAAAAGAAGCTAAAAGCTGTTTGGAAATTACATAAAAAATTTAGCTAAAAAATTACTTAAACGTACATATTTCAAGAAAATTATCTCTCTCTATATCTTTATCACTCTTCGTTTAAAAAAAAATCACACAATTCAAGAAAAACAGATAAGAGCTTAAAAAAAAAGCTCCTCCTAGGAGCTTTTAGTTTTCAGTTTTTTTCTTTATTATAAAAAAAGAGCTTTTCACTATAAGAGCTTTTCCCAAAACCTGTTTGGCCTGGCTTCTAGCTTAAAAAAAAGAGGATCCAAACAGGCACTTGATGAGTTAAAAATGTAAGGATGCTCACTGTATAAATAAACTCAGTTAAAAAAGGAAAAAAACACAGTTTTCCTTTTACTATAATACATCAACTTGTCGAGGTACCTGGTCTAGAACGTTTGCTTAGATTATCCAACTTACTGCTAATGCTAGTTCTAGTGTTGTATTTGGTTTCATTTCATTTTTGTCCAAAATCAATAGCAAAATAACGACTAATAGCCACTTACCGATCTAGTAGAACTAAATCTCTCGACACGTTCTCAGCCTAATGTGGCTATGAATGTCATCATCAACTAAAATAATTTGAGAAGAAGTAAAACAATCTATTTCAGAGCTATGGTAGTACTATTTTCTTTCTCGTCAAAGCTATGTCATGCTGGTAGGATTTCTGTTATCTGATTAATTTAAATTCATCTTTCTGTTGTTTACGTAGGTTTCTCATTTTTTTTAGCATTTGATCCTTCTTTTCATAATTGTTATCATTACGGATACTACATTTTTTTATTATTATGTATTTTTTTTTTTTTCAAAAGATGGCTCTGCTCTTTTAGCCTCTTTTGATTCTTGAATCTTAGACCGAGATGGAAACAGCAGCGATGTTTAATTTAACAGATGCTGCTTATTCGATTGCAATCGTCTTGAGTAAATTAGCACCCCAACCGAGACCTTGGAGTCCAGCCCAACAAAGCAGCCCGACCCAGCAATATAAATCGGTCCATTACGTAGACAATCAGTGGAGCCACCCAAGAGTCCGCTAGGAAACGCACCCTCTAGACCTAACGTTATCATGATACGGTCCTTATTAGGGGCCGTAATTCGTGTCTGCGAGTCATTTTCATGTCGGGCGAAAATCGAACAAGAATACAAATATATTAGAAAGAGGAAATATATGTTTACAAATTTTTTTTATAAATTTTTACAAATTATACTATATATTCTCGAGAGAATATAGTGTAGCTTAGTGTTCTCCCAGAAGAACATAATGTAGTTTGTAAATAAAAAGTTTGTAAACATAATCCTCCCTATGAGATATAAACATAACATAAATTTGAAGATGAATTAAAATCTTCGATACAAATATAACACACTTATTTTGAGAGTTAGAATGACATGACGCTAATAAGTAATAACTCATCAATTTCAAAATATATTTTTTATTATGCGAGTTAATTAAACCAATGTTATTAAAATCGGCTAGGTCATTAATCCGCTCCAGGTACTGGGTTACTAGATTACTGGTTCAACCAGTAAATCATTGATTGAATCGCATGACTCGGTAATTATATGCAATTCTATAATTTATATTAAAAAATTATAACATACTCAAATATATAAAAATAATAATAAAAATTTCAAATATTTTAATATAAAAAATAATAAATCACACATTATTATCCAATAAAGGATCAAACAAAAATATAATGATTGTGATACATGGTTTCAGGTTCAATAAACGATATCTCTAACTATAAATCAAATCAAAATTTCCTGCATGGTGCATAATTGAGATAATATTAGTGTTGTAGGTACATAACCTATGTAAGTCAATAAGCAAAAAATACTCAAATATGTCCATTATGATTTTTATTTTGAGATCCGACCGAGTCACCGATTTTCACAAAAATTGAGCTAGGTCGCACCAGTTCTAATACATGGTCGGTCTGTTGCTTCACTCGAATAAGTTATATGACCGATTTAACGGTTACCGGATCGACCCAGCCGGGCCAATCCGATTTTATTAACATTGGATTAAACAAGCTTGTTTGTGTTGTTATTTTGAGAGTTAAAATGACATAACACTAATAACTCATCAATTTCAAAATATATTGCTTGTTATGTGAGTTGATTTAACACACTTGTTTGTGTCGTGTTAGTGAAACATGTTTAAAGTTATCAGTTCTAATCCTTCATAGCCCCAGCTACCAATTGATACGAATCTTATGAGAAGCTTATCCTAAAAACTAGCTTGCAAGATAAAAGAGTCCAAAATCCATATAAATCTCATACTAGAATCTTAACGTGAGACTTCAAGTCTCGTACTTTGCAATTGGATCATAACAATACACTTTTAAAATTTTTTATTGAAATTTAATTATGTTTTGTCATGTTATTTAATAAATTTAACATCTCATATAATTATTAATGTAATTAAATTTGTGAAATGCTGTGTCAATACATCATTAAACGTAAGTGTAATTTTCTTTTTACTGATAATGCATCAAAATTAAATTCTTTTAGATACACATAAGTGATATGACCTTATAAAGTCTTGTACGCTTATAAACATTCATAAACTCTTACCAAAATTGATTCCTTTATGTTTGTTAGTCAAAATTGGAGTTTGGTAGACATTGAATATTGATAACATTTTTAATTAAGGTTGAATTAGAGCGAACCAGAAGGCTTATGGTCCCTGAAAGCCTTAAAATTGATTTTGTTTAACCATTACTTCATATAACACACTTATGCAGAGGCAAAGTGGCATGGGCTAAATTTTTTATTTTCTTTATTCGAGTATATTCTTGAGGTCCAGTCACCTTCTAAAAAGATCAGAATAGATAGATATAAAGAGAAAAAGGTGACCCAAAAAACCGGCATGCGCATTTGCATGTGCAGGGATGCGATGCTAACTTGGCTTGCTAATATTTAGGAAACAAAACACGCATAATCGATAGAACTACCACCATACATCACTTTCAGGAGTTCATATTTTGGTGTTACTAACAACAATAAGAGATTTTAAGAAAGCAATTGCTCATCTACCTCAATCATTAATCTAAAGAAAAGTATTCTAATTGAAAATTGCTGTGAAACACTTGAGCGTGTATACCTTGAGGGTTTGGTCCCTTGAAATCTGATGAAGTAAATGGTTTTATATTTTTATTTGTATCATTGGATAAAAAAAATAAAAATCAAAACATGCTAGTGCAAAATTATAAAGAAATAAAACAAGCTTAACATAGCAACACCCATTATCGTTGACTTGATAAATTTAATTTTCAATACTTACAATAATTATGTTTAGTGATAAACGAGTCACATTTTTAAGAAGTGAATTAAATTGCAAATCTAACAATGATTATTTCTTCATGCAAATTAATGTTTCTAACATGCTTGAGCTTCTCACTTTCCAATTTTTTTTTGAACAGCTAAGTCCAAGTTTATTTATCACAGAATTAATGTTAACTTACTATTTATATAATTCTATACAATCTTTTTACATGTTCTTAGATCTCTTTAAGCTAGGAAAAAACAAAACACTCATTCACAGTATATTCTTGTTCATGAAATAGGAAGGGAAAGTTTAATAGGAGACTATAACACTGCGATACGAATGTATTTGGATGTAAGCCATTAAGATTAGTATAATGATAATGGATTAAGGTAATTTGTATGAGGTCATAAATTCAAACTTCAGTGTCACCATTTATATATAAATAAAAAGATGTATTTGGATGTGAATTTGTCATTTACTGTTTTTTTTTTTTAAAAAAAAATAAAATAAAATTTTAATGATTCAAAATAGTAGCACAATGGAAAGTCCATTTGTTGATCAATTTGGTCCCAACCCAAACAGTATTGTCCAAACGCTCGAGTCCTTTGGCCAGCCTTCTAACCAAAAAATAAGACACTTTAAATTATTGAAGCAATAAATGGGTGATAAACTTTTACTTGTTAATTTAACTTATTTTGGATAGGTACGTAGCTGTCAAGTTCTGTCGTGAAAACTGGCCAACCAATTATAATCAAATTATTATACATCATAGCTCAATTCTTTTCTTTAAAATTAGTTTTGTTTTATTGTTGATGCAAAAACAATTATTTAAAGATTTAATCATTATAGCAATTGTATAAATAAAAATACTTTATAAGAAATAATGAATTTTTTTATGAATTCAATTTTGATTTATGAAAGTATAACTTTTCATACATTATTATTTAATTATGTAGTATCACATTAATAAAAAAAATCTTAATTATGATTATAACTATTTAAAAAAAATAAATATTTAATAATTTATTGATACATGTTGGAATTATTAATGCAATAAATATTTTTGATAATAATTATGGAGAAAGATATTGTGACAACCAAGTTGTGTTACTACCAAATGACTACCAATTAATCTCACCGTTAGATCGATTATGTTGATCCAACGGTTATATTTATTTCCATCTTTGTATGGTTATGATTTCCCATATTTAAAGTGAAAGCATTAAATATGAAAAATCATAACCATACAAAGGTGAAAATAAATATAAAGTATTAAATTTGGGAAATCATGACCATACAAAGATAGAAATAAATATAACCGTTGGATCAACATAATCGATTTAACGATGAAATTAATTGGTAGTCACTAGGTAGTAACACAACTTGGTTGTGACATATCCTTCCCCAATAATTATATATCAAATAACTTACAGATACCGCATAAATAGGGATATTCAATGTAAAATGCGGATGATGCATTAATGACTAGGTTGTGGGACATGAATGATGCTGCATCACATGGTATGGAATATGGATAGTTCCATTTCGGTCACCAATTGGGGCAATCTTTGAATGCTTGAAAAGTCATGCGCCCTTTGGATATTCCATCGTTAAAGATAAATGCAACAAAGGAAAGAGAAAATAGCAGACAGAGAGAGGAAGGGCACACAGAAATCGCAAGAGAATGTTAGTTACACTGCTTTTCCGTTGGATTCACCAAACCTTAACTATTAAGAAAAAGAAAAACTCATAACCTTACAAGTAAGTTATTTTATAATTTTTATGTATTTTTCATTTTTTGTTCTTACTTTTTTTTATTAAATTATTTTTGTCCAACTAAAAAGTATCACGGCAATTCTTGCTCTTACTTTTTTTATGAAAATATATTTTGTAATGAAATCTATGTAATTTTTTTCTTACTTTTTCTTATCAAATCTACTAAAAAATCTATGCACTTTTTTTTTTTTTTTTTCTGGTAATCTATGCACCTTTTTTCCTACGAATAGCCAGGGCTTTCAGGAGTTAAAGTATTCTATATTGCTTTTACTCAATAAAAATTATAACGGACATAAAGAAAATAATATATTCTCTGGATATTATTATTATAATTCAGTTAAGGCTTGTTCGCTATGTTGGAGCGAATGAAATATGTTAAATTATTATATCTTGTTTTTATTTGACGAGCCAATAAAATATGATAATATTATTTTATTGTCTCATTTTATTCCACTTATAGCATAATAAGTTATGCTAATATGATAATATATTTTATTTGAAATTATGACTTTTAATTTTTTTTTAATAATTTAAAGTAAGAAAAAAAATGTATAAATAAATTAAAAACAGCTTTATCTCCGGTGAGAGATTAATGTTTCTCGGATAACAACTTATCTCTTATTCCAAAGAGACATCATTTTAAATTAAAAGAAATATGGCTATAAAAAAAATTAAAAGAAATATATTTTTATAATTATAATTTATTATGAAAATATATTAATTCTAATTATTATAATTTTTTTTCTCTTAACCCAAAACAATATTGGTTTAGGATAATTGAAGATAATTTTATTTTCAGTGACGGAAAAAATATAAAAAAAGTATAATTTTACTACACAATTTGCAAATTGCTTTTTTATTCCATTTTTGCTTTAAAAAAAGTATAATTAACAACCATGATTATCTTATTATAAAATATAGTTAATTAAATAAAAATCATAAAAAAATTATGATTCTTCGGAGATAATAATTATATATTTGTCATATTTTGAAAAAGGATGGATGGAACGATCGAAACATATCATATACCTCATCTCGTACTTCAAAAGCTACTGGTCTCAGTTTTGACAGCATACCATTAAGAGCCACAAAAAGCTGATAACCATAGAAATTTTCATACTCGGTTGTTTGTGGCTTGTGGTTGTGGGGCTAATTGTGACTGTTTCTCTCCCACCTTCCCTTTCTCTCTCTACACAGACACATAATTTATGTAACATCGATATCGACACGGGACACGTGATATGACACGACACGACATTCTGACACGTTAATTTAAAAAATATTAGATTTCGACACGTTAGGACACGTTTTGATATTAAATAATATTTTTAATTTATATAGTTTATAATATATTTAATATTCAATAATTTAACAAAAAATGAAACTAAACTTATAATATTCATCAATTTTGTAAATAAACATAAGATATCCCAAATATTTATATTAAACTCAATAAAATGGTAATCGTAATCTAACAAATCTATCAGTTAGAACTAAAAACTCAATGCAACACAATCTTTGAACTTTTTTTTTTAAAAATTTTATAACATGTGTTAGAATGTCAGAGTGTCGAAGAGTATCAAACACAACACATCAGGATTTTTGAAGCGTTGGTGCTCTGTAGCACACAACAATATAATCCAGAGAAAGGCAAGTCGGGACGTATAATAGTTATTGTGGCATAGTTTATTTTATGGCCAGCCAGATCGAATATTCCCTGGGCATTTTTATTTGCACGATTTAGACTGTCAAGGGTTTTTATGCTTTTTCTTTTAAAGGAAAATTGTGTTTAAGAATACTTTTTAATTTCAATAAATCACATGATATTGATTATATTATAATTCTTATCATCTTTTTTTGGAAACATAATTGTTATCATCTTTAAAACATCTTATATAAATTAGAGAGAAAAAAATCTAATTGAAATATCATAATCACAAGTTTTATTAGAATAATTATTCGTTTTTACGTAGTATCAATTAACATTGATTATCCATAATCATAATTCCCCCTTCTTTATTTTCTGGCTTTGTTTACTTCCTTCTTTAACTTTTGATGATATTACAGGTTCTTTATCTTATAAGTCCATCCATATTTATTATTCTAGAATTTAAAAATCATTTTTTTTTAATCTGTGTGGTTATAGAAAACAGCATATCCTTATATTAATAAAAACAGGAAGAAACTTAGCAAAACATAAAAGGAGAAGAAATAGAAAAGGAAATGGCCCAAAAAAGTTTCTTTTTCACTAATCAAAAAGGGACAGAGAAGAACAAATAAATAAGATAAAATAGAAAAGAAGAATAAGCAAATAAAAATGAAGGAAGGACACCGTAAATGCAAAACCGACACGACACGAGCGTTTCCAAGTAGAAACTAGAAAGGTTTGGGTACAACTGGCAATTATGACAAAAGCAAAACGATCCACTTTCAAGTTTGAAGTATTAAGATTAGTTTGATGCATATGAGTCATCAAATTTGACTTGTGACTCAACCAAGTCTTGAGTTTCCATTTGTTGCCCTATTATTTGTTTACAAAAACACTTTATTAAATCTTTTAGAAAATTAACTGTTTGATTTAAATTTGTGCGATCTCACCCAACATTTATGTTTTTTTTTTTGTTATCAATTTCAAGAAGCTTTCTGTTCTATTTAGTGATCTCATCCCAAAATGATTCAAACAGATTTTTACACCGACTTCACAATTTGAAAAATTATGCTTTCTTATATTTTTAATTTATAATAATTTGAAAATGATAAATAGAACGGAAATGTAGCTTCGAATTGGAAAACAATTATAAATGTTACAAAAGTTATATTTGGTAATTATTGTATTAATCCGGCAAAAGCAGAATTGTTACGTTGCCGACCTTTTGGACAAAAGACTTGATAACCTTGACAGTGTTTTTGGGTTTAGGATATTCTTCACAGTGAGTTGAATAATTGATTTGCCTAATTCCTTCGAAAGGGAGATATCCTATCAAAAGTGAAATCTGCTTTTTCTTTCAAAAATTATATATTAAACATTATAGTGCTTGAATATTTTCTTAGTTGTCCATCAGGCCCACCACCATTAATTAATCTTTTATTATTTTTTTATTTCGTCCACCTAAATTTATCCCTATCTTCAGGCCCACATCATCATAATCAGAAACAACAACACTCAAATTAGTAACTAAATATATAAACAGTTAACACCACCTCAGTAAATGGAAAATATCAATTAAAATAAATAAATATTTTTGGAACGAAAGAACTAAAAAAAATTGATTTCATAACACACCAAAAAAAGGTTGTATCAACATACAGAATTATTATGTTACACACAAATCTTTAGAAAATTTATTAAAGTAAACAAAAATAGTCGTGTATGGGTTTGGATGGATAAGAACTAAGAAGTGAAATAGTGAAATTTCTCTCTCCAAACCCCACCTGTACCACCCTATGCAACCCACTGGAATCTAACACCATCAAAATTAAAGGCATATGAATCAAGTGGCCACCAAACAAGACGTACATTTCTGTCTTCGTACTCAAAGATGAGCATTCTCAATTTCACATCACCACCACTATCGCCTACTCTTCTGTATTCTTCACTCCTACTCTTCCTTCCTTCCTTCATGGCCCTTCTTTAATTCTTGTTTCTTTTCTTGCACAAGCACAACAACATAATTGAATTCCCTTACACTCATTTAAGCTGCTAATATCATATCATCAGCATCATCATGATGAACAAGCTCGTAGTGGAAGTTCTTGATGCCAGCGACCTCATGCCCAAAGATGGAGAAGGGTCAGCTAGCCCCTTTGTAGAGGTAAACTTTGATGGTCAACAGCAGAGGAGTCAAACGAAGCACAAAGACCTCAATCCTTATTGGAATGAGAAGTTTGCTTTCAACATTAATAACCCAAGAGACCTTCCTCACAAGACAATTGAAGTTGTTGTTTACAATTACAATGATCCTAAAGCTTCCAACCACAATAATTTCCTAGGAAGGGTGAGAATCTCAGGTGTTTCTGTCCCTCTATCTGAGTCTGAGGCTACTGTCCAACGCTACCCACTTGACAAACGTGGTCTTTTTTCAAATATCAAGGGAGATATCGCTCTTAGAATTTATGCACTTCATGATCCTTCTTTTTCTTCTTATGCTGCTCCACCTCCACAACAACAACAACAACAACAACAACAACAACAAGCACAAGCCAGTCCTGGTGTTGAACTTGAACCTGAACCTGATTATTATGAGGAGACTCCCTTGCAAGAAATGAACACTAACATGCTATATGAGGAAAGCATGGCTGCTGATGCAGAGATGATGATGATGAAGAAGAAGAAGAAGCAGCAGAAAGAAAAGGAAGTGAGAACTTTTCACTCCATTGGGATCGAGAAAGCCACTCATGCTCCTCCTGCTCCTGGTCCTCCTCCTGCAGCACCAGCAGTTGAAACGAGGGCTTATTCTGCAAAAGCTGGGCCACCGAATGTAATGTTAATGCAGATCCCAAAGCAAAACCCGGAGTATGCATTGGTTGAGACATATCCTCCGCTGGCAGCTCGTCTGCGCTATAGAGGAAGGGACAAGATATCAAGCACTTATGATTTAGTGGAACAGATGCAATACTTGTATGTGAATGTGGTGAAGGCAAGAGATCTTCCGGTGATGGATATCTCAGGAAGTCTTGACCCTTATGTCGAGGTGAAGCTGGGTAACTACAAAGGAGTCACAAAGCACTTGGAGAAGAATCAGCACCCAGTTTGGAAGCAAATTTTTGCATTCTCAAGTGAGAGGTTGCAATCAAATTTGCTTGAAGTGACTGTCAAGGATAAGGACATTGGCAAAGATGATTTTGTGGGTAGAGTTCTCATTGATCTTACTGAGATTCCTCTTCGGGTACCCCCAGATAGCCCCTTGGCTCCTCAATGGTACAGATTGGAGGATAAGAAAGGGCAAAGGGTTAATAATGGGGAAATCATGCTTGCAGTTTGGAAAGGAACACAGGCTGATGAGTCATTTCCTGAGGCCTGGCACTCTGATGCTCATAACGTCAGTCACTCTAACCTTTCAAATACGCGATCGAAGGTATATTTCACACCCAGGCTTTACTATCTTAGAGTTGAAGTAATTGAAGCTCAAGATCTTGTCCCTTCTGAGAAAGGCAGAGTCCCAGACCCTTTAGTTAGGGTACAACTTGGAAATCAAATGAGATACACAAGGCCAATGAGAGGCACTAACCCAGTTTGGAACGATGAACTTATGTTTGTGGCAGCTGAGCCTTTTGAGGAATTTATAATGGTGACAGTTGAGGACAAAGTAGGTCCTAATAATGTTGAAATCCTAGGAAGGGAGATTATATCAGTCAGAAATGTTCCAAGACACGATACCAGCAAGCTCCCTGATCCTCGTTGGTTCAATTTGCACAGGCCTAGTGCTGTTGGTGAGGTAGAAACAGAGAAAAAGAAGGAGAAATTCTCAAGCAAGATTCACCTTCGAATCTGTCTAGAGGAAGGATATCATGTGCTTGATGAGTCCACCCATTTTAGCAGTGATCTTGAGCCATCCTCAAAACGTTTGAGGAAGAAGAAATGCATTGGAATTCTTGAACTTGGGATACTGAGTGCCCGGAATTTGCTACCTATGAAGGCCAACCAAGGTAGGACTACTGATGCATACTGCGTGGCCAAGTATGGCAACAAATGGGTTCGAACCAGAACCCTGCTCGACACACTGTCCCCTAGATGGAATGAGCAGTATTCATGGGAAGTTAATGATCCATGTACTGTGATCACAATCGGGGTTTTTGACAATTACCACATCAATGGGAGCCATGACACTAAAGATCACAAGATTGGAAAAGTAAGAATCCGGTTATCGACTCTGGAAACTGATAGAGTGTATACTCATTATTATCCTCTGCTGTTTCTCCAACCTAATGGCCTGAAGAAGCATGGAGAGCTTCACTTGGCAGTGAGATTTACTTGCACAGCTTGGGTTAATATGGTAGCACAGTATGGAAAGCCTTTGCTTCCAAAAATGCATTATGCCCAACCAATACCTGTTAGGCTCATAGATTGGCTCCGTTACCAGGCCATGCAGATTGTGGCAGGGCGGCTAGCAAGAGCTGAGCCACCACTTAGACGTGAAGTTGTTGAGTATATGCTTGATGTTGATTACAATATGTGGAGTCTAAGGAGAAGCAAGGCCAATTTTTACCGCATCATGTCACTCCTCTCAGGTGTTACATCTGTTTGTAAATGGTTTGATGACATTTGCACTTGGAGAAACCCAATTACAACCTGCCTTGTTCACGTCTTGTTCTTGATACTGGTTTGCTATCCAGAATTGATATTGCCAACCATTTTTCTTTACTTGTTTGTAATCGGGATTTGGAATTACCGGTTCAGGCCAAGGCATCCACCCCACATGGATGCTAGACTTTCACAAGCAGAATCTGCCCACCCAGATGAATTGGACGAGGAATTTGACACATTTCCAACTACAAGACCTTCAGATATTGTGAGAATGAGGTATGACAGATTGCGGAGTGTGGCAGGTAGAGTACAGACTGTGGTTGGAGATTTGGCTACTCAAGGAGAAAGGGCTCAAGCCATACTAAGTTGGAGAGACTCCAGGGCTACAGCTATCTTCATCATCCTCTCACTTATTTGGGCTGTGTTCATTTACATAACTCCCTTCCAAGTAGTTGCAATTCTAGTAGGACTATACCTGCTGCGTCATCCTCGCTTTAGAAGCAAGATGCCATCGGTACCAGTTAATTTCTTCAAGAGATTGCCTTCCAAATCAGATATGCTGCTGTGACGCCTCACTTGAATTTCTTTTATCGAATTGTTGTGCACAAATATATATATGAATAAACAGACTTGCACCATTATACCCAAATGAAAGAGGGTACGGCAAAGATGTTCTTGTACTAGCAAAAGCACACTTTCATCATTATATGTATATCCCAGAGCCTCAATTTCAGCTATGAAAATAAATATTCCTTCATGCTTGGAGCAGCTTTATTAAATTATGAAATGCTGTACTTCGTATTATTGTTAACCACGCGATGGGCTAAAGCAAGTTCGTTCACGCTCATAAAACAGGGTCCAAAATAGATTTTCTGTTAATCACACCTAAAGCAAAAGATGTGGGGTGAGATTTTGCAGAAGTATACATGGGCAAACACTTTAAAATCTTACCAATTTGAATGTCAAAACTTTGAAATAACAATTTGACTTGGGAAAAATTAAAAACGAACAACCTTTTACTGGGACCAAATACCACTAAACATTAGAGCTACTGCCAGAGTAATAATTGTCAAGATGCTGATAGATATTCCACCCAAAAGAGCCTTATCAACAAAGTCCCACTTTCTCACGCTCGCTTCTTGCTTTTTAATAGATCCCGAGGCAAGTTCGCTCTCTACCCTTTTGCGCAGATGCTTCCGCTTCCTCAGTATCCATCCAATGAAATTTCTACTGTTTTGATTCTGGGCCATTGCAGTGCCTCTCGAACTATCACTCTTCTCGAGAGTACTCAGACCACAACAGCTATCATTTCCACAAGCACAAGATTCTGGCTCTTCTGAGAATCCACCAGGCTTGGATGGGTTATAGCAGACAGAAGGCATATCCTGATTAGGAACCTGCTTGTTTGAAGCTTTATTGTCACTTACATGGTTGACCGTCTTAATCACTTCTCCAAAAACTGACCACCTTCCCGAAGATGTTATCTTAACCATAGCTGAAGTTCCCAGCATATAGTCTGGAGCAATTACAAGAACTTGTATATATCCCTTCGTATGACCAACCTTCAGCATTGAAGAATAAATTAGACGAGAGATATCACAAATAAATACATAATAATATATAGAAATCACAAGTTCAACTGAAGCAGTGCTTAACAGCTTCAAATAATTCACTTTTTATCATCGCAAAACATATACACACCCCCAAAAAGATCCATCCCACCCTCTTTTATGATCTACAAGAGGCCCACTGAGCCCATGACTATGCTATGGGAGTAGACCTCTTCCAACACTTCTGATGTGCTGAAGAAAGATTTTAAGTCCTTGGAACGAAAGCAAGATATTTTTAGAGCTAAACCGATTAAGGTGTCAGATATTATATTTCAAAACACACTGCAAGAGTATGGAGAATGTAAAAGTTTAGAAGCAAAAAACTGTGGTTTTCAATATTACTCTTGATAAATGTAATGAGGTAAAAAGAGAAAAAGAAAAGAACCTCATCTCTCTCGCTTTTCCCTAAACTTTTTTTTTGCCACTTTGGCGGGTACATGGTTGTGATGCCAGATATCAAAGGGTTTCAGCCACATATATGTTATTGGTTGCAACCAATGACATTGAAAGCAACTAAAATCAAATGATGATTCAAGATCTACTATGCTGCCTTACCAAATGAACTCCATCAGATGCAAAATCAGTAATCCAAATTCTTTCCACTTTGCCTTCCATCCCAGAGTATGGTGTGAAGGCTTCAAAGACATTTGTCAGTTCACGGCTTCTTCTCTTCACCACATTACTTGGAACCTTTTTCATCCTTGCAGCAGGTGTCCCTATTCATTTTATTATTGTTGTTATCATTATTATTTGGCAGGGGTAAGAAAACTATTTTAAAATGAAAAGAAACACCCTGGCATAAACACCCTATACAAATGCCATCGGGCGTTTGGTCTGGTTGTAACTTGGATGGATTTTCTAGGCACCCAAATTCAAACCTGAGGATGCAAATTTTTCAACAGCTCAAATCCCTCCCCAGTTTTGTAATAGGGTTTTCTTTTCTTTTCTTTTTTCAAATTAAAAAAAAGTAGCATCCTGACACAGAATTGGTAACTTCAGATAAGATGACATATTCTACTTAAGTAAACAGAAAATGTTTTTTTAAAAAAAAAAAAGTAAACAGAAAATATATTTTATCTCAGTAAATATACAGCAGACTAAATTCAGAAGATTATCATGAAAAGAAATTAACCAAAATTACCTAAGATAGAGGAACTGGGGGACAAAAAAAGAATTAAGCAGATCATGTATCCCATATCACTAATAAATAGGAATCTCCATATTCTCTTTGTTTTCTCATAAGAATAAGAAAAGATGTTTATGACAGTATTCTTCACCAAGATAAAAAAAAAATCACAAACACCTCTCTTAGTAATCATTCAAAAGGATGGGGACATTGTGTGGCCCTTTATAACGAGTAAGCATACAGTGGCACCTAGGAAAGGGAAAAAATGAAAAATATAAGAGCTTCTCATCACTGCTTAATGCATCTATAAGATTGTCAGTGACCTTAAAATTATTAGGAAGACTTCTTGATTGCAAGAAACATACCCACACAATTTAGGGTTACTTTGGCACAAGTAAAAGAAATAATAAAAAGGGCGTTTCAGTGCATGAGGCTCTCACAATTATGTGGTCGGGAGGGTCAGATATGTGCAACCTTACCATATAAGCACAGTCACAACTCATAAGGCAGGAACCCCCCCCCCCCCCCAAAAAAATAAATAAATAAATAAATAATAAATAATAGCAAGCAAATGGTGCACACAACAAGTGTGGACCTAAGAAATCACATCCCTGCATCTAAACTATCCTAGTAACTTCGTACCTACTTTGATTTTATCCTTAAAATGAAGTTGAGATAGTTACACTTAAGATGATGTTATGCCAGATCACATACCTGGTCGAGGATAAAATTGTGAAATATGAACTTGAGGGAGCTTGTACTCTTTAATAAGGTTGACAGTTTGTGCAAAATCTTCATCAGTTTCCCCTGAAAAAGCCCAAGAAATGAGTGTTACTGTATAAGATCTATGCACTTTCTGATACTTTCCAGATTATCTATATCAATTCCAAATCATTTCAATCATGTACAGTATAATCTTTAATATCAAGAGAACAATGTTTCACATTTCATGTTGACAAATGACACCAAATTCTAATATTCCATGAATTATATTGTCTTTTATTATTAAATCAGTGTACAGGCATCTCAAGCTTAGAACTAGTATGTGACTATGTGGCATGTTTTCAAATAAACTGATTCACAACTTCAAGATTATATTACTCTAGACATTTTTTGCAGGTAAAATTACGCAGGCCAGAAAAAAGGATACAACAGAACATGTAACGAAGAGTATACACTAACCAGGAAATCCACATATTATATCGGTGGCAATCTGCATCCCTGGCACAAGCTCAGTTAAGGTATCTACAACAGTCCTGAACTCACTCACAGTATATTCCCGATTCATTGCCTGAGACATTCAGATCGGTCAATAAGTTAATTAGCATATTATTGTACACAATCTTATCAATAATTTTTGACTTACACTCAAAATAGTATCACTTCCAGACTGAACTGGTACATGCAAAAAAGAGTACACGCATGGATGCCGCAAAGCCTCTGCTATCTCTTTCAAGTGCTCAAGAATAAAAGGTGGATTAGTCATTCCAATACGCAGCATTGTGCTCGCATCAGCTGGTAGTTCTGCTACTAAGGCATTCAATAAAGTTGGAAGATTGACACCAATGTCACGACCTGTAAAACATCATAAGACCTAAGAAACCCTTGATATAAAACCTAATCTTAAACATTCTAAATAACCTAAATTAGTGAAAGCCATTGAAAGACACCGATCAATGTTAGAAATTACCATATGCTCCAGTGTCTTCACTGCTCAGCCATATCTCTTTAACTCCATCAGATATTACAGATTTTACACGGCCAACCTGCAACAGTGAAGAATTTATTGTATGAGCAAACTGAAATAGTATAAACACACACACACACACAAACACACACAATGTGGCTTATTATCACAACAGTACTTACAAGGCTATCTATTGTGTAACTCCCAAGGTGACCTCGAGCATGCTTTGTCTTGCAGTAAGTGCAAGCACCTAAACAACCAACATTAATAGGAAGAATCTCAACAAACTTGTTCTTCCTCACCTGTTACAAAAGCTATATTAAATGATCTAACCCCAAACTGGTTTGTAAAAATCAAGTTAATATACACTATATCAAAGCATAAAGCATCGTGGACATACAACACATGATTTAGAAAATAAGAATATAGATGAAACTAGGGGCAGGGAAGAAATAGAAAAATGTTAAAATTCAAACCTTGGGAAGGTCAAGTGCTGGCAATGTCTTACGGGTCAGGAGGCGGACTTCATGACCTTTTAAAGTCTCCTCAACAACTTCAACAACCCGATCAATTTGCTGGACTCCAACTATGCTGATCCCTTCAAGCTCTTTCAAATCTCGACTTCCTTGAGGGACGCAGCCAGCAACAACTAGTGGTTTATTTGAAGACTTTCCTTTTGCAATTATGGTATCCATGGCAGATTGACTCGGGGATTTCACTGTGCAACTGAACCAGTAAACTAATTATTTATTATTAAAAAAAGACAAAGACATATGAAGCATGAAGTGTGAAGTGAAGAGAGGTAAAAGACAGAGTGAGTGAGTGAGTGACTGACTGACGTGTTAATGAGCCATAGATGAGCTTCTTCAGGATTGTCAGTCAATGAATAACCAAAAGCTGAAAGCTGACCGCCCATATATTCACTGTCACTCTGTTCAAATCAAAACAATAATTATTAAATAAAAAATCAAAGTAATTAATTAATTAAAATATCAGTGGTGTGTGGTGAATTGATGAGTTGCACTTGCCTGGTTATGGGAGCAACCAAAGGTCTTCATGTAGATGGTCTGTGCGCGAGGGAAGGGAACAACAAAGAATTAGCAAACAACAATCAATAATTACTATCTATCTATCTATCTATTACTATTAGGATTTAGGATAAGAAAAAGAAAAAAGGTGACCTGACCTGAGTGCCAGGGATAGGGATAGAAGGGGAATATGATGAAGAAGACCGTTGATTCCTCTTCTTCCCAACGCCAACGCCAACAGCCGCCGCCACTGGCAAGCGAAAGCCCGGTGGAACTCCACTGCTTCCAACCAGCAGATCCTCAATGTCCTCCATCTCCTCCTTACTCCTCACACTCTCTCGCCCTCACCCTTAAAAACACAAATTTGTATTCATCTCAATTAATTTTACTATTTTATAATCTTCTGTGCCAATTACTATTAGAACTTGGCATAAACTTTCGAGCTATGTTTCTAATGAAATTATGAATTTGAGACTTAAAGATTTATTTATTATTATTATTTTTAAGTAAATAAATACTTTTTGTTTTTGCTTATTGTCCTTTCGTATGTAAATAAATACTTTTTTTTTAAATTATTGTAGGGAAATATTACTCTCCTTCTACATAAGATATCTTCTCTCCTACTCTCTCACTTCAATTTTCGCACCTCACCTTTTTCTTTTTTCTTGTAATGGTGGGACCCACTCATTTTCTCTCTACAACATAAGATAAGTATCATATATAAAAGGAGAATAATAAAACTCATTATTGTATATCAATGTAATTTGTAAGAATAACACATTTTATATTAAATTTTAATTATAGATTTATTTATAGATTCTAATTTATTATTCATATGAATTTTTAGATGGAAGACAAGAGAGATCAAAGAGTAAGAATTAAATATTATTCTTACTTGAATATTAGATTTATATAAAATGATTCAGCCCTATTTCACCACTTTGGCCCTACTATTTATATCTTTTATTATTAATATATCAGCTTTTTTCTCTTAAATTTCTTTTAATGTCAAGTTTATTTTACCTATACCATAACCACTGTAAAGATCTGGTTCAGGTTAGACTTAACGGCAAAAAAAAAGGGCAAATAGATTCCACGGGAAGCTAAACTAAACGGAGCTAGCCCAACTCGAATTAAGTTATATCAGCCACAAGTTATCAGTAATTTTTTTATGCTTCTTTAAATTCACTTATAACATTTTGAAAAAAAAATTATAATTAAAATATTAATGAAAAATCTTTTTTTCCCTGAAACACTTTTTAATTGTAAAATCATTAAAACCAAACTTATATAAATATATAATTCGGTTGAAGTAAATACGTCACCGGAAATCTTCATTTTATTCCACCATTGTCCAATTATTATGTAAATATATAAACTTTATTATCACCTTCAGTTCCAATTTTCTCCAAATGTTTGCTTGAATTACAGTTTGTTAACTTCATTTTGTTTGAATTTTTAATTTATGTAAAAAGTCACTCTAATAAAAATAATACTGTTTAATTTAAGTAACAGAAATCACTCCTAGACATGTAATTATGCATACAGATACATACATATTGTTAAAATAGTAGTAAAATAAAAATATTTTTATCAAAAGTCATTTATCTAATCTTGTCTTTATCACGAAAATAACGAAATTTTATTTTTGTAGTTGGACAAAACAATTATGATTTTGACATAATTAATTTTACTTTACATTTATCAAACATGTTGGACATATATTTCATATCAAGTCTGCAGCCTCATTCGGGATTTTTGTAGGCTGCAAACGGAATTCAAACATGCTCATCAAATATAAACGCTAAAGAGAGCTGAGATAAAAGCTCAAAATATACCTGACAATAATCGGTTTTAATAGTTTCATTTCACATAAAGCCATGAACAAACACAAAAAGATAACACAAGAAGAAGAAGATGACCTTCTACTCAAACCAGTACCTTCAACCCAAAAAAAAAATGTCCTTAAAATAATAATTGTCCTTGTAGCACTTCCATTCTTCCAACAGTGATAATGAAACATCACTGCATCAGCATATTAAGGAGACAACCATACCATAATCCGACTAGCAGATGGTTCAATGGTTAGCATTCCTCACTCAGTCATGATTTAATGGTAGATTGAGAGGACTTGACGGAGAATCATTTCCTTCATCCACTGCTTTCTCAGCCATTCTCTTACTGTATCTTTTGCCCTTTTTAGCCATTTTACCATCACTCATTTCAGGCAGTTTTTCTCCAGAATCAGCTTTCTTTCTCTTTGTATTGCGCTTCACTGCTGGATCTGGCACCTCATTGGTCACTTTGAGTTCACCCACATCAGATCCTTCAGGTGAATCATTCAACTCCTCTACAGAATTTTTGTTCACTGAGCCAGTATGTTCATCCGTGCCAGCAGAATCTTCCTGTAATCCATCTGAATCCTCATCGGACTCCCCCGATTCTCCATTTTCTTCAGCCTTGGCTTTCAGTGACTCAATCGCAGCCTTCAAATCTACATCAACCTGTCACACAATCACACCACCAGACCAATTAAGAAACCATAGCTCTAAGCTGTGTTCATAGCAATAAGGAAAACATTATGGCAATATCCCAGATAACAAGAGCAAATCATGACACACCTGAAGGTTCTGAAGATAATCAGAGATGTCAATAGGGCAAGTAGGACATTTCATCACATTTTTCTGGGACCGAAGCGTTCTCCCACCCCTGCTTCTATCTTTCACAAAAGCCTGACCAGCAAAAGCACCTTCCAAACACGATTTGCAGAAACTATGACCACACGGTGTTGTCACCGGTGAAACCATAACCTGCCTGCATATTAGGCACGAGAACCCTGTATATGACCCCAAAAAAATAAAAATAGATAAGAACGTATTAATGGGCATTACTCAGAACTCAGAAGATTAACCATTTAAATGGAAGATCCAAACTGAAGCTGCTGAACTGGTAAGTCGACCACTGTATAAGGTAGGAAGACAGAATACCTCTACTCAATTGTTCCTTGATTGAGATAGTTTGGGACTTCCTTATTTCTCTGCTTAACCTTGCAATCTCCACGGGTTCCTGAGTTTGTACCTTTTTTTCGCTAGGAGGAGGTGGTTTCTTCCATTTCCAACAAGAATCTTCCTCCTAAAGAAATCATATACTGATTAAATGTATTTGAAAATCTCCAATTGTATGATCTATATTTCAGATAATATAATCTTGTCACAATGTTGAGAAGAAATGAAATTATTTTCAAATTTCAAAGAGCACCAAATGAATAGGGATTTGAAAAATGAAAAAAGTTCCTCAACAATCACTCACATCAAAATCCCAAGATGGAGTTTCGGTCCTTTCAAATATAGTTGTAGCCTTTTTCAGCTCACGAATGGCTGGCAAGGGTCTGGGCCTATCCCCATGATCATCACTGTGTTTCCGCTTAAGATAATTGAGTAAATAGAACATCAAAAAGCCTTAGTGTCAAATGTGCTACAGAACAGAAAAGTACGTACCTTGTCCAAGGGGCAGGTTCATTGTCACATCTAACGAACAGATACCGGCAAACTTTGAAACCCTAATCAAGAATATATCATCAGATACACTGCATGAAATCAAGAACTGGACAGAGAGGCAATCAAACTATGATGAAATGGCACATATCTACCTGCAATCCTGCTATCTGCCAACATTTTTCAATTCTATAAATTCCATCATACCGCACTCCACTCTCGGGGGCATATGAGGATCGCTTTTCTTTGTGAGATCTGGAGATTATGCGTAAATGACACAGTGCGGATTATTAAAGCTCACCATATATTGAATTAAATTAAATTCTAACTTTTTATTTTTGCTATTTTATCTACTATTTTCACTTATTCCACACAGATATTATGTTTTAAGTTGTAAAGAATTAATTCAACCCAAAAACATAAGCTGGACGATAATTTTTTTAATGTTTTATATTATCTTCTAATATTAATAATACAATGTTATGCTTCTTTTCCATTTTTATATCTTCATTTATGGTTGAGTTTTATCAAATTAGTTTCCCAATAAACAGAAGATTATAGGAAAATAAATACAAAGCAAATAAGACCTATAATCTGTCGAATCATAATCTATCTAATAAAAGAAAAACAAACCTATAATAATCAAGTACAGTCATCAATAAAAGTTGCAAACCAATTTTTAGGAGAAATTCAACAAGGGTAGGGCCACAAACATAAGATTTATAAGTACAAAAGGCTGAACACTTTTATAAAAACTAGGAGAAAATATTACCCGTTGATATTTAGCTAATTCACAAGCGTCACAATGTAAAGAATCAATGCAATAAAAAGACTCAACAGATTCTCTTAAAAAAAAGATTGAAACATAGACTTCAATAGGAAAAAAAGAAGGGTGGCCAAAATGCCTTCATTATAGCCAGTCTCAAAACTAGACTGATGAGTGATGAGAAGCAATTAGCAGCTTCGAATTAGACTACCTTGTTCAGGTCTGTTGAGGACAATATTCAAGTCTCTTTTGTTCCTTAACAATTCCAACCATCAAGTCTATTGAGGAGATTATATACTACTCTCTTTCTTCCTTAAGAACTCCAATCATCCTTCTACTTTTTAAACTGGGTTTTATGGTCGGTTAGCAACCCTAGATGTTCCTTAGAAAACTCCCCTACCGTTGAAAGCACTACAACTGACATCCTTAACTAAACCGATATGTGCTTTTCATTCTTCTGTATGCATCAATATCTTTTGTTATCGAGTCATCTAGAGCTTCAACGCAACCTTCACTCACTAGATGTAAGCAAACCTTCCTAAGGGGGAAACCTGCATACCCACTTCCTCCCCCTAGTTCTAGGCCTATTTCCCATCTTGGATGAGAAGATAAGAGACTATACCTTTTTGTCAAAATACGAAGAAAAAAGTGACAGATTTGTACAGCAGTAATGGGGATCACATTGATGGGAATATAGGAAGTTGAAGGACTAAAATTTTAATGTACCCAAGATGGACATGCTGAAACTGGACATTCCAAACCTTTGCCATCCATGCTCTAATTTTGGACATTAAATGCTACTCTCGAGCGTTATTACCAGTTTTGGTAAGAATGGAGATAACGGTCAAGGCATCTCCTTCGAAAATGACACTTTTTAGCTTTAGGAACCAAGCATATTCAATCCTAGTTAAGGCTCCCGATAGTTCAGCCACTATAGGTTTGCATACTCCTAAAAGACGTGAAAACCCACCTTTCCACTTGCTTCTATCATATTGCAATTGTTCAGTTTATCCTTCCAAACCATATTACATAGAAAAGAACAAAAGAAACATCGTGTTTTTTCTTCTTTTTTGTCTAATGGATCTCTCAATACAAAACCATATGAATTCCTAACCATATAAAGGGCAAATCTCGTTGCACAAGGTTCCTCGACTTGCGAGAATAGGGATGAGGGTCAATTATAAACAACATTGCCCTTGTATTTTTGCAAAGACTCTATATCCCATACTCGAACTTGCGACCTTTACCACTGCTCCAAGGCTCGCCCTCAATTTCTAACCATATATCAAAGAAAAAAGAACAATTGCCTCTTGTATTATCCCAAGAAATTCCTCGATTTCTTTCAAAAGTAGCTTCTCATGTTCAATGAATAGTCAGCACATTGAAAAATGTCCAAAAAAACATTCAAGGAATCGCTTTGATGTTATCTCTATTTGTTATGTTGGTAGTTTTTAATGACTCATTTATTATTTCTTATTTATTAAATTTTCTAAATATAAAGATATGCATTCCTAAATCTAAATCTAAGCATAAAAAATTCTTTGAATCAAGCTAAAGTTTGTGTAAAAATTCTTTGTCAGCAACTATCAAGTTTTTAGTTCTGGATTGCCCCTCTGCTTATAACATTATACTGGGTTGGCCAACTATAATCAGGCACTTTGGTTCTATTATTTCTATGCCGCACTTGGCCTTGAAGTTTGTAGCAAAGGATGGAAATATTGAATCAACAAACTGCTCAGAGCTTCTAGAATGAAAGCCTAAAAATTTCTCATAAGATTGAGACAATGATTCCAGGAAAAAATAGAGTGAAAGTAGATGAACCGGCCAAAAAAGGAAAAGAAGTTGCCTTCTAAGGTTTGTTGACCGAGATGGACGTAAGAGATGAAAATATTGAATTATGCCCAACCCCTAATGGCGATTTGGAACATCTGGTTCCAAGCAAAACTCCAGGTCAAACTGCCAAAATTGGGACTTGACTAGAGCCTTTCATGAAAAACAAGTTAATCAAATTGTTGCAAGACAACAAAGATTTGTTTGCTAGGACACCTAATATGTCAGGCATAGACCCTAAGTTTTGTTGTCATCGCCTTTCCATTTTCGGCATTTTTATTTCCTATGTCTGCCCGACGATGTACCAAGTCGCCAGCTTTGAAGTTGCGCGAAATTACTCATTTGTTGTATCGAGGGTTGCTTTCTGTACGGAGGCTTCAATACTGGATGACTTTTATCTCTAGTTTCTTCTAGTAGATCAATTGATCTAACTGCTCTCTTGGGACATGGGTTCTTCTCCAAGAGAGTTCACCCACTTGCACAGATAGCATTGCATCAACCCCATAAATGAGTCTAAACAGAGATTCACTGGTTCTGTATTCCCATAGGACTTGATCAAGCAATTCCGGTCATCTATCATTACAATCTTCAACTTTTTTCTTGAGACCTTTAGTCAAGACCTTATTGGTTGACTAAGTTTGCTCATGTTTGTATTTGTTGTAAAGAAACTTTAATAGTTCTCCATAAAAATAGATTGTGCGGATGAAAAAGCTTGAAATGTTGTCTAATATCCCTATATTTTCCAAAAAGTGTATCGAATGATTCTTTTTGATATAGACCTGTGCTATTTTAGAATTGCCGCTGGTTTGTCAAGAAGAGTCTCGCGAAATCTCCCCCTCTTTGCCCTCAATTATATTTGAAAATGATTTGTAAACCTTATTACGACAGTCCCTTATTGGTTGTCCACGGATTCCACTACAAAGAAGTGTATCCACGACTTCTAGTATCAATTTCTCCTAATACATTAATGATTCCCCCAATGTAGATCTACTTGTTGTTAATAGATTAATAAGAGTGTTGTTCAATGATAACTCTTCTATACAATTTATTAATATCTAAGCTCATTAGTTTTCCTCATCAGTTTGAATAATCGATCTGGATTCAGGAGGAAGAACGCATAAGAGACATAAAACCATCTAGTATGGTTCTATAATTGCTCGCATAAAACTTTTAGATAATTCCAAGCATCAAATCACAAAATTCTTTCTTCCTTCAAGTTTTTGATCCTCCCATTCTTTTTCATTCTAACACATTACTAATTTCCCAGTATAGATCTACTTGTTTTTAATAGATTTATAAGAGTTCAAACAGATAACTCTTCTATATAGCTCATTTATATCTGAGCTCATTAGTTTTCCCCCATCTATTTGAATAATCAATTTCAATTAGGAAGAAGAACAGATAAGAGACCTAAAACCATCAATTATGGTTCTATAATTGTTAGGATAAAATGTTTAGCTAATTTCAAGTGTTAGTCTTTCTTCTTCCAACTTTTTGATCTTCCCTTTCATTTTCATTATCAACGGTTCCCTCTTCCCCTACACAATGAAAATGGTAAAAAGTTATTGCACAATTTAGGTATTTAGTAATTTTACCAATGGAGAACAAATTATTGGAAAGTTTTAGAACATGGAGTACATTTTTTTAGTATAGGAAATGGTGGAGGTTGACCACAAGACTACAATCACCGACCAAGGTATTGAGCCATTATTCACGCTAATAATATACTATACTTACCAGAAAAAGGTTGAAAGGACACAAAATATGGAAAATGAAAGGCCATATGATAGCACCAGAGTCAATAACACATGAATGTTCAAAGGTTGTACGAGAAGCATTGAAAAATTGATAACACAAGTCCTTATCAGTCATGGCTTGAGAACAAGAGTTAGAATTTAGCGAGAGAGTTAATAAGAGGTTGTAGGTGTGACAGCTCTGCTGAGGACTGGTACCTTGTCTGACACCCTTAGGACTAAGTTCTGGTTATCTCAAAAAGGTGCAGTGGGCAGTTGAGTTCATAGAGAGGAAGAAGACTGTTTGAGAGGAGGACAATGGTTGAGGGCTCATTGGTGACTTTCCAGCAGTGGTCCCCTGAGAATGGACAACCAAGTCACAGTGGACGTGCCAGTAGCCTCAGCAATCAGAGAAACAACTATGGTGGCTGAAGGTGGCTGGCAGAGAGCAAAAACAGTCAAGGTTTGTTGAAGTCTGAAAATAAATTCTGTGAGCGCAATGAAGACTCAAACAATAGGCAAGAGAGCTAGGCCGCAATGAAGCCGGCAACCACAATGAAGCAAACTAGGGTTCTTTGTACAGGCAAAATCTCCCAAATCGGGAGCTTTTTGATACCCAGTTAAAATCTGAAATATTGAATATTATTACTTGAATATTCATGTACAAATATTTACAATATATTTTATGTAAACATTTACTTTCCTAATAAAGAGTTGATTCTAGGAAAACAAATACGAAACAAATCAGATCGTGTAATCTAACTTATCATAATCTAATAAGAACTGGATCAGTAGCAACTTATGAAAAGACACACGAGAAATTTTCCCTGAGAACTTCTGGATTTTCAATATCTTATATGAAAAAGAAAGACAAGTACCCTGCAGAAGTCATATAAAGGACAAGATGCAGCAAAATATGAACAAGAAAAGCTCCAAGTACAGAAAAGGGAATAAACTCCACAAGAAGGAAATAGTATCCGACTATCAGCACTTTCAAGTGGTGCTGCTCTCTCCTAGCTCAAAATAGTCCCAATTCCAGGCTTCTCTTCTGAATCTCTTTTCTCTCCATTTAAGCAACGTGCCCTTTAATCATGCCTAACAGAATTGGGTGGCATGTTCCCTCCTAACGGTTTTGCTGCTGAGTCAGCCTTTGTGAGGTTGTTGCTGATATTATCCTGAATGCTCACCTTGCCCTTAAACCTCCCACTAGAATAAACTTTAAGGGATGGGGATATATCATAATCTTTCTAGTAAAAGAGAAACGAATCTGTAATAATTATACAATTCCTCCTTATAAATTTACAACAGCATGCTACCTCAGTCATATCAATGATAAACACATGCGCATTAGCAATTTAATGAAATCTCACTTCGACTAAAAGTTAAATGACAACGATTTTTTCGATCCAATAGTACCTGAGCTACTATCAGTAATAAGTCTAACATTGCTTTTTCCAATTGAGCCAGAAGCTGTCGCAGTCTTGGCAAAGAAAAATAACAGGATGACCATCACGATCTAAATGGAAGTTCCCTGCCTAATTTTAAAATGCAGTTTGATGCGAAGTTTCCCTATGCATCCTGAACTTGATAGGCCCGTGGACTCTCAAAGAACCAAAACTGGTGCAAAAGCAACTCAGTTACAACTACAATATCCTCCCCTCCCAAGGTGATTGAAGTACAATAGTAATTTTGCTATTGCATGCTAATACTTTTAAACAGCATGCCGATTTATCCCAATAGATGTTAGCAAACTGAGCGCATAAATATGGATATGAAGCACTTGAAAGAATTCAACTTGCAAGTTCAAGTAGGTGCTCACCTCACAACTCGAACCGGATAACCTTTTAGACAACTAACTTGGAGTGACCGGTTGTACTTTTCAAACTTCTGGTCAAAAGAGTGTGTCTTGTTTGTGCGTTTGTTGCCGCTAAGATCTTTGCCACCGCTGCATTCAGTATTGAGAAAGGGACATGTGAAGAACCAAAAGAGTTAAGATAACAACTAGAATTGAACGAATGGATTATCTATTACAAAGTATAAACCTTCCTGTGTAGAGAAACCATTCTCCGTGATCCTGATCATCAACATAACCTCCAGAAAGAACAACTGATTGTGCACCACGATTTGACTGTCCAGCAATGCCACCAACTGGAACGAAGTGAGCACCCCATTGTCTGCACTCCAGCCTATCTGGCCAAGATTCACCGACAAGCAGACCCTGATTCCGCACAGGGTCATTCTCCGGTGGGATTGGACCAAAATGATCAGAAGGCACAGTTACGAAAATCTTTCCACTTGCAGCATTTGCACGACCATTCCTTTGTGCACGGCCCGTAACATATGGCTGATCTGGTTTATTTTGGTTATGTACGAAATGGTGAACACCAGAAGGCCCTCCGCCACCATTATTCTTGGATGCCCTTGCCATACGAATAGCAAATACCAATGCTGAATTGATACGGGGCTGATTTGCCATTTTTGCAGGGATACTCTGACGGCATTTGGCACAAGTTCTTTTCCCTTGCCGAATCCATTTCTCAAAACAGTTTAGACAGAAAGTGTGCCCACACGGAGTCTGCATTCACATTAACATTCCCATTCTCAGTCATGAGTTTGAGTAAATATTTAATATATATATATATATATATATATATATATATATATATATATAATCCATTATAATTGTAAATTCGTCGGATAGTATATGTAAATCTATAATCCCAGGTGCGCCTTAGCCATGTAGCCAAACAAACAACAATCATCCTCCATTGGATCTATGCAAATCAAATTACATTTTTAAAAGGGCATTTAATTCCATTCAAGCTAAGTGTGTCCCAAAGTCAATGACATTAATTGGAATAAATTAAAACATCCAATAAATTATTCGGTGCTTTGAACGGAAAAAAAAAAAAAAAAACAGGGACAAATGGTTGAAATGAATGACAGTGAAAAATTAAAAAAAATATGAAGAAAAAAAAAAAATACCGTGACCGGTCTTTCCGGTAGCTGAATACAGATGGAGCAGTTGAGAGTCCTACTGAGGATTTCAGACACATCGTTCTTCTTGATGTTGTCAAGATGTTCTTCTGGGATGGTCTTTCCGGTCATCAGCTCTTGGCGTCTTCTGGCCTTCTCTTCTACAGTGAGAGAAGCATCACTCTCCACAGCTAACATGGCAGCAATCAGGTTACCGGAGGCATCATTTGGGGTTAAGGCAGGTGGTGGTGGTACCAAAAGATTAGAACAGTCAGGACAGACCCAATCAACAGTATTAGCGAGGGTGGCTGGAAGGTTGGAAACACAGGCGACATGCCATGGAGTGCCACAGGTGAAGCAGTTGAGCTTCTCTCCTTCGGAGGGCTGAGTCTTGCATACCATACACACGCCTTCGCTGTCGCATGGCAACTGACTCATTTCTGACTGCCGATGGAAGGAGAGAGAGAGAGAGAGAGAAGGAAGGATGCAAATGCAATTGCAATGCAACTGTTGCTTGTTGTTCTCTGTAGTAGAGAGAGAGAGTAGTTGGAGAAAAAAAGGGAAGAGAGCGGGTCTTGAAAATAATTGAGACGTTTTGAATTTCAGGAGTGATGAGGAGGTGTGTGCCGTTTCATGTGACTATCATGTTTGCTTGCGCCATCACCCTTTGATTCCTCCCTATAATCCGTGTCCCTTTTTCTTTTTCTTTTTTATTATTTTTTTCCTTTTACAATAAACACCATTTTTGATCCCTGGTAATATCTACGAAATTCTTTTTAGTCCCTGACAATAAAAAAGGACCAAATTGGTCCCTAAAATTATGAAAAAAGGGCCACGTTAGTCCTTATGTCAACTTCTCCGTCACTAACGTGGCCCTTTTTACATACTGTTAGGGACCAATTTGGTCCTTTTTTATTGTCAGGGACTAAAAAGATTTCGTAAATATTGTCAGGGACCAAAAAAGGTGTTTACTCATTACTTTTTGCCTTCCAATTACGTTTTTCAATATTTTAAATTTACAATAACATCATTATATTTTATTTTTTTCAAATGGAAATCCACTAAAAAACAAATATCATAATAATTGCCTTCTGTTTCTAGGGATAAGATATTCTATCAATTCTCCAAAAAAAAAAATATTCTATCAATCTTTTTTCATTTCTATATTGTCTACTCATTTTTAATATCGTTAGATCACAATCTCAATTAAGTTTCACTCTTTCTCTTCTTCTTTTGAAATTCTAATACAATGGTGTTGGAGATAAGTATTTGGAAAAAAAATGTAAGCATAATAACTTATCTCCTTTTAATTTTTCATCTGAGTAGGGATGTAAATGAGACAGGACAAATCGAACTTTAGCCTAAATGAGCTTTGTTTATTTCAAGTTTGGTTTGGCCAGTTAGTTTTATACAAGCCAAATTGTAAGTTTGGTCTGACATGTTTTTAAAAAATACAAGGTTTGGCTTAGCTTACCAAGCCTTTAAAAATTGCACGCTGCCCTCCGTAAAATATAAAATAATTATTTTGTTTCCTTTTTATGTTTAACTTGGGGTAATATTTTTCTTTTCTATGCACACAACAACTCAAAATATTAACAATTTAACTATGTTGCTTGAAACCAAAAACAAAAAAAATGGCAAGGAAGTAGAATGCTTACAAGATATATAGATGTATAAAACATCCGTGAGTCAAATAATATGTTGTTTTTTTAATAATTTTTTTGGAAAGAAGTAAGAGCAAGAAGTACAAAGAATGAAGACTTACTATGAGCCTTGAAGATCTTGAGAGTCAATGGTGAGCGATAGATGCTTAGAAAGTGAAGAAAAATTGAGAAATGGCGAAAGAGTAACAAAATTTGGCGAATGGAGGAAGGGAGAAAAATAGTGACAACGAGCGAATTTAGGGTTAAAAAAAATATGTTTTTGCCAAATGGAAAGATGGAAGATTTCAAAAAAATAACAAGATATTATTTTATTGCAAAATAACAATATATTAATTTATTAAAAAATAATAAGATATTATTTTATTAAAATTGGAGCTTAGAGGTCAAACTTGATAAAATTAGCTTCACTACAAAAAAAATTAGGTGATTTGTGGAGGTTTTTTAGTGGAGTTCAATAAAACCCCCAGAAAATATACAATTTTTAGCGTTTTGAGAGAACGCCACTTCTAGTACAAGGAAAATGGTATTTAGCCATATGATGCATAGCTTCGGTTTCTATGCTCGTGGAAAAAATAAAGAAAGGGTCCAAATTTACTAAACAGACATCAAAATTAGTTATATTTTAGTTAGTATTATCTTACCTATAATTCGGGCCATTATCATTTTCGCCTGGCTTAGAACCCAAAACTGTTAGCTCCCACTCTCTTCTTTTTCACACTCCACCTTCCATTGCATTTCATGGATCCAGAAACCCATTCACATGTATTGCCTTCTTCTCCTTCTCTCTCCTAGGGTTTCCACCCACACATTTTGGTCCTTCTTCATTCCCATGATTTTGAGCTATGTGTTCTCTCCCTCCCAACTCATTCTGCAGTTTTACACGTTGTGGTCACTGGAATTTCGCAGGTTGTTGGTCACTCTGCCGCGAGATTGCTGAGCTCGAATTCTATGTACGCCATGATGCTTTTCCTCAATTTTGGATTTGGCAAGAGAGAATGCAGAGCTCGAAGCTATTTTTTTCTTGAGGAGGTATTTTTCACTTCTTCCTCATTAGATTTGGTTTCCTGGTGTGTCAATATCTTTGGGACTGTGCAACCTTGGATGAGAGGGTGATGCTTAATTCCTATTTAGGTTGATGCATCTCATTTCTATTTTATTTTTTTTTGTCCATGTCGCTCTTTTCTATTCATGCTTGGTTTTGGTGTGCTGAGTAGTGCTATAGGAACACAACATTATTGATTCTAAAATCTACTAAATTTGTATTGATTTTCATTTTTGAAAGGCTTTTGAGGGAGCAATTGTTGGTTGTGACACTTAAAGCATAATTACACCTTTCAGTTTAAGATTCACACTAAAGTAAGACCATAAGAAAATCATGAGCGTTTTTTGTGGAATTTAAACTGTTTGCTCAACAAATTATTATTTTTTAAATTAAATTTGTGATTGAAAGCTGAAAATATAAAACAAATTTAAGAAAAGTCTTATGTTCTGTAAATTTTTTCCAAAATTACTTTCAAAGCTGTTGTCTTTTTCTTTTAAGCAATGGATTTTTTTAGGTAAGTATACAGAAAAGATTTAATAAGAAGATATGTTTGTAACAAGTGATATGCAGAACAGATCATAAGCATCAGTGAAGAATCCCATTCCAGCAATAACTATAGCTGTGAAATGATACAATTGCGTTTTTGCTGCATCTAGTTCACTTAGCACCTTTATTTGCTCTTTTGCCATGACTAGTAAGTCTAGCTAATCACAAAGTTTCCCTCTGTTTCTTATTTTTATTTATTTGTTCAAATGCTTGATTTCTCTGCAAAAGTAAAACCATCCAGTGGAGGGACAAACTATTATGTTAACATTGTCTTGAATCAAGCGCAAGAACACAAGTATGCAAGGTAATTGATCGATTGGACAACGGCGATGACTATGAACTCTACTTTGGTTATATATTTCCTGAAGTGGGCTTATTGCTTGGCTTGGCTGAGCTTCATATTACTGAGATACTGCTGGAACTCTACTTTAGAAAATTCTTATTTTTTTTTGGAGTTACCCAACCCTAATTATCTCTTTGAGACGAGTTGGCTCCCTCCGGTATCCCCACGAGCTTCGACTCTTTGAGCCGGCTATGGGACTAATCCGGAGTGCGGGGGAACAGTGAGAAAATTCTTATTAAATGTATTTGAGCTCGTGATTGAATTTAATAAATTAATTAATGAAAATGATGATTTTAAATCTGTATCATCTTCTTTATTTTGTCAAAATGGTGGTGTGATTGCTTTCAATATGTTATTGCCCCTTACCTCTACCATATCCCCAAAGACATGAAATATGAAAATATTAATAACATCACAACATGCCTATCTTGCTTTATTACACAGTACACACACACCCCATTGGCAGCCTTGGTTGGGTTATCAAGTTTTATGAAAATCATGTCTTCAGGACAGAGGTTTAATGTCACTATATATAATCTTTTCAAATTTTTGTAAGCATAAAACAAGCAAATATGACAAAGCCTTGCTGCAAAGTCTTTTTTATGTATGTTATTCAACTGAGAAGAGAAACAATTATGCTGTATGCTTCAAGATTTTACACCTTGAAAATTTGCCAAATATGTGTCTTCTGGAGGTCAAACACTAGTGATTGTACCCACTATTATTATGGAGGATCTGTTGTGCATGTGGTTCAGTATCGAGTCAAAATCTGTACAGTAATGCTTTCCAAAGAGAAATCTTTTAATCATGCATTTGATTATGATGAAACTCTCTCTCTCTTTGGCCTGACTGAATATTTTATTGTGACATCATATTTATGTAATTAATATCACATGTAAAATTTCTAGTTTATTTACTTTCACAAGACTTACTTTTTGCTCTTCTTAAGCTAGCTAATTTTGTTTACATTCTGTGTCACTCTTAGGCTGAGGAAATAGCTGAGAAACTACGTGAATCAGTGGCAGCAAGTCTTCAAGGCAAAAAGCTAGCTTCATTTACAAGGATATCTTCAACAGTGCATGTTTGTTTCTATCACCCAACCCTATTAACATTTGATGCTGGCTTTTTTTTATAAATACACTTTCATAACATTCATATTGACACCATGGTTCAAGAAATAAATGTAGGCGGCAATGGAAGAAGCACTTGTTCGTATTTTAACTCCTAGGCGTTATATTGACATATTGAGGAATGTTTTTATGTTCATCTGAAGTGTCACTACTGGTTTTCAGGATGATGAACCATTGATAAGAGCATTGTCAAAGCTCATCTACCTTAACAACCCCGACCTGGTCTTATTTGTTGGAGAAGCCTTGGGAATTGGAGTTTGTCTTTTTTTTCTCTCTCTTGCTTTCCCTATATCATAGTAATTGAACCAATCTATTTTGTTGCAGAAGTTACTGACCTCTCAACATCTCCTACACCCAGATTGATAGATGGGATCTTGCTCACTAAATTTGACATTATTGATGATAAGGTATGTAAGTTCTAAAATTGTAAGGAGGTGAAATTTTGGCTGAGCATTTGGGTCTTCTTGATGAATATTTATTGGTTTGTCGATGTTTCCTTTTGTCAGGTGGGAGCTGCACTTTCAATGGTTTACATATCTGGAGCTCCAGTCAGATTTTTATATATGTAAACATTGTTCACAAAACAAAACAAAAAAATCTCCTTCTCGATTTTTGTGCGTCACTTTCCATTAAATTAGATTCCTCATTCGTTTCTTTCAATTTACAGATTAGTAATAGGGTGATACTTCTCTCATTTAACATGAGAGAAGTTTTTTTTCCTACACTAACAAGAAATGTGGAGCCCACAAGTTAAAGAAAAATAAAAAAGAAAAAAAATTACAGGCACGTCTTTTTATGTCTTACTGACATGAGATAATTATCTGCTACAGTTGGATAAAACTATTTCCCATGCATATATTTGCAATGTTGTTTGTTTTCTCGATTTACGTGATCAACCTATTTCAAATAGGTGCCTTCTTATAATTGTTTTTTTTAGAATCCTGTGCTTTACTTTATAAACCGAGGCACTAATATATATATATATATATATATATATATATATATATTGGTAAATTGGAAATTAATTATTCGCTGCAGAAAATAGATATTACATATATTTGAAATATATTGGAAAAATTTTGTTATGTCTGTATAAAAAAAAATTAATAGTGAGAGATAGCTTTGGGATGGTACCTCCCAGGTGATGAATACAACTTTTGGGCTTTATGCCTCCGATGCGAAACTGATGTGAAAAAGATTGTATCTGTTCTTTCCAAAGTGGTGTCTGGCAGGGTTCTCCGGATACTAGTAGCAACTTTGGGAAGAGGTGTGCACACTAGGAAGATGTGAATTGATTATGGTCAAAGTGATTTGTTTGTGACTGGCAGGGTTTTCCGGGTCTACCTTGGTTCTCTTCCCACTAAATAGACTAAATTAAATAAAGATTAATATAATTAATAACAAGTTGATATTTGATTTGAATTTTTGAGTTATATTATTATTTTGGATTATTATGAGTTACATTTTTTATTTGTTTATTTATTTATTTATTTTTGTATATCGGATTTGGATTACCAGCTTTGCTGACTTTTGTGTTTGTTTAACTGCAATGATCCTTCACGGGGGAGCAGATTTTCAGTGAAGCATGTTGCAAAGGATGGGGCTAGCTGTGGGCAGTGAGGATCACGACTCGGATATTATATTTCTAGCTAGTTTCTAAGTTTAGAAATTTTATGAGATTTAAATAAATGCATAAGACATATTTCCTTTATTTAAACTTTAGTCTTTGGTTTTATTTTTAATGTAATAAATTTAGCCTTGCACCTGTCCATAGTACAAGTGCGGCGGTAACACTTTCCAAATTTGATTATTTTGAACTTCCGCTGTTATTTTGAACTTTCCAAATATGATATAATACAACTATACTATGTGGCCACTGTGTTGTTACACTTCTTCATAATATTTTCAAACTGTGTACCTGAAACATATTATATTATAATAAAGTAAAAATAGTTATATTCTTATATACTAGAGAACTTCTGTGTACCTTTTTTGTGTGTGTGTCTGTGTCTAGATATACAAATGCTTGTGCTTATGATTGCAGATGCGTATATATAACCCGATGTATATATACACAAGACTATATGAAAATATGGGTGGGTACATTTATTCTTAGATTTTTGTTCATGAAACCATAAATATCAATTACATTCGTGCAGTATCAAATTTTCTAAGTATCTGAAAATTGATTTATTAATTTGTTTCAAATGTGCTTGACATATAAAAAGATTTATGTTCTTGGCATTAAATTGAAATATATTAATTTATAAGTCTACAGTTTACAATTTTTTTTTTTTTTTTTGCATAATGTAAAAATTCATATCTACATACATGTTTTTGTGGATAACGAATATGTTTCAATTGATTGGATTTGATTATTTAACATATATATGACTATTTTTATAAATCTTTTCTATTGTTCTTTGTGTGAATATTTGGTTGGTGTTAATTAATGGGTTTCATTATTTACCATATACATGTTGACTAGTTTGATTAATCTCCTTTATTATTATTATTATTATTATTATTATTATTATCTCAATATGTGGTTGGTTTTATTTAATGTGTTTAAATATTTAACATATAACAGCAAAACAGATTTTTCAAAATAGTCAAAATATATGTTATTAAATGTTAAATAATGAAACCCATTGTTTACCCAATAATAATAATAATAATGAAACCCATTTAATCAAAACCAACATGCTCGTATATATTATAAAAATAAAACAGATTTATTAAAATAGTAACATGTATCTGTTAAATGATGAAATCCATTTAATAAAAATCAACCAAATATTCATATAAATAACAATAAAAATATTTATCAAAATAGCCAGCATATATGTGTTAAATAATATAATCCATTTAATGAAAGGGAGTTGATCAGACCAAATACACTATGGACTGACCAATATGTATTGAGCCCAATCACACATGGTTAAGTTGCCTTCGTCGTTCTTGGTCTGGGCCTGGAGTAGCAATATGATCCTACTTTGCCTTTGTCCTTTACTGTGGCGCGTTGACACCAAATGGGAGGTACCTGCGAAGACACTCCGATGCTTAAGTCATTATCAGAGACAGGAGTTTATGATTATGTTAATGTAAAGGATGATCGTACCTTGGTGTTGTATCATTTGCTTATATAGTGGTTATGATGTCGCCTTAGTAAGGCGGCTTGGCCTCTGAGTGGCCAGGTTCGGGCTGCAGGTCAGTCATGGGACTTGAGTAGCCTTATCTTCTCTAATGTCTAGTGGCAGAGTCGCGGCAAACTGGAGCTGTATGTTGTTTATTGGAATAAAGGTGCGGTGAGATTGCATTGGGCCTTAAGTTTTCTTCTTAGAGGGGGTTTCATCCGCGATAAGGGTATCGCGTCTCGTCTGACGCGATGAGGGCATCGCGTTTTGTCTGACGCGATGAAGGCATCGCGACTTGTGCAGGGTATTTGCCCATCGTGCTTTGCTCTGGATCCCTAATGGGTTTGGGCTTTCCCATATGTCACTAGGAGTTATACTTCTCATTCAACCGCAAAACAAAATTCATTCCCGCTGACCCTTCGATCTTTACGCTTTTATTTTTCTTTTCTTTTTAATCTGTAGGACCTACTCAAACTGAGTCTGCTGGAAAGATTTAAACTTTTGCGGTTAAAGAAGAACTATAAATCCCTTAATTAAAACCAACCAAATAAGTTTACTTAAATAATGCTCATCCTGCATCTGTAAATCTGTTAACAAGATCTATTTTTATACATGTATACTATGTTGTCACCGTATTATTACACTTTTTTCCCCTTAATATTCTTTAAGATATATATCTGAAAGACATTACACTATTATAAAGTAAAATTAATAAAATTTAGATATACAAATGCTTACATGAGAACCTCTGTATCCTTACATTGATGATCCAATTAATCCAATCGTTTTTAATTTTTCGTTGTATTGTCTAATTAATTTGTTTCAAAATATAAAATTGTTGTGCCGCAATTCTAACAAAAATTAACAAATTAATCCAATTCAAACCGATTCATGAATCGGTTTGAATTGGATTATTTTGTTAATTTTTGTTAGAAAATATTTTTTAATTAACTCCAACCTTAAAATATTGATACATCCCCTGTTAAGCTAGTACCTTTGATCTATATTAAAAATGATTGATTGATGAGATTTTTTTATATAGACGCTAATCGAAATTTTGAATTGAATAAATTTACTTAAAAATTCATTCCCATATATATCATTAGATTAGATTGCATTTTCTTTACTATAGGCATTGCAAAATAAAATTTAACAAAACGAGAAAAAACCTCCATAGCAGTGAAAAAAAAATAAAAAATGCGTGTATGATAATTTAGTAAGAAAACAGTTATACATATAAAAGAGCAAGGTTGAAATTTTTTATATTATATGAATATTGTTTTTATTTTTTTCTTTGGCCGAAAAATATTGATATACTAAATTTTAATTACAATATAGTCACTACTAGCCTTCTTGATATATGATAATTAACTTCAAGTAAGTTATATTGATTACGAATATTTTGTGTACAGATGTGTTAATGTTAGGATATACAAATATTTACATTATGTAAAGAATCATTTGTAAACGGTAGACTTATAAATTGATATTTTTAATATCATGGCAAGAATAGAAAGCTTTTTATACGTCTTGATGATACCGATGAAGTTTTTAGGGTGAAATCTAATATTTGAAACAAGATAATAAATTTTAATATCCATAGAAAATTTGATTATGCAATTGATATATATGGGTTCAACAAAATCTAAGAATTAAAGTAGTCACCAAATATTTCGTTGGGTCTTGTGTATAATTACAGCGGGTTGTAAGCATTTGTATTCATAAGCATAAGCATTTGTATATCTAAATTAACACAAAAAAAATGAATGCGGATCATAGATGTCTCTTGTGTAGACGGCAACGCAGGAGGTGCGATGGTCGTAACTGCGAGTTTGGGCAGTACTTTCCTGGCCATATGCCAGATGAATTCGAGAATGCTTACAGGCTCTTTGGCCTTAACAACTTGCTGAATATTATGCGTTCTGTGGAACCACATCAAAGACAAGCTGCTGCGGATTCCATACTTGCAGAGGGTACATCATGGAGAAATGACCCTGTTCATGGCTCTCTTGGTTATGAGTTGAATCTCAGGTCCCAAATAATATCATCTTTGAGAGAGCTAGAAGCTGTGAACCAACTTCTTGCATTTTTCAGAGATCAAGCCACCAAAGCAAACCCACCAACTATGCAAATCCCTCCTCACACTCACAGGATATCATTACCTAATCAACCTCAGACTGCTGGACACGTGGCTGGCATCGACCGCGTGCAACCTTACAAGCGGGAGAGTTTTCATAGTTCCCATGAAAAGGGAGAATCAAGGTATTGTTCTATATATTGTGGTGTTGTTACAGATTCTAATCATTTTTTTGTTTAAAAAAAGAAAAAGAAAAAAGAGAGAGTGATTCTATAATTGTTTTTTCCCCATTTTTATTACTTCAAATAAATGCTTTGTATCTTATTTTGTTATACAGCAGCACTGTTGCATCCAAGGAAAAAATGATTGTTGAAGAAAAAGAGTCGGAGGCACATGACAAGGGGAAACGAATTATTGTTGATGATGATCGGCAACTAAAAGAGGCTGCTGAAAAGGGGGAAAACATTACTTCTGAGGAAGATAAAGAAGCACAAAACTAGAATATATATCTGTTAAAAGTTTATAGTGATATTTTATGCACTAGATTGGCGGAAGCTACTGCATCAGTGCAATAATTAATGGTTAAAGGATAAAGATATACAGTAATACCAAACATCCTCCGCACATATAATAAGAAGTCTAATTCTTTAATTAAAAGTCTCGAGTTTCAATCTTGAGAATGAAAAGAAAAAATTAGAAGAGCGACCCCTTTTAATAGGATCCAACGAGTACTCCAACCAAATATAATAGGAAAGATGAACCGGTTGGGAACTAAAAAAAAAATATGTACAGCTATAGATTTGAAATATTTCGTTGTGTTATATATTCTACTTTGTGTTAAACAATTCTCTCTCTCTCTTAGAATTTTAACAAGATGTATCGTAGTGAAATATTTCAATTCTGAATAAAGGTTTTTATTATTTTGAAAAAAATATGATATGACAATATTAATATGGCAGTAAATTCCAAGTGATTTAAGAACGGAGATCACAATGTAAAATCCAAGCAGAAAATTTGTCAAACAAACAACGTAAAAATATAACCCATTCATTCATAGATAACTAAATAGTGGATGCTTGATGAAATTGATAAAATAAATAAAAAAGTAAATTTAATTTTTTGTATTAATAATATTATTTATTTTTTAGTTCAGGATAGAACACGAGAAAGGAAAAGGAAAAAAGAACAGAAATGTTTACAAGATTTGAAGCCGCGCGCGTGTTAAGTCATTAATTTATCAGTAACTAGGAAGGGAAAGCGCAAAATGCCGTTGAGCACGTAATTTAATACAATCGACGTGCTTAAATATCATGGCCAATGCCTGGTTTATGGGGATATATTGGATTGGAATTTTAATGGATTAGTTTTGGACAAAAATTTTTATTGATATTCAATTAGAATTTTAAAGAATTGAAAAAAAGTCATTTGATTTTAAAAAATTATTTTAAGTCCGTCCAAATTCGTCGGTCTTCAATCAGGATTTTAAACAAAGAAAAAATAATCTTGTGATATTTAAAAATCTGACAATTTTAATGGATTTTCTATTAGTGTAGATTTTGTGAGACTTTTTAGCGATAAATATAAATAGGATGTCTCTCTCACAATCTCACCCCATTCCTTAGGATTTATTGCGATTTATCTATTGCAATGTCTTTATTTTTCTCCTTTGACGGATTGACTCGCTTGAAACCCGATCGGGTTCTGCATTAGGAGCTTCGTCAAAGCTCAAAAAAAATAAATATTTATTGAGCGATTTTCATCGCAAAATAACCTAGAAACAACAAACCAACACGATTATAATATATCCATCTCAAAAACAACAAATTTTTGAGCGTTTTTTGAGAGGTTTTGAAAGTTTAAAAATTAATTTTTCAAGTTATAGGTCGCGATTTTTCTTACACAAAAAGTGTGATTTTTGTATTAAAAATAACATAAAACAATGGAAAAACAACGAGGGAATTAAAATCCTAAAACCAATTTTCGTTTTACATCAATGAAACAATATCAATTTAAAGAAAGATTGAAACTTTCATAATATGAACCCTATATTTCATAACAATACATTCATAAACGAAATTCCTTCGCTATAGGAAACAATTTCAAACAATTTTTATGTCAATAGATAACTAAAAACTTATTTTTCAAAAATCTCAAAGCAATTTAAGGCAGTGTTTTAAAACCCCACCCCGCCCCCCGGGTCAACCCTGACCCCTCCCTTCTCAGGGTTGGGGTCACAAGTCGGACCCTATATGCATATCGACCCCTCCGACCCTCAAAACCCGGTCGGGTTTCAGTGACTCCCGGGTTAGAGGGGTCAAAGGGGGGGGGGTCAGTGCATGCTTTTTTTAAAAAAAAAAATTTCATGAAACAACATCGTTTTATTAAAAAAATAAAATAAAAATGCTTGCAAATCTAAATCTAATCGTTCTCTTGACCTAGATGTCTTCAATCTTCACCTCGCTGCAGTGAATCTTCTAAGAAAGGTAAGAATTTTACCCATTCAAATGAAATCCTTACGGTCGTCGATGGAAAACAAAAACTCATTCTTACTACCTTTAAATTTTCCTTTGTCAGGGACCTTCTCAAAAAAGGCAGAACCGGATCATGTAGTGCCTCCATTAGAATATGAGTTTTGTACTTTGGTATCTTGATACTTTAATTAGGTTGTGTAATATTGACTTGTGGTTGTAATTGGTGAATTATGTTAAGGGGGCGTTTGGTAGAGGAGATATTTTCTTTTACTAGAGAAATGCAATTACCAGTAATATGATAGGAAAATGAGTTTGGTAGGGAAATTTAAAAAAAGTTGTTTGGTTGGTCAAAATTTTACCAGGGAAATTGAGTTAAATTTTGTGAGTCTTTGTTTGGTTGAAGGTGAAATAATGATAGGTCAATGTGTTGAAATACCAAAAATAACCCTTGATATTTTAGAGATGTAGACATGTGTACTTAGAAGAGGGTAATATGGTAACATTCTTCATTCACCTTTTTGCATTTTAGCTTGTTTTCTAGGAATACCACATCTTAAATGGTAAAGTTCTACCATGATTTGCTTTTGATTCTGCACATACTTATGAAGGATGGGAAAAAGAGAAGCATAGCTAAAATTTTTTAATCTTTCTACCAAACAAAGCAATCATAGAATGCCACTTCAAGATAGATGGAGAACCAAATAAAAAACTTCAACCAAACGCCCCCTATGTATATTTTGAATCTTTGATGATTGGTGGTTTGTTTTTTAATATTTTCATATAGGATATATATTTATTTTTTTAATATATAAAACCGGGTCAGCATAGTGACCCCGTGACCCTCCCGGTTGAACTCGTGACCCCGTGACCCCTGACCTCGGCCGGGTCGGGTTTTTAAACACTGATTTAAGGTTTCAATGTATCGATTGAAAATAATTTGAGAAATTTTCTAAATTTTCATGTAATAAAATCCAGAATTTCAGATTCAAAATTTTCTTAGAATACTTGATGAAAACATGCATCTATTATCACGTAGAACAAAAACCCCAAGATTTCCAGGATCAAATGAAAAAAATTCCAAACGAATCATGAACTTTTGGTTCTATATGCAAATTTAGAATTATTTTAATAAATAAAAAAATTGAGTCTTATAATCGTGTTTGTGTGTGTGTGTATATATATATAGCTCTTATACTAAATGAAGAAGATAATTTTCAATTCATTGGTCAAATCAAGAGCAGGAATGAGAAAATACTAATGCGTTGATGACTAGTATAACTTTTTTTTTTTGAGTAATCTGAAGAGTATTCTCCAGCCGTAGCCGAAGACTAGTATAACTTTAGATATGTGGAAAGCTATTACTCATTAATTTTGAATGTTTGTTAAAAATTATATTATGTTTTAGTGATTGAGAAAATTATATTAGGTTTTTTTTATTTATTAATATCATTGCATTTCTTTATTATTTTTTTATTGACTCTTATAAATTTTTAGTTTATTAAAAATTTATATGATTTTTTAAAATTTTATAAATTCATATTATCCTCTCAAATCTTATAAATTCTATTAAAATCCTTTAAAATTCAATTTTATAAAATTTGGATTATAAAAAAAATCTTTTTAAAAAATCTTGAAATTCTAAATAATCTTTTAAGATTTATAAGATTTTTAAAATCCTAATTCAATATCCCGTAATCATGGCGCCTCTTCTTAATACAGAGACACAGACATAGAGAGTTGAGTTGAGAGTGGATTTGATGTTTTGATTTGTAAGAATAAGAAATAGAAAGCAAGATATATATATATATAGATAGATGCGTGTGGCAGTTAGAGTGAAATCTTTATTGCGAGGTTATTCGAGTGTTGGGTGTCCAAAGTCACAGGTACAAGGACAAGAGAATGGTGTTCGTGTTGGTGTATACAATTACCTTTACATTGCCAAGAACCCCTCGCCGCATGTGGTGGATGCCAAACTTGTTCACGCCCACTCCATCAAATATGGGATTTCCTCACAAGGGTTCGTCGCTAATGCAATTGTTGATCTATACGCTAAGTGTGGCAACTTGGCCTTTGCTCAAAAGCTGTTTGATCAGCTGGAAGCCCATAATAAGCATTTGTTGGGTTGGAATTCCCTCCTTTCCATGTACTCAAGGCATGGGTTATCTGAAAGGGTTTTTCACTGTTTTACTTGTTTGATACATTCAGGCCAATTGCCTAATGAATTCACTTTTGCTATCACTTTGTCTCTTTGTGCCAAACTTATGAATATTGAGTTTGGAAGGTTAGTTCATTCATGTGTAATTAAGACAGGCCTTGAATCCAGTTCATTCTGTCAGGGTGCTCTTATCCATCTCTATGCCAAATGCAACTGTCTCAGTGATGCAAGGACTATATTTGATGCAGCACCTCACTTGGACACTGTTTCTTGGACGGCTTTGATTTCTGGTTATGTGCAAGTTGGTTTGCCGGAGGAGGCACTCCACGTGTTTGACAAAATGCAGAATAAAGCTGGTGGTTGTTATACAGACCAAGTGGCGTTTGTGACTGTCTTGAATGCTTACATGACTTTAGGGAAGTTGGATGATGCATGTCAATTGTTTGAACAGATACAGATGCCCGCCCCCAATGTTGTGGCTTGGAATGTCATGATTTCTGGTCATGCTAAGAGTGGCCACTATAAGGACGCTGTTGCCTTCTTTCATGAAATGAGGAAGGGTGGTATAAAATCCTCAAGATCCACACTGGGGAGTGTTTTAAGCGCGATTGCCAGCTTAGGGGCCTTGGATCATGGTTTGCTTGTTCATGCAGAGGCCATCAAACAAGGTCTCGATTCCAATATATACGTTGGAAGTTCTCTTATCAATATGTATGGAAAGTGTGAAATGCTGGATGCTGCAAAGCGAGTCTTCGATGCTATATCTCTGAAAAATAATGTTGTCTGGAATGCCATGCTTGGAGTTTATGCACAGAATGGTTATTTAAATAATGTCATGGAGTTGTTCTCCGGCATGACAACTCACGGCATTGAACCGGATGAATTTACCTACGCTAGCATGTTGAGTTCATGTGCTTGCTTTGAATACCTAGAAATCGGTTGCCAGTTGCATTCAATTATTATCAAGAAAAGATTTACAAGCAATTTATGTGTGAACAATGCATTGGTAGATATGTATGCTAAGGCTGGGGCTTTGAAAGAAGCCAGGAAACAGTTTGAGCTCATGAAATATCGGGATAATATTTCCTGGAATGCCATTATGGTTGGATACGTGCAAGAAGAAGAGGAGACTGATGCTTTCAATATGTTCCAGAGAATGAATTTACATGCCATAGTACCTGACGAGGTATCTTTGGCAAGCATACTTAGTGCTTGTGCAAATGTTAAGGTACTCGAAACAGGGCTGCAGTTCCATTGCCTGTCAGTTAAGTTGGGTTTAGAAACAAACCTTTTTGCTGGAAGTTCTCTTATTGACATGTATTCCAAGTGTGGGGCCATTGAAGATGCACGTAAGATTTATTCTATCATGCCTGAGTGGAGTGTGGTCTCCATGAATGCTCTGATTGCAGGATATGCTCTGAAAAATACAAAAGAAGCTATTAATTTTCTTCATGAGATGCAGCTATTGGGATTGAAGCCATCTGAAATTACATATGCAAGCCTCATAGAAGCTTGTAAGGGGCCTCCTAAGGTAATTTTAGGCATGCAGATCCATTGTGCTATTGTGAAGAGGGGACTCTTATACGGCAGTGAATTCTTAGGTACCTCATTGTTGGGCATGTATATGGATTCACGAAGGATTGCTGATGCAAACAATCTTTTCTCAGAGTTTTCTAACCTAAAAAGCACTGTACTTTGGACTGCTTTAATTTCAGGACACACTCAAAATGAGCGCAGTGATGAGGCCTTAAACTTGTATCGAGAAATGCGTGACAACAATATCTTACCTGACCAAGCAACATTTGTTACTGTTCTTCGAGCTTGTGCTCTCTTATCCTCACTGCAAGATGGTAAAGAGATACATTCTCTAATTTTTCATATTGGTCTTGACTTAGATGAGTTAACCAGCAGTGCCCTTGTAGACATGTATTCTAAATGTGGAGAAGTAAAAAGTTCTGTGCAAGTTTTTGAAGAATTGGCTATTAAAAAGGACGTGATTTCGTGGAACTCAATGATAGTTGGATTTGCGAAAAATGGTTACGCAGAAAGTGCCCTAAAGGTCTTTGATGAGATGACTCAATCATGTGTTACACCAGATGATGTCACATTCCTTGGAGTGCTTACCGCTTGTAGCCATGCAGGGTGGGTTGTTGAGGGTCGTCAAATTTTTGACGTCATGGTAAACTATTATGGCATTGAGCCCAGAGAAGATCACTATGCGTGCATGGTTGATCTTCTAGGTCGGTGGGGTTTTCTCAAAGAAGCTGAAGAGTTCATTGACAAACTAGATGTTGAACCCAATGCTATGATTTGGGCCAATTTATTGGGTGCTTGCAGAATACATGGTGATGAAAAAAGGGGACAGAGGGCAGCTAAGAAACTTATTATGCTAGAACCACAAAATTCTTCCCCATATGTACTGCTTTCAAATATGTATGCTGCATCAGGACTTTGGGATGAAGCTAGATATTTAAGGAGAACAATGATACAGAAAGAAATCCAAAAGATGCCTGGGTGTAGCTGGATTGTAGTGGGGCAAAAGACAAACTCATTTGTTGCTGGTGATATATCACATCCTAGTTCTGATGAAATTTCACAAACTTTGAAACATCTGACAGCACTAATGAAAGACAATACATTGCAGGAAGATGGAATTTCCCTGGTTGGTCAAATTTAGTTATTCAATATAATGGGAAGTCAAGTAATCAACTCAGATTTGCTTCCTGACAGAAAAGAACCTTACATAAATTGCTGATCAGGGAGGGGGAAAAAGGGAAAAGAGAGGAAAGCTGGGTAGTTATATTTTCAAAAAATTTCTTAGGATTTCTATAAAGGGAAAGAAAGGAAATAATCATATACAAAGGTTGAATATGGATTTATTGTTTTTTGGTAAACATGTAGCAATATTATCTGCATTCTTTGATGCTTGATGAGTGGTTTTCTCACTCTGGATATTTATTGCTGGGAACTATATCATGGATCAAGATTTAAGTTTCTGATATGAGAACTGCAGAAGACCAAAAAAGTTCTGTCATATGGCATATTGATCTTTCTTCTAGAATCTGAGATTTAGTGCTGGTAAGATGTAGTCGCATAAAACGCTACAAAAAATTTAAGATTGGTTGAGGATTTGAACGATATTTATTCATAATACTTGTGATGCAGTAATATCTTGGGAACTAAACTTGCTGACATTGATTGGTGAAGCAAATTTCTGCTGGGAAGCTTGAAACTTACCTGTGAAGCAAATCTAACCTCATGAATACTATTGGGTTCAACTGACAGTGAGCTATACTGACCAAAACGCCACGATGCTATCCTATATTACAAGATAAACGTGTCATGCTGAAACTAGCCAAATATGATTATAAACCCTTTTTCACATTTCAAATAACATGCAAAATCCCACAATTCTGCATCAAGTATCCTTCATGTATATCAACATCAATATCACTTGTATTCCAAACTAGTTGGGTTCGTATTAATCGCATGTCAATCAATCTATTTCCCACTCCGGTAATCTCGATTTATTTTCAGTTATTGTTGCGGGTGAAGATTCTGCTGTGCCAAAAGATTTGAGGGTTTACATTAGAAGGCCCAAACCAGTGCAGTTAAGACAGTTAGGAAGTTATTTGTGTTTCCTAGCTTAATTCTGATTCATGATTAAGACTTAGACACCACCAGAGTTGTGGCACATATAGAAAACATCAGTTCAACTTGCACCTAAGAAATGTACCTGTACTATTTACCATCCGCTTAAGTTGCTACCTAGCATCTCTTTAATCACCCACGGCCCACCATACATTGTATAGCATTCAAATATGTTAATTAAACACAATTCTCTTGCATGTCTTCAAGGTGGCAGCCGAGCCACCCTTCTCTTAGGTTGCATGAGAGACACTTGTTGACTCTCATGACACTTTGCAAGTATTCCCTCTCTCGGCCAGACCTTTCCTCTTGACCACATTACTTTCACATGCAAACATCATTTGGTTATCCTCTCAACCTCGGCCAGGACTGATTAACAAACACTCCATCACATGCAAACATCACAATACGATCGGGGGGCAGTTTGGGTTCAGGGGTGTAATATTAATTGTAACGGGATAGGAAGAAAATTAGTAAGATTCCTGACAGAGAATTCTATTAGTGAGAACAGTCTTAACCCTTGGATTGGTGGAGAGAAATGAAAGTGTCATCCCTTATCTTTGTTTGGATTTCTTAAAATTGGAAGGAATGGAATATATTGGAATCCATTCTATCCCATTCTATCCAATACTCTCATTTTCTAACCTCCCCATTCGGGGGAGATGGAATGAAACCACTCTAATAAAATAACTTTTTTGGTTCTGATCTGTGCAAAAACTATTGAGTTAGATCATACATGGTTGAGCCTAGTACTTGTTGGTGAAGATTTAGGTTGAACTGTACTTTGCGAGATATTTGGGATATTGGCAAGATACTTTGAGCTGGTGTTGAAGTGTTTGGGCAACTTGAGGATACTGTGGGATGTATATCTAAGATACTTCGACATTCAAGTCAGTTTAATTTCAAGATATTCAAGTATTGATGGATAGGCGATCATCCCTAAGCTTAATGTCTCTCTCTGTATTTATAGTGGAAGGATGCCTTTCTTATACCGTCTTTATACGACGGTATTCACTTCTGGTGGATAAGGGTAGCCTTAACAGGCTACATTCAGATGCCCATATTCGGGCTAAGCCTTTGTAGATGTCAGCGATATACAAGTGTGGCATTGGCTTATGTGATGGTCAAGTTGTTCTAAGTTATGATGCAAGGACACGGGACACGACACGACACGCCGACACGTTAATTCTAAAAAATGTCATATTTCAACACGTTGAGACACGTTTTGATATTAAATAAAAATTTTAATATATATAATATAATTTATATTTAATACATATAAGAGTCCATAATAAGTCATATAACCAATCAAATATTTAAATTTCATATCATAAATATAAATAAAAATAATTTTTCGTACTTTGTTAATTTTTCATGTCAAATTTCATAATAGAAAAAAATTAATTTATAAATTATTTTTTTTATATTTAGTTAACAAAATAAAATTAAGATAAAAAAAAACGTGTTCGAGCGTGTTCGAAAACGTGTCCGAGCGTTGACGGCGTGTCGGACGCGTGTCCGTGTCGGACATGTGTCCGACACGCAAATTTTAAAAAATTTGCGTGTCCGTGCTTTCCAGGTTCTAAGTGTTGGGTATGACTCATATTTCGCATGCTGATGAGGGCCTTTGTTGTCGGGGTCAGCAGAAAGGCAACTAGGATCCCGCTCCCAGGTGAGCGGGCGGGGATCCGGGGGGCAGCACCCCCAGGCCCGTAGAGGCTAGTTACTGTTGTGGGCCTTTGATTTATTGTAATTTTCTTAGTAGTTTGGGCTTGGGACCATGAATAGCTGCTGAGTTTTCTAATCTATTTATATTTTTTTTGTAAACCGAGTGACTTGTAACGAGTGGTGGTGAGGTGAATATAGTACAGACAAGCTGACGTAGCCTAAATTGGGTGAACCAGAGTAAATCTCTGTGTCTATTCTCTCTTTTTCTTTTCTCTTTTCATTTGCGATTTGTGTGATTGTCGATTTCCAACACTAACCAACTGATGTCACCATATCCAAACATAAGGTACATATCCATTTACAAACTTTCTGAATTTTTTTTATAAATTACACTATGTTCTCCCGGGAGAACATAGTGTAGTTTCTAAAAATTTGTATTCTCTCGGGAGAATGTGTAGTTTGTAAACAAAAAAATTTGTAAATATAACCTGCCACCCAAACATATAACCTTAATTGGCAAACAAAACAATTATGATTAAAGTTTTAAATTATGGTTGCGATCACCTCATAATCTCGTTTCAACTGTCATGTACCGATGCGGGTTGGTGTGGTGTAAATCAATGTGGAATGAAATTGCAGTTTGATGCTTGCTGTATGAATACTGGAGAGATATAAATCTGTTTCAACCCTTGTAGGTAAATGGAATGTTAGTTTAGTGCTATTTCCATTCTGTTGGATGCTGAAACGACTAGGGGTGTTCATGGTCTAGATTGGATCGGTTTTAGAAGAAAAAATCATCTGATTCAATCCCTTCGGTTTGATCATGTAATCATCCATTCAGTTTGGATTTTTTTTTCAAATTCGATCTAATCCAATCCAATTTTATTCAATTTGGATTGGATCGGTTTTCGATTTTTCGAAAAGTCTAAGATTTGTATGATGATTATTGTGCAATCTAAAAATATCAGTAAGCGATAATCTAATTTTTAATATATTACAACAAAAAGTTAAATTGTCATCTTTTATCTCCGACAAAACATTTACAATGTGGTTGACTGATACATGGAGTAACCCAAATTTTCATCTTATAGAGGAGCTGTTGTACAACAATAACTCATACAATAAAAATATATGATGTATCTTACCCAAAAGAAAAGCATAACATAGATCAAGCATAATCCATTTTCTCCAACATGATGGATAAATGGATCTTGGGATTAGAATTTTGCTGTATGATTTTTGGGCTATGATTAAGGAAAGACCCAAGTAAGTAGAAGATAAGGTTGGAGAATTATTGGATCAGTTTTCGCCAACTAAACCAAAAATCAATCCAATCAAATTAAATTGTGTTTTTTTTTTCATTTTTCAATTTTTTGGTTTTCGGTTATCAATTTTTTAATTCGGTCGCCGCAAGTTTGGATCGATTGATGAACACCCTAAAGAAACTACTCATACCAATTGTGCCTATGGACTATGAGGTGTTGCAGAATAGAAATCTGGGCGACCTGAGAAGTCCCAAGTTGTCCTGAGGTATCCAAAACTCAAAATATTTAAAATTAAATTAAATTTTGTATCCAAAACCCAAAATATTTAAAATTAAATTAAATTCTTAATTCTCAAACTTAATAAAAATAAGAGTAAACACCTTTTTTAGTCCCTGGCAATATCTACGAAGTCCTTTTCAGTCCCTGGCAATAAAAAAGGACCAAATTGATCCCTGAAAGTACAAGAAAAGGGTCACTCTACATATTTGGGAGTTGAAATAAGGACTAACATTGCCCTTTTTTTGTAATTTCAGGGACCAATTTAGTCCTTTTTTATTGCCAAGGACTAAAAAGGACTTCGTAGATATTGACAGGGACTAAAAAGGGTGTTTACTCTAAAAATAAATACAATCTCCTCCTAATAAACTTTATGAATATTAAAAGGAAAAACAAGAAAAAAAAATCTCGATACTCGAGTTTTTACAAGGAAGAGTAGGCATTTTCGTCAAATTTTATAGCATAAATTGGATGATAACAATACATAATTCAATGATAGTATAATACTTTATATCAACTCAAGGAAATTTAAAAAAATTACATTGACAAAGGATTAAAATTTTTATACGTTATGGACCTCAGATAAAGGCCCACATTCTAAAAAGCTCAATAAAGACTAACAGTTAAGAGGAAAGTTAATGGAAGATTCTTAAATTAGGTTAATTCTAGTGTAATAGCAATGGATCAATAACTGGACTTCAATATTTCTAAGAGGTCCAGAAGTTCAATTCTGTTAGATAATTCATCTATAAATAGTACACACCTTTTGAACCTTCTATCTCTTAACTGTTACTGCACACACATCATCCCTATGACTATGTTGTTATTATAATGCACAATTATGTGCTATTCTTTGAGGTACCTGTAGATATCTCAGAGAGGGTATCTAAATCTTATAGAAACATATCTGTTGTAATTTTGGGAACGCTTTTCACAAACAATAACAAGCTGACCATAGCTAGCAGTAATAAAGAAAGCATAAAGAAGATTTACACCAGTATTTTACAGGTTTAGAAACTCAGTATCAGTGAGTTTCCTATGTCCAGGGGCCTAAAGAGGGTTAAATGCCCTCTAAGATTACTCTATATTCAAATCGAGTTCAGAACCAGAATTTACAGTATACAATTTCAGGTATACAAAATAAGCATGTGAAGAAACTTTAACATGAAACAAAACAGCAAGAAATATAATCTTGATACAAGGTTGAGAGAACTTCCCAATCTTTGAGCCAACAAGGAATCGTAGTTCCTTTCACAAGATCTACAAGCTGATCAACATCAGCTTCACCGATCTTCCTCACAAGGTTGAGCTTCCACTCTTTGACCGTCAATCGAAAAAGTACACCGATCAATAGAACCGTCTTGTTGAGATGAACAAGTTTCTCCAAAACACCATAGATCAAATCTCAGTGTATCACTTGCTATTCTCAGAATGATTTCACTCACAAACCCTAACGAACAGCCTTTTTCGAGAGAGTTCTTTTGGATGGTAGCTATCAGTAAAAAACATATCACATTATGTTACTGTGTGCTCAGCTGAAGGGTTAAGAAGCTTTTGCCTTCACAAAGCAAAACGGTGCATTTTTCTTGTGTTGCAAAAGTGGGCCTCAGCCACTTCAATTGGCCCAGTAGGCAAGTAGTGATAAGAAGCATACAGCTGAAAGTCCAAAAGCCCAATAGGTAAAATAGAGAAAAAAAACATCTATGTTTATGAAATACATATAACAATATTAATGGACATCTCGAATCCTTCTAGGATCGAACAATATAAAAAATTTAAGCCCCTAAGAGTGGGATTATCTCTCTACGTTTTTTTTTTTCTACAATTACGTCTATTTTCTTATTTTATAACGCATGTTTTCCTTTTCTTTTCTTTTTTTTAGGGAAAAAGAGAGTTTTCTTCCCACCTTTAGCATTCTCTATCCAATGTACTCTTTTTTTCACATTATTATCCTCATCAATTGATTTCTTATCCTAAACTGAAATCTTTGCCGCCTTAATCAATGCTCAAATTTCTTTGAACATTATGTTTCTAAATAATAACATGCATTAAATTTTTTTTTATAAAAACTCATGCATTGCTGGGCCTTTATATTTAAATCGAGCTTAATTAAATGAAATTTGATCATAGGGAGACGGATTTTTAAATTTGAAATAGCAAGGATTAGATGGAGCGAGCTGACACATGAGTTATCGCGCTAAATGACAAGCTTAGAGGCTAAGTCTGTGTGTGAACCACAGAAAGTGGAGGAACGTAGGCCATGTATGTGTGTATGTATGTATTTATTGTGACTTAGTTGTGAGGTATCATCAAAAGCTGACCATTATTTTTTTCATGGCTTCCGCAGCGGCTCCACAGGTTCTGTTATACAATCCCATCTTAGGAAATAATCGAGCAAGAGGAGTAAGGTTTTTGAGGGCAGGAACCACAAACACTCATTACAGTAGTACTCTTGTGCAGCCTGTTCAAGCCTCGCAGGGTCGAGCACCTCCTCCTGGTGTTGACACAAGAATCCATTGGGACAACCAAGATGAAGGTTGGATTGGAGGTACTAACACTGAAAAACACCAACAAAACAGTGCAGAGCAGAAACCCAAGAACCTCTTGGGTGAAAAGTTTGCTGATTTGCTCACCGCTTCTTCAGGTTCTCATTACGAGTGAGTCACTACACTACACTACTCTATTATTATTATTATATATGACTTGTCATTTCTGCTCAATTGTCATATATGTTACATGTCAATTTGACTAACTGGTTGATGGAAACAAACAAGCAGATTCTTAGGAGTATCAGCAGATGCGGATTTAGAAGAAATTAAAGTAGCTTACCGGAGACTATCGAAGGAGTACCATCCAGACACAACTTCCCTCCCACTAAAAACTGCCTCAGAAAAATTCATGAAATTAAGAGAGGTTTACAATGTTCTTAGCAAAGAAGAAAGTCGAAGATTTTATGATTGGACCCTTGCTCAAGAGGCTGCAAGCCGCCAAGCAGAGAAGATGAAAATGAGACTGGAGGATCCTTATGAGCAACAGGTCAATAACTGGGAATCTGTTCCAGACATGGTTGACCGCCTTGGTGGAAAGAATATGGAGCTTAGCGATCAAGCAGTTTCTGCAATCACTATTGATGTTTTTATCATCATTTTTTCTATATGTTGCATCATCTATGTAATATTCTTTAAAGTACCATATTACTAGCTAGTTAATCAATTAGAAAATCCGTATATGTTATGCCAATAGAATTAAATATAAGATTTTACATCTCTACAGGTCATGGAAAAATGATAACATTGTACATTTCCTTTTGGTATTAGGGCAAGCTAAAAGCAAAGTTAGAGAAAGGGTGACAGACTCATTTTGAAATGGGACTTGCTTAAAATGACATTGTACTGATTCTTCTGAAGGGTGCAGATTCAACACATATACAGTGTGCGTAACTATAATTTCCAAAAGGCTTCACGAATTACAAATTCAAACTGAGAATAGAATAATAAAATTTAGGAATGGCTTTCCACAAGCATCCAAAAATGTTCGTCTATTTCTAAACACGAATTTTTTTATGTTGAAATCGTTGCTTAGTTCAAATTTTCCATTTCAATTGTTTTGATGATGACAAGGTTACAAGCTTACATGCACATAGAGAACCCCCACTCCCAAAGAAATGAATGAGTATGCATCAAGTAAATAGAAGAGGGACTCTACAGTATACGAGACGCTAAAATCAATTTGATCACTTGGCTTTGTTACAAAACCCGGGGAGATATGAACAGAACAGTAAGAGATCAATAGACATATCAACCTAGCACTAGTTTCTTTTACCACTGCTAAGCACTCTCTGAAGTTGGAAAGCTTCTCCCTGCTCTCCACTCAATGATCGTCTCTCTAAGCAACAAGCAGTGAGCTGTCTAAGTAACCTCTCAAGATAGGAGTGCAAGCAATTTTTTGATTCTTTCATATTGGGATTTGTGGACAATATCATGGCATTTACTGTGTCAGCTACAACTTCACGCTGTGAGTCTTTTAGCAGATAACCTACGGAGGATTCCAGTGGTCGTTCATACGCCAGCAAAGCAACACAGTCCTATAAAGAACCCAAAGGCGAATTTAATTATCAGTACTAACATACCACAATGAGAAAAAAAGGAAACATATAATATGGAAACACAACTATGATTTCTCTCTCTTGCATGCGATGGAACGATCTCAGACGGGCAGAGCCAGAAATTTAATATTGGGGAGGCCAGACCAAATATATATAACACGAAGAAAACTTTTCAAGTCTATTTCTTTTTCTTCTACTCTCTCTTATTTTATTTTTCCTTTTATTTTGTATAGGTAAATCGTAACTGATAGAAGAGATTGTATCATTTGCACGCAATACTTTCCAATAACTAAAGGGATTATGTGAAAGTTTAATTTTATTATGGGGCCATAAAGAAATATACAAAAGAAAATATGATAAAATTACAAAGTTGGACACGGCAAATGCATGCTCCCCTTCCCTCCAAGTCTCATCTTTAGACAGTCTTAAAAGCTTATAAAGAAGGGGAGATGAGGTTGCTCATGTTTATCTAGTGCAATATAAAATTAGAATGATCATATGCTTCAAGCACAGATAAGCGAGCCTCCTGCAAATTCGAAATCAGCAAGGGATATTAGGGAAGCAGTATTCAATTTAATTCTTGATAAGAAAATTCACCTGAACTAAATCCTCAAAAACAGGCAACCCAAAAAAACTTGACAACTCTATTCTTCCATATTTGACAGCCTCCTCCAGTGCTCCAACCTAAATATCACATACAGAAATGTAAAAATATTAAATTATTCAATTTCTGTCCATTTAGTAGGGACTTTAAATCAAAGCTAGATGACCAAAAGAACATACTTGAAATTTAGAATGAGTAATAAAAGATAAATAACTGGTGTCAATTAAGCTTGACTAATTAACAAAGCACCAGCCTTGGAAATTAAAAGCCTAAATATATGTCATCACTAATCACTACTATCAAATGAAAACAAAAAACATTAAAGAAAAAAAACCTCTAATTGCAGATATACTAATGGAGGACAGGAATAAAGTAGGAGAGGCTTCTAATAGTTACAAAACTAAATATTGAAAGGAATATACCCGAACTAATTCGATAAATTTTTGACAATGAAGCAGAAAACACGTAGCTGATGTATTGTCCTGCAGTAATCACAATTGATTGTCATTACCGATGAGGTAAATATAATGACAGAAGATTCTTACAGAGAAATATCAAATCAAGAATTTCATACATGATTTGATCTAACCACAAATTCTAGCACAAATAAGTTTTCAAACAACACAAAAGCAGAAAGAGTGACCAATAGAGGAAAACAAAACAGAAGACAACAAAGCACAGTATAGCTCCACTATATTATCGCTCCAACTATAACAGAATAGGACGCAAATAACAATTTAAGTGCAGCATAGCATCAGCTATAATCACCATCAACATTCCTTTCATTAAGAATCAGTTTAAAGCAATTTCAGTTACAAATATACTTGTAAAGAATCAATTCAACCCAAAAGCTTAAGCTGTTAGGTGAGGCTACGTTAATGGTTTTATATATCTCAACATGCCTCCTCACATGAGAGCCTACTGGGCTTGAAGGGTGGACAATGCACAAGCCCACCTACCTGCGCGAACAAAGAAATTCCACTTGAAAGAAAGTGGGAGGCGGCGAGGATCGAACCCGGAACACGAGGCTCTGATACCATGTAAAGAACCAATTCAACCCAAAAGCTTAAGCTGTTGGGTGAGGCTACATTAATGGTTTTATATATCTCAACAATACTAAAGATCATAATATATACTCCACAGCAGAATTTGTTGCATTTTTAATCAGTATAATTGGAGTTAGCTTAGCACCAGGATACACGAACAGGATATACAAAACTGTGTTGACAACCATTATAATCTGAGAGAGCCCACCTCAACAATCTGGGGATACCATTCACGCAATTTACCAAATGCATCATCAATCTCTCCATCCCTAATTAGCTTCATTGAAAAAAGAGGTAAGCCAAATTAAGTTTGCAAATCAGCAATACATATAGCCAGGATATCATACTAGCAAAATACAAAAACAAAGGACAGCAAAACCACAATGTCCATCAATTACAATACAGGAACTTAAAAGGACACTGAGTCATGGAAACTATAACTAAACGATTCTGTGTTATAACCAAGTAAAGACACTTCTGTAAAAAGAGAGAAGAATTCTAATCTATGGTATTATAATATCTATTAATTCATGTGACAATATGAAGGCCTGACTCCATTGAAACTGATAGAAAGGCCTCAATAAGTATGACAAATGAAAAGAGATTATAATTGAGAATTACAGAACATTATTCAGCAGACAGAAGAGACATACACATAAAGATTGCCTAGAATTTAAGAGGGCTTAGTTCGTTTTCTTTCTTCAAAATTTTATTAAGAAAATAGTGAAAACAAGGAAATATTGTTTTCACTATATTTATAAAATCTACATATGTCATCCCAATGAAAACAAAATGGGAACAGAACAACACCAAAGCTTATACTTCTCCTCAATTTATAGAAGATATTTTCAGAGGGGCAGGTATGACCACAATCAAGTAGCATGTATGACCCCAAAATATTAGTGGTTTCATGTTTGAATGATATTGACAAAAGAAAAGAAACTAATTACAGTATTACCTAAAACAGGAAAAGAAAAAAAAGAAAAAAAAAATCCCTTTCTTTGATATCATTCCATGCACAAGAATTAGCAAGACATTCTGCAAAATCAGTCACATTTGACCATGCTCTCATCATTAAACAGGAAAAAGCTGTTTTCACCATTTCTTTCCCAAAATTTCGAAAAATGGGAAACTGAATGAAAACAAGGTGTATTTTTGTAATTATAAGGGTCCATTGGATGACAGAATTGGAATTACAACTTACAATTCTAATTTCAATTCCAATTTTGTCAAAATTAAGAATCTTAATCTTCATGTTTAGGACAAATAAAAAATTGAGATAAAGAATCAAAATTCTAAATTCAATTGGAATTCCATAAGAGGATGCCGGCGGCAATGTGTTATGTGCTAGCAGCGATGGTTATTGGTGACAATGGTTGTTGGTGTATGCCAACAGACAGCAATAGTTTCTCTAGGATGTAAGCAACAAAGATAATTAACAAAAAAATATAAAATATTGATTTTAACTTTGATCTTTGGTTCTTGTAATTGTAATTCTTAGGATCTAAACTAAGAATCGAACACAATATAAATTAGTTATTTATTAAATCCATGGAATTGAACTCAGAATTAGACTTCCAATTCTAATGTATACACCAATCAGGATAATTGGAATTGGACCTTTCAATTCCAAGCTCAATTCGAAGTCCAATTCCAGATGCTATATGGCAATTTCAAGGAAACATATGAACTAATATTAACAGCAGAAAACAAACCAATTGCCTCCTAATATTCCCTTGTTTCCTATCCCAATTATACACATTGAAAAAGATAAATTGTCACAAGAAATAATGTACCTGCCGCAGAGTCTTTCTGTGATTTAACGCATATGTTATTTCCTCCTCATCAATTCCATTTTCTTGAGCTATATATATAGGAGGAACAGTACTTCTACTAGCCACATCAAATGAATTCAATGTATCTTCATAGCCATAGTGTAGCAAGTAGGAACGGACAATTCTGCTAATAAGAAAGAATATCAAAATTAAGAATATTCATACGTATTTATTACTTTCTTACTAGTATTGGTTCCCAAGAAAGTCATAGATATCACACAGCCCAGGCGAAATAGATTAATATATATATGAAAGCACAAAAAGCTACAGTATGCAACCTTAGAGAAGTTTTCCTTAGCCTAAGAATAAGCATTCCCAGGAAATTACAAGACCATAATAAGTTTTTTCTGTCTACACTGAAATTCTCAAAGGGCCTGTTACTGAGATTGATAACAGCCTGAGCCATGTCATATTGTAAATTAATTTTATAATTTGTGTATCTCTATTCTTGTAGTTATGTTTATCAGTTGATGTTCTCTCAATACAAGATCTGATATACTAAAAACAATAGGTAAAACCCCAGTTCATAATATTATAAGTACTCAACCTATGGCATTCTGCTTCCTCACTGTCTTTTATTCTCCTCCTTTCTCTGATTAACACTCATGAATACTGTTTGCAACTGAAGAATAAAGGTATACATCACCCCCATTATAAAAAACCCTCATATTTGATATTTTAGCAGCTAGCTACTGTAAATAATGAAAATAGGAAAAAGTATGTGTCATTTTAAATGCAGCAGTCAGCACCTAATTGTATAATGCTGTAACATGTCCTCAGAATATCCAGTCAACAAATATGTGAAGATAGATAGTCAGATTCCTCAATTTCTATCTGTTTTTCTCACTTTTTCTCATTTTCCTGCACTTTCTCTAAAATCTTTAATGAATTACATTCCAAACCTCAAGAAACGTTACTTATATTACAAACATTAAAAAGAAAAAAATTCACACCCTAGATGTATCTGGAAGATATTTTACAGCTTGTGCTTTACAACACTAGATGGCTATTTTAATGAAAATATTGATATCTGCAAAAAGGAATTGGAAAAAAAAATAGCAAGACCAAATAATTTTTTTTTAATATAAAAAAAAGAAGTCAGACAATGTTATATGAAAACATAATTAAAATGCCACGAAATTAAATAAAACAGTTACATGCATTCACCACCGAAAACTATCTTCTTTTTTATAGAAAAAGGCATTACTAGGAGATAAATTTGACATGATCTAAACATAAATCTACTTCCACAACAGTGGTAACCTCATCTCTTACAACAGGACGCAGTTCTATATGCTATAAAATCATAAGATTATGTACAAGTCTAAAAACTCTTGATAATCAATCTTTTCCACGGGAGAAACTGAAATTGAAAAAGAAACTGGTTCGTCGGTGTCGACAGTAAACACAAACCAATAACTACATTTTCATCAACCAGGTTCAGATTCCCGTTTGCACAGCTACACTAACAGAGCTTTTACTCTCTATTTCTTTTAGCCCTATCAAAATTTCAAGGTTTAAACTTCAAATGTTACAGCTTCCAGCACTTCTAAGAGCCACTTAGTACATTACACCTTCAGAAACTCATCTGTTAAACTTAGAACATTGTCATTTGATCTAGCAAGCTGACTATAGCACCCAGACGGCAATTTGTGGCATATACAAATCTCCAGGCAATATAATAGAAATCTGTAAGTAAATCCATATGTACAAAAACTGTGATGGAATTTATCTTAAGTTCTGTAATCTTACCCTGCTACCAACTACAAACGGACCTAATAATAATCCAAGATATGATGGGCATTTAGAGCTGATAGTAAGCTCGAACTAATTTAGATTAAAAATGATTGGAACTAATTTAGATTAAAAATGATTGGAAATGAAGAACAAAATTAGTTGAAGTAAAATTTAATTGAAATGAGTTTAATAAGAAAGTTTATTTAAAGGTAATTATCTCTCACCCGTAACTGATATTTGCTGGCACTGGAATTTCCTCTATTTTCAGTTGCTGCTTCATTCTTTCTTGTGCTTCAAATTCCTAGTCCAATAATACAAATATTCAAGAAAAATAATGAAACAGAAAAATAAATAGCAAAGATCTTTTAAAACTTTGTTCTTTTTAAACAAAAAGGTCATATAACAGTCATTTTTGTGAATGTATTAAATCACACTGAACTCATTTGATCTACCATTGCATCAAAGTACTACCTTATTAGATGCATAGGATGTATGATAAGGATATCTAACTACCATGTTTTCTCCTCCCGAAGGCTGGCGAAGAACCTCTTATCCTTCTGGAGAACCTCTTATATTCACACTTGCAAATATTTTTTCACCTTTAAGGATATTAAATTCTTAATAAGAAAAGGAAAAAGCATATTCAAAATAGCGGCCCTGGAACACCAGCTGAGACAGCACACCTATTCTAATTCATCCCCACCAGGATTGTCAAATTGTGAATCGAATCATGAAGGCATAATTTTTAATTTTTAATCAAAACGTATTTTGAACCATAAGATTCTTGATCACCTATTAATAATTGCATTAAAAAAAAATTCGCATAATGACACATTATAAACATGTAAATAATATACATATATCTACCTACCAAAAAAAAATATATATATATATATATACTATGAAACACCGACACTTCGAAAATCCTAATGTGTCGTGTCCGACACTTCTCGACACTCCGACACTTTCTGTCACTCCAATACTCGTTGCAAAGACTCAAAAAAGGTTCAAAGGTTACGTTGCATTGTATTTTGAGTTCCAACTATTAGATTCGTTAGATTACGATTACGATTTTATTGAGTTTAATATAAACATTGGGGATATATTATGTTTATTTGTAAAATTGATGGGTATTATAAGTTTAGCTTTATTTTTTTGATAAATTATTGAATACTAAATATAATATACACTACATAAATTAAAAATATTTTATAATATCAAAACGTGTCCTGACGTATCGAAATTTAACATTTTTTAGAATTAACGTGTCCGAGTGTCGTGTCGTGTCGTATCCCGTGTCGGTGTCGGTGTCGGTGCAACATAGTATATACATACATATATCAAGATTTTTTGATAATATAAGTACATTAAATAAATATAATAATTTAAACAATAGCAAAAAATTCTAATTCACATTTGTTGATATAAGAATAATATCAAAATATAAAACATTTTGAGAACATCTAAGCCAAGCCCAAATATTAATTGGGCTTCATCCATATAATTTAGATTTTAGAGATATCACCAAAGAGCATGTTTGTTTTACATTTGTCGAACTGTGATACACCATTCCATGCATGAGAAATGGCTAAGATTTCTTGGAGCACAAACCCCAAACCTATTGGATCAACATCAACATCAACAGCACCTTTAACCCAAGTTAATTGGGGTTGGTGGTAGATGAACCCAATGATAAATAAGAGGAGATTAAAAAAATAAAATAAATAAATAAATAATAAAATAAATAAATTAAAATTGAGGAAGGGGAAATAAGATAAAAGACACGAATGGGAAAATAAAGAGAGGGGGATTGAAGAGGAAAAGTACTAAAAAGGGACCATCTGGAACAAAGGAATAACAACGGGTTTAACCTTCCACCCTACTTATAGGTTTTCTCCATGTCGTCCTAAGACACACCCTCCGCCAATTTATATCCCATTACATTAAGTCTTGTTTAACTACCTTTTCCCAAGTTAGTTTCATTCTACCTCTACCTCTCTCTGTGTCGAACTCTTGGTAACAAACTTTTGTTCTTACAAAGAGCATCCAGGAACCGTCTCATTACGTGCTCAAACCACCTAAATCTATGTTCCCTCATCTTTTCAGTTACCGGTACTACTTCTACCTTTCATCGAATATCTTCATTTCTTATCTTATCAATCCTCGTATAACCACACATCCACCTTAACATCCTTATTTCTGCTAGCTCCCTCAATTTACCAGTTAAGGTTCCTATGTTCCAGCTTCCCAATCTCACCCTTAACCCCTAGGCGGTGCTTGCCCGCCACGCTCGCCCATCTGCGTATTGGGACCCTGACCTACTTTTCACCAAATCCGGGTGAAGACCTGGCGCCTTGCCTTGGGGCAAGGACCCTGACCCATTTTTCGTTGCACCCAGGGTCCGATGCAACGCATCGCTATGAAGGGTACGCCCTAAACCTATTGGATGGGAGGAAGAATTTCTTCCTTCACCTGAAGACATGTTTACATCCAGGGAAATGTGAAACAAACTTCCACAAACAAATAGCACCAAATCCACATCCGCCATGGCCATCGTCATGAATACTCAAGTTATCCTCTTAGTTCCACCTATATACCCTTTGTTTTCGTCACACTTGTTACCAGTATGGTCATCAAATCAGGTTCTAACTTGTAGAATCGTATGCTTATGTGTTTGGAAGATCCCTCCAATCTCAACCCTAACTTAGAACACAACTTGCTGGGATTGCTGTAAAATTGCTTATCTCATCATAATCACACTGGGTTCATGCATGTTCAGTGTGGTCATTAGAAAATCCGTGCTATGTTGGTGTGGGTTGAATCCCTCAGGAAAGGGGGGGGGGAGTTCCAGAACATAAATACTTGACCACCGACATGTAAACCTCACTTCAAATTGCATTTCAAACATTTTTTAGTTTTAAGCTTCATTCTTCGAACCCTATCTAAATGGGTGTTGTGAGTTCTTTGAACCCTTGCAAGGGCTGTTTTGTTTGAAGCTTGTCGTGACCTTGTGCCCCTGTTTCTGCATGAATGACTTCTTGGTGGGCTGTTCTAGGTTGGCTTCAACAACCTCAACCTTCCTCTTGTTTTGTCCTCTGCTGGTTTGTGGGTGCATACTAGTTTGTTCATGGAAATGCCAATTTGTTGTGCTTTGCTGGTCTGTGGGTGATGTATTTGTGGTTCCCTTATTTTTACTACTCAATCTCTCTGTTTTCTCATATTAAAAATTCTAGTGCTCCTTCCTACTGGCTTATTTTGGTAGGTTAGAACTTAGAAGCCTTTGTTTTGTTACAAGGCTTGTGCATAGCCTAACTATCATTAGAATATCTAGGAAACATCTCATAATATCATTATTGTATCTTAAAATATCAAAAAGGATCTTGGATGATCTTTCAGGAGTGGTTTCCATATGTCATTATAATTCATGTTTTGTTCCCTTATTTAATAAGGATTAGTAGTCTAGTATTACTATAAATAAGAATTAGGGCTTTGTCTTTTGTAATATAGCATATCAATCTTATCACATCCTCACACCTATTAATTTCATTAAATATTAGTGAGAGTCCTATTTTTCTCACTTTATCCTTCCCTACCTAAATCCTCCAAATTTCAACACTTGCAAACTCACATCTATTCAATTTTTTCCCTAAATGCTACTTGTGATTGTAATTGTTAAATATCATAGATACAAGAGGAAATGATAGTAATCCTTGTTGTATTAAACTACACAACATTGGTGCTATTATATAGCAAACCAATTGAAGAATACAAAGAGACACACTCAATGTGGGACTTCTACACTATTAACACTAACACTCTTAACACTTCCCCTCAAGTTGTAGCATATAGATCATTTGCTACAAGCTTGATACATAAATAATACTCCCATTAGGAACCAAAAACAACAATGCTACATCAACGAAATGAAATGACTAAGTACAACAAATCAACTGGAATGACCATCAGTCTAAAGAGCTGATAAAGAGACAGTGCTAGAATGGACATCAGAGCATGGATGGTGCCAGAATTATCATCGGCAAAGACAACTGAGCTGACCAGGACATCAGCATCAAGATCCCTCTCAGACATTTCATTTAACAGTTGGTGAGCAGCCGTGGTTTCCCCTTGACTATGCTACAAGCTTATTACAAGAAAGACCAAGTAACATAACATCAAAATAAATCTCCTAAATGAGAAACCAAAAAATCAACAATGTGCTAAAAATGGCGTCGAAATGAACATCAACATGGAAGATGCCAGAATGATCATCGGCAAAGACAATTGTGCTGGAATGACCATCAGCAACATGGACGGTGCTCCCCCTCAAGAGGAACTTCTAAACAGTGCCGAAATTATCATCGGCAAAGACAATTGTGCTGGAATGACCATCAGCAACATGGACAGTGCTCCCCCTCAAGAGGAACTTCTAAACAGTGCCAAAATTATCATCGACAAAGACAATTGTGCTGGAATGACCATCAGCAACATGGACAGTGCTCCCCCTCCAGAGGAACTTCTAAACAGTGCCAGAATTATCATCGGCAAAGACAATTGTGCTGGAATGACCATCAGCAACATGGACAGTGCTCCCCCTTAAGAGGAACTTCTAAACAGTGCCGGAATTATCATCAGCGGAGACAACATCAGCAACTTGGATAGTGCTCCCCCTCAAGATGGATGATGAATAGTATAAATACTCCATCTTGGGAAGAAAGAAGATTAAAGAAAAACAAAGCTTCGCGAAATCGGAAAAGTCGCCGGAGACGGCGGTGGGTCGTCGGAAAAGTCGTCGAAGACGGTGGTGGATCGCCGAAAAAGTCGCCGGAAGTCATCGGAAAAGTCGCCGGAGACGGCTGTCAACGGTGGACGACGCGGTCAACGGTGGTCGGTCAACGACAACGGTGGTCAACCCAACAACTTCTCAACGATCATTCTTTTCTGATGTGACAGATCAGTCTAAGCTGCAGTCACAGAGCATACTAAGAAAAACCCGAAAAAGAAATAACAACGGGAATCCCTCAAGGAGGGTGATATCTCTCTATAACCATATTGAAATTATGGAAAATAGAACTAAGTTAAACGGATTAAGATTCCTAACTAAGTTAAACGGATTAAGATTCCTCTTGTTAGGCTCTAGATACCAAATGTAACAGCCTCAAATCTAGTAGCGTGATATTGTCCGCTTTGCCCACGGGCTCACGGTTTTGTTTCTTGGGACACCCCACAAAAGGCCTCACACTAGAAGAGGTATCCACACCCTTATAAGGCATGCTTCGTTAATGTAACAGCCTCAAATCCAGTAGCGTGATATTGTCCGCTTTGCCCACGGGCTCACGGTTTTGTTTCTTGGGACACCCCACAAAAGGCCTCACACTAGAAGAGGTATCCACACCCTTATAAGGCATGCTTCGTTCCCCTCTCCAACCGATGTGGGACATTACATCCTCCCCCACTGGGAATACAGCGTACCCGCTGTACACACCGGTCCAGGAGGCTCTGATACCAAATGTAAGCGGAATCGAATTCGCGAAATTGTTTAGACCGATGCGGTTTGGGATGCAACAGATCATCGTCGTTTTAATTTATCTCTTGACGCGCAGATCTACGTAGAACCACGTCATTTATGACTCCCCTTCACAAACCGATCTCCTCTGCATCACGACACGAACTTATGAACTGATCTTATCTGCGTCACAACACGATCAGACCTCACGTGTTTCTGGTAAATGTTCCAAACTATCCTCAAGGGGAAGGGGAAGTGTGTGGGGACTTTTTCATATCTAAGTTTACCTCTTATGTTCAATGACCTTGAGATGCACCACCCCAAAAGCTAGCTCAAAGGATGGGAGTGCCCAAAGCCTCTCTTAACAAATGGACCCTAACATTCCACCTCGCTCCGCAGTCCCGGCGCCCACGCGGACTGGCTTTGCGCTAGTCTTTTTACTAGCCCCGGGCGAACGCTACAATGCCGGCGTTACCACCCGCGCCGCTCGATTGTAACTGGGAGACATAGTGAAAGGCTCTGATACCATGTTAAATATCATAGATACAAGAGGAAATGATAGTAATCCTTGTTGTATTAAACTACACAACATTGGTGCTATTATATAGCAAACCAATTGAAGAATACAAAGAGACACACTCAATGTGGGACTTCTACACTATTAACACTAACACTCTTAACAGTAATTTTATTGTAATTTCCCTAAATGTTACCAGAACTAGACTAACTAGCAATATCAATGTTCTCCCATCCATTTCATTATCGATCTCTTGCCTTTTTTCCTCAAATTCTGAGCCTCCTTCAAGTCCTCAGCCTAAACCTTCCACGTTGTCCTCAAACCAGAGGAAGACGGCGACAATGACAAAGAAAACAATGAAGACAATTGACCTTTAGGTGAGAAAAAAGACAACACCAACAATAAAGAAGAAAATGAAGACGAAGACAAATAGCTGCCAAGTGGGGATTCTTGAAATTCTTGCACAATTCTGGCAATTCAGGCCACGATTCCAGCACCAAAGTGAAACAGCAAGTAATATGTATCAAAGAATTGACAAATCATATTAATTGTATTGCGATTTATGTGATTCCAACTACACTAATCCCCATAACACTAACAACGAAAGCAACATATTTAACATAAAATTTAAACATGTATCATCATGATCACATAATCAGCATCATTTCCCAACTGTTTAAATCAGCAATTTCTTACTTGTCCAGAAGGGAAAAGATTGCAATGGAAAATTTTAAAAGTGAAACCAGGAGTAATATTATCATTATTCAAGCCTCTAAGTAATTTCAAAGAAAAAAGTGTTTTGAAATATTTATAAGTTTCAGCTACATTTTGCAAAAAACCTTCAGGTCAGATGACCCAGAAGATTTCTCAGGAATAGGCCCAATCCTGCTCGACTAGAGGCTTATCTTCTCATTCTCAGTGTTGAAAATGCAAAAAAGAAAAGAAGTCCGCAAAACAGCAAATAAAAAGGTGAAAACTAAAGTCATGATTACTTGATTTTAACATCTGACAAGCATCCTATCCGAGATCTGAATAATGAGAAAACCATAATAATAAATATTCCTCATAACATGTAGCAAGCATTGAGCAAGTAATTCAAAGAAAATAAGAACAAAAATATACTTTACCATTATGCCAGCTCAAAGACAAAATTATGGAACAAGTCACTGGGTGGAAGTAAACTCAAAGGTTTTCCCTCTTCAATAAATACAAAGTAACAAAATATTCATGTTATTGCATTAGCAAGTAGGATAACATGCTAAAAGTCTAAGGTAAGATATATACACAAAGATAAAAAAAATATAAAAATGGTTCTTACCTTTAGGTCAAAAGTAAATGGTTTCTGGCCAAAGTTGACATGCACCCTGTTAGAGATAAATGAAACACAATCCTGAAAAATTGAACACCTCAACTAATGATCAAAAGCAGCTGCTATTTGAAACTAAGTAGTACGTACTGATGCCAAAAAGAAGAACCTTTGAAATGAAAGGAAGGTAAAAATAATCAAGGATTAAAAAATGTACGCAGACGATCAAAATGGCTGGTCTCCAAAAAAAGAAAAAAAATTCCTAAAGATGAGTGGCAGGTCTAGGCGAATCATACTCGGATACATTAAACATCAGAGTAAATTACTCTTCCCTCCCCACATTTTACATATACTATGCAGACCTCACATCTATTATGATAACATACGTAAAACTTTCTTGAATTCATTAAAAACGTTACAACTCACTCCAAAATATTGTCAGATTAACAGATTAGTTAAGTGAGCTGTTACCTCATTGATGTTTTGTGGTCACATGTTATTAATAGCCTTGTTCAGCTTTACATGTTGAGAAAAGAGAACGAAGGTTCATTTTGGTGTGGAGAAGATAAACTACACGCATGGTCAGCATGGAAATTGAGTTGCAAGATTTTATACAAATACAAAAATCTTTAATGCAATTGACTACTCTAATCTGATAGGTGGCTTCACAAATATACACTAAACATAGAAATCTACCCCGATATTTGGAAAATAAATAAATAAGCATGCAGCGACTCCAGTAAATGAAAAAGAAAGAGATAGATGATATTTAAACATACTCTTCATTTTGGCTATGAACAGCAATGGTCGGGAAAAGAGGACCCTTCATGTCTTTGTAAATTGTGCCGACGACTTGCCCATTTTTACTGGCATTGAAGATGGAGAGTAAAATCTTGTTATGAGAGGAAGCAGAGAAAAAGTTTAAAGAGAACAAATAATCATAGAATAGGATAGGATGTGTGGGGAGGATTACGTGAAAAAGAATTCGTGTGCGGCGTAGTTAATTCCAGCACCAACTACATCACCAGATGTATATTTTGGGCCAAAATGTTCCCCTTTGCCGTGACCACGATAGAGATATCCATCATCTCCATGATATCCACAGCTATTGGCCTCCCACCTGGAAGGGAAAGAAATAATTAAAGAAAGAAAGAATTAAAGAAAGAAAGAAAGAATTAAGAAGGAGGCACCCACCCGGGTTGTCTTCGCATCTTGAAGGTGTCGGAGGTAAAGCCAATGGCAATCTGACCCTTAACACCAGCATCCTTCACATAAATCTCGAAATAGTAGATGAGGCGCTTTGTTGGAGCTGCCTTGTTAGCCTGAATAACACCAACATCGTGGCCGTGAAGGTTGAGGGTAGGATACTTAACTGAGAGCTTGTCGGTGGAAACAACCACAAAACCACCGGAGCTGTTAATGGTGTTGAGCTCCGTTGGTGCCTCTTCCTCGTCTTCTTCCATCTCCGTTGGACCTCCACGCCTACACACATCAAGGAAGTACAGCCCCAGATCTTCTTCATTCTGCCTACTGCTCTTCCCGTTACTCTCACTCATCGCTAAATCCACAACCCTCAAACCCTACCTACACCTTCAATTCACTCGATTTCCAAATCCCAACTCTTATTCTTTTCTTCCGTCAAAATAATATGCACTCACTCACAACAGAATGTTACCGTCTTCAATCGCGCAACACCGGAATGAAATGAAAAGTGAAAACCATCCACCTCTGTTACTTATTTATTTTTCAATTCTAATTAATTAATTAATTAATGTCAAATCAAAAGTGTTTCTGTCACAAAAGTTATTTCCTACCACCAACAAAAAATAAATAAATAAAAATAAATAAATACTATTTTCTTAAAATTTTATTTTTCTCTTGCATTATAAATCTTCTGAAAATATTCTGTATTTTCATCTTTTTAAAATAATAAGAGATAATTTAACACAACAAACACTAAATCCTTAAATAATTATTCTCTCTCACATATATAATAATAATAACAAAACTTAATCAGTATTTTATGAAAAATTAAAAATAATTAATGAATAACTTTAAATATTAAATATCACTCGCTCATCTACAAATTGTTGAAAATATACACACACGAGATTGCAAACAAGAAAAGAGATAAATGATAGAGAAAAATGACACAGCAGTTTACCGTGATTTATCAATGTAAATTACTTTCAATTTATCTATATTATTTTCACCTCGAATCATTCAATTTATAAATGAATATAAATAGGTTTTAAAAAAACACTTAAAACAATAATTATTCATAGCCCAAACTGAAATTATTAAAAAAAATATAATAAGTCATGAACAATAAATTAGAGATGAATCTGCAATGAGTCAGTCATGAGTTTGCAATGAGTTAGCAATAAATCATCTGAATACGAAGTATGATCTATATTCAACAAAAATTACAACATTGATTTATTTGGGAAAAAATCTAAATATCTAATTAATTTATATAATCACCAGATAAAAAAATAATTATTCAATTAATTTGACAAAAAAAAATTATTTTGATTCCAATGTGAAATAATTCTTTCCCTGCATCAAATATATAGAAACTGTACAATTTGGGATCCCAATTAGCTAAAGTCTAAGGGGGTGTTTGGTCGAAGTTTTTGAGAGAGATACCAAGGCAACTTCCTTTGGGTTTTGTGGTTGACCACATTTGGTTCAGGATTGAAAAAAATTTAGATAGACAAATTGGTTGCCCAATCCTTTGCGTTTTCTTTGCAAAATGTGATGTTTATCACTGTTCCAGAAAACCACACTCGTGGTGGTATTTCATGTTTAGCCAGGCAACGAAATAAAGATCACAAACGGTGGACGGAAATCACCCTCATTTATTACTGCTAAACTACAAGCTGTCAATAAGAGAAGCAACACCTGAAGCATTACAGGAAGTTCAATGCAAATCAAAAGGGATGTTGAATCCAAAATTCAAGTACGGCACAGAATACAGCAATGGCCAAAAACAATTCAAATAACTATTTACACATATGGTGGCAAGAACTCCTCTTGGAAACTCTACATAAAGCTTCCTCTAAAGCTCCTTTTCTATTCCCCTTCTATCCGCAAAGCACCTGATAAATATAACAATTGCAGCCCCTCCTTCAATGATAAGCTGTAACAGGACAAAAATGTAGGAAAAGATTCAACTAACCCAATTGAAACACTTTCTTTTATTGGGGTCAGAAATTGAAAGAGACTATAATACTGAGGAGAGGACTGACCATTAACATGATCGAGACCATCAGAAGAAAGAATGTTGAGTAGTTCCTTTTCCCAACACAGTTATTCAACCACTGAAAACAAATGAAAGCAATTATATCTCAAAAATAAAAAGGGGTTAATTTGGTAATTTTAACCCATTTCTCCATCAATATTTTACCTTCAACCAAACATAGACTTAGGGGGTGTTTGGTAGGTGGTTTTTGGTGGGATGGATGGGTAAGTGAGAGTGGGATACCATGTAAGCCATGTTTGGTAGAGGATTTAGAGAAATAAAATTAGGCAATGCATTTACCCATGCAAATGAGAGTTGTGTGTAATTTGATATGAAAAATACTGTTTGTGAATACCACATCCGAGCTGGTATTTGTGGAAGACCAGGGAAGTGCAAAATTTGGAGCTATCTTGTAGACTATAATGCCCCTCATACTCTGTCAATATATTTACCCATCAAAATTTATAAGGGGTATTTTTGGCTTTTCAATATATTTACCCATCAAAATTTTACTTTCAACCAAAAATAGACTCAGTAAAGTTAAATCAATTTTCCTAGTAATATTTCGTCCTACGAAACACCATTTTTAAAATTTGCCTAGTAAATTTACATTCACACAATTTCCCCATTAATTATATTTCCCTGGTTAAAAAAATTATCTCCTCTACCAAACGCCCCCTTATAAAATTCTACTCAATTTTTCCAGTAAAATTTTGGCCAACCAAACAACTTTTCTTTAATTTTTCTATCAAACTTCATTTTCCACCATATCCCTAGTAATATATTTCCCTGGTAAAAAAAATTTATCCTCTACCAAACACAGTGGCGGAGCCAGCATGGCAGGTTAGCAAGTGCTAAAAAATTCAGCTAGTGCCCAAATAGCTACGGTTCTATGGCTACGACCAAAACGTGGCTAATTTTCAAAAAAAAAATGAAACAGAATTTGCTACGTTTGAAGTGTAGCTAAATGAACGTGGCTAAATAAGCCAGTGCCAAGGCAACTACTGCTCTAACGTGGCTCCGCCATTGACCAAACACCCCCTAAAAGTATGTTTCTCTCTTTTCTTTCTTTTTGAGAGATGCGTCTGTCTCTTCTCAAATCTTAATTTATTAGGTAATGGCGTAATGCAATGTAAATCAAAGGACGTGCCACATGCATACGTTAACGGGATATAAATAACAAAAGGAAAGAAAGCAACACGTATTTAAAAGAGGGAGGCAGGGGGGATCTGAATCATAAAACAACACACACAAAAAGTAGGACAGTGTTAATGCTCAACGTCACAATATCAAATTAGACAAGACTTCCATTTTATGTAAGTAATCATTGAAAGGGTCTGTCTAGCGGTGTTCAAGGGATTCAGCGATTGCAACCAGCCCAGGACCTATTTTGGACTTGTAATGGATGACTGTATTTCTTTATTTCATTTATTTAGATTTTTCTCTTCTACACATATTAGAAGGGAACAGAATTCTGTAGCGCATCGGCTGGTTATTTAGCACCCAACACATCAATGGGCTAGCCATTTGCACGTTCTTAGTTTTTTATTTCTGAAAGTTTCTGCTTCTAAGGATAAAATAATACAAATGGACTGCTTGGCCCAACATTAACCAATCACTGCATTCATAATCTCTCTTTTAACACAAAAGAAGAAGTAGCCTGTTATATGTAATTGAACACTTTCATAACCTCCACCCTCCTCTATTAATATTTATTTTAACACAGGATCTGAAAAAAGTAAAAACTAAGTCACTAGTTTTGGTTTAGTGGTGACTAAAGGTGTTCATCAACTAATCCAAACTGATTCAAATAGCTGTAACCGAAATGAAAAATCGAAAATCGAAAAAAAAAACAAAAAAAAATCATAAAGTTTAATTGGATTGGATCGATTTTCGGTTTGGTTAATGAAAAACGATCCAATCCAAACTGATCTAATATTTTCCCAACCTTACCCTCTATCTACTTGGATCTTTCATCAATCATAACCCAAAAATCATATAGCAAAATTCTAAACTCAAAACCCATTAACTCATCATGTTGGAGAAAGTGGATTGTGCTTGATCTATGTTATGTTTTTTTTTGGTAAGATACATCATATATTTTTATTGCATGAGTTATTGTTGTACAACGCTTTTCTATAAGATGAAAATTTGGGTTACTCTGTATCTTAGACAATCACACTGTAAATTTTTTGTTTGAGATAAAAGATGGTAATTCAACTTTTTGTTGTATTATATTGAAAATTAGATTATCGTTTACTGATGCTTCTAGATTGCACAATAATCATCATACAAATTTTACAAAGCCGATACATATAAAAGATATGTTATTTGCACAATAATCATTATACAAATCTTGAGCTTTTCAACAAATCGAAAACTGATTCAATCTAAACCGAATAATATTGGATTTGTAAAGAAAATCCAAACCAAATAGATGATTATATGATCAAACCGAAAGGATTGGATCGAATGATTTTTGCTTCCAAAATCGATCCAAGTAATTCTACCATAGATGCCGACGATAGACAATAACTCCCCCCCCCCCCCGAACACAGCTTATTCACATGTACCTGCAGTAGCATTCAAGTAATGCCATTTGATCTCTCCTGTTTTGACCTGTGCTTTATAAATTGCTTCAGCACAAAATAAGAAACGGTCTCTCCAACACATAAATGGCCAGACACGAACACCTTTAGTGGTGAGGGATTTTGGTAGGTTATATTAGATTATGTGTTTAATTTCCATTAGTATCAAAAAAACAAAAAAAGCAAAAACAAAACCTAGGACACATAACATATTGACACGAATTTTGAAGTTTTTTTACTGAAATGTCTCGCCCAAATTTTTTTTATCGAAATGTAATATTTCATTTGTTGTCAAGTAAATGTGGATCCTTTTTACCATGTGTCAGATGTAAAAGGCGTGTTCATAGAGAAAAATTTCAGTGTTCCCTTTGAAAAATTTGGGACATAGATAAAAACATAAATAATATAAAAGAGTAAAGTGAAAAAAAAATCCACATTTCCACAAAGGAACAATTTACTTGTTGATGGTCCTGGATCACTAAAAATTTTCTCGTGTCCAGATCCCTTATTTGGAAAAGTGTGTCGTCAACTCTACAAACAAATCTTTTGCCAACTTTTAAAAAGTAATAATAGAAAAATACAAATCAACTTGTTTGAATTGAATCAAATACTTTACAATTCTTAATAAAATGAAATACATAAACCACAATTAATGGATACAATATTGGCCTAAGTAATTTTTAGGTTGACTAATTTTTTCTAACAAGCACAAATTTTTTTCATGCCAAACAAAACCAGTTGCCGAATTTTGAGAACCATTTCGGCTTGACAATTTTTGTTGTTGTTATTTTGAGAACCAATGCTCAACCTAAACGTTAAATCTACATTTAATCTCTTCCCTAGAGTGCAA